AACGTTGGTCGTTGGCCCCGGATATCGTCCAATGGGAAGGGCGTCTTTGGCGCCTAGTGGGCAGGCCCTAACTACCCGTAACTAAGGGGGGGGGGGGCAAAGGCCCCTCCCCCTGCAAAAAATTTCGCCCCCCCCCCCCCCAGTAAAAAAATTGTCGACCATAAAAACAATAGATATACATTGTCCGTCAATTTTACAGCACCCCCTGGGAACATTTCCCTCGTTGCTCTGAGTTAGTTACGTCCCTGCTAGTGTGGGATTTTTCCCCAATGGGCAAAGGGCCCCGACATTTTCCAGGGCCCCCCCCCCTGCCCTCCCGCTAGCTACGGACCTGGCCATGCCTGGCGGTTCTAGCTACTACCGTTTCGCGCCAAAAAGTTGTCAAAATTAGCATAGTAGAGTAAGGGCCCTCCACAATCTAACAATGTAGCCTATTTATGAGATAATTTTAATTGTGTAGATAAAAGAAAAAATATAATGTAAAACGCGAAAGTAATAACTAGGTCAAGCACGACACGCGCTATTGTTAACCTCAATTTAAAGCGGAAGTAATATTTGGAATCCTCGTTTTAAAGCGAAAGTACGCTTTGAACAGTTCTGATGAATCCCAATTCCAGGTAAAGATAATGGCAAAAGAGCGATGTTAGGTAAGATGAGACATCATGCGGTATTATTTTATTTAGATCACCAAATGTGTAAGACAATACTTTATTGTTGCAAAACTGTTGATATTGACTCGCCGAAACAGTTTTATGACGCCGCGGTTCAGCGATAAATCGCTTATTAACTTTACTTTATGGTCCCTCAACAACCCATTCAGGTTGACAAAAGTGATTTCTTCATGGCATAGATGTTTGCCTAATGTGTCTAGGCACATTTTTAGGCCCCAATAACTCTTCTTCTAATTGATCTAGAATGTTCAAACTTTGCGTAGGGTTAGTTGTTTATTAGGTGAATGCCTTGATGGAGTTCGAAGATGAGCATTTTCTGCTTAGGGTAAGCAGAGATAAGCAATTTGATTGGTTGATGCTTTGGGACACGATAACTTTAGTTCTAATTAAGTGAGAGTGATGAAACTGGGTGTATAGTTTCATTACATCATTACCTTGACTAAGTTCGGTAATGAGCATTTTCTGCTCAGGGTAAGCAGAGCGATAAGCAATTTGATTAGCCGAGATTTTGGAACACAATAACTCTCCTAATTGAGCTAGAACGTTCAAACTTGATGTAGGTATTCATTAGGTGAATGCCTTGATAGAGTTTGAAGATGGGCATTTTCTGCTTAGGGTAAGCAGAGATAAGCAATTTGATTGGTTGATACTGTAGGACACGATATTTTGTGTATAGTTTTATTACATCAATACCTTGACTAAGTTCGATAATGAACATTTTCTGCTGAGGGTAAGCAGAGCGATAAGCAATTGGATTGGTCGAGACTTTGGAACACAATAACTCTCATTCTAATTGAGCTAGAATGTTCACACTTGGCATAGGTGTTTATTAGGTGAATGCCTTGATGGAGTTGGGAGTTAGAAGATGAGAATCTGCTTACGGTAAGCAGAGATAAGCAATTTGATTGGTTGATGCTTTGGGACTTGATAACTTTAGTTCTAATTAAGTGAGAGTGATGACATTGGTGTATGGTTTTATCACATCAATACCATGACTAAGTTCCATAATAAGCATTTTCTGCTTAGGGTAAGCAGAGTGATAAACAATTTGATTGGTTGAGACTTTGAAACACAATAACTCTCCTTCTAATTGAGGTAGAATGTTCAAACTTGGTGTAGGTGTTCATTAGGTTAATGCCATGATGGAGTTCGATGATAAACATCATCTGCTTACGGTAAGCAGAGATAAGCAATCTGATTGGTTGATGCTTTGGGGCCAATAACTTTGGTTTTAATTAAGCGAGAGTGATGAAGCTCAGAGTATAGATTCATTATATCATTACCTTGACTAAGTTTGATGATGAGACTTTTCTGCTTTGGCTAAGGATCGATAAGCAGTTTGATTGGTCAAGACTTTGGAACATAACAACTCTGCTTTTAATTGAGGTAGAATGTTTAAACTTGATGTAGATGTTCATTAGGTGAATGTCTTGACTGAGTTCAATGATTAGAATTTCGAGCTAAAGCTAAACAGAGGTAAGCAATTTCATTGGTCGATGCTTTGGAACAAGATAACTTTGATTCTGTCTGATAGAGAGTGATGAAACTTAGTGTATAGTTGATAATCAGTTTGATTGCTTGATACTTTTGAAAAAAAATAAATGTGCGATTAATTAATATGTGTCATCTATTTATTTTGGGATTTTGGCGGGGGACATCAGCCTCACTGTTGACTTGTTACAGTTCAGATATTTAAGGCTTAATTACAAACAATTAAATTGAAACCATATCTATTTTGGGGTTTCATATTGTATAGATCATTACAATAGCTAGAACTTACCGTTTATTATTTGTTCCACGCATATAGTTATCTATTCATATTGCTTCATATTACGTCAAACTCGTAATGGGGTTTGTTTACATGTGGAAATGGGGGATCACGTGGCTAAGTGGCTAAGACGCTGGCTCGCTAGCCTAGAGGTCGGGTGTTTGATCCCTGCATTTGCCGAGAAAGTTCATCCAGATTTTCCAGCGTGGTTTCCCCCTTGTCAGTGATGCAGGAAGGAGGGCCTGACAAGGACATCTGTCTAGTCGTTCGGATGGGACGAAAAACCAAGGTCCCGTGTACAAATTGGCGTGCATGTAAAAGATCCCTTGGCAGTTGGAATTCGATATAAGAGTAGGCCGTAGCAAAATTTCCCTCATAGCACACTGTATGGCGTATGCCCGTCTTCATTAGCCCAGTTTAGGAGCAAAACAGTAGGACGTTAAACCCTATTTCATTTACATCTGGAAATTGCGTAAATAGCCGTCACTTTGTGAATATGCTGTCGACTTGTAACTCAGTAGGTTATGCACGTGCATTTTCCAGTTACGTAGTATATATAGGGGTATATAAGGCCGGTCAGATTCAGTCTTAGCGTACAAGTCCTACAGGAGTAATTAAATTATTCTGCCTAGGATAAGCACGGGCTAAAGCGGGCATTTCAAATTTAGGAAGAATATCTGAGTTGGATTAAGTTTCAAATTAATTTGCAGGCTCCATTCAGGTGTTATGAGATTTGGTGCTTATACGCACATTGCTTCCCTTTGAATGAATGTTGGTTGTCACTACATGTATAAACATAAAATTCGGTTTCTTTTACAGTCTTTTTGTTTCACTTTCACATATACTACATTTAGGCCTACACAGATTTGATATGTACATGTACAAGACAACCCCAGTGTGGTTTCCCCCTGTCAGTGGTAAGGGATGGGAGGGGGCTGGAAGGAGAATGCCCAGTTGTTTAGATGGGAGGGAAAACAATAGTTTAAACAATATTTGATTCAACAAACTGAATCGGATTGAACAACTGGCAAGTATATAAGTTCTCCCAAAACAGTATTTCTACTAATATATCTGTAAACCTTTAGTTCAGACTACATTTGGGGCTAAATGTCTAACAAATATTTGCATTGTAACAAAGCATCCATAAATATGTAATTTTCTCGCTGAAATAGATATATAATGGAAAAACCTAAATAATACTGTAAGGGAGTGGCAATTGTAATGAAGAGAAAAAAGATCAAATGGAGTTTAATGTCTAACTGTTCAGTATCAACCAAGAATTCGAACAGTTTCCATTTATTACATCTAGAGTTATGGCCATTTACACTTTTTATACATCCACTTTGAAATGTGGTCCCATTGAAATTTATACACAGTGCTTCAGGTCTTGAGATGAAGCATCCTATTGATTTTCAGCGATTTCTGATAATTACTTCTAGAGTTATGGTCCTTGATCACTTTGAAAAATCTTGTGGATGCTCTGAAGGCTAAGATTATAATCTGATTGACTTTAAATTTATCCACAGTGTTTAAGGTCATGAGACGAAGAGGCCTATTGATTTTCAATGATTTCTGATAATTACTTCCAGTGTTATGGCTCTTGATATTAAATGTTTTGTATACTAAACGTTAAAGGAGAATATTGGTGTTGGCCATTATGTGATAGAACTGGTTAAACATGTTCCAGATATAATTTTAACACACAGATCATTGCTACAATAGATGTGTAATGAAGATTTGAAGAAACGGTAATGACGCAAAATATGGAAAACAAAAGTTATACTTCTATATAACTGACTGAAGTAACGAGTGATAACAGATACACGGCCTAATTTCTGTGCACTGATAATTCTTTCAAAGATGAAAAGTTGTTATATGAGACTGTGAGAGGATATCTGACAAATCAAAAACATAATTGACTGTCACTAGATGAGAGAAAACAAAAATATCTGAGAATTACCATGTTTTTATTAAGTATAGAATGAACAAAAACAAGTGAATGTATGGGCCTTTTCTATATTTTTCGTTTTCTCATATCTAGTGACATTCAATCGGATGGTTTGGTTTTGATTCCAAGCTTGTAGTTACCTGTGTTTTCTCTAATTTCCTCCCACTGCTAAAGACCACTATGTGCAAACTAATTATTAAAATAAAAATGAAATTGTACCAAATGTTAGTCCCGAAATGACCGAGTTTATTTCAAGTGTATGTTATACCCCATTTTTCTCTCTCGCATTGTTCGGATTATAATGATACAAAGATGCCTTTTGGATTTAAACAATTTCCTTTAATTACTTGTAGATGATCTTGCTCACTTTTGGAACATTGTAAATGTTCCAGTGATTGAAGTTAACTTATTTGCTTGATTTTAATATGCATTAGTGATTAGTGATGAGAAGAAGTCAATCAAATTTCAAAAGTTACAATAGATTATGACTAATCATACTCATAATTATGAAATTTTTTACACCCACATTGAAACCTTAGCTTTACAGTTGCATAATTTTTCTTTGCATAACTCGTCTTTTAATTGATTTTTTTTAGCTCTTTAAGAAATAGTAAAGAAGATGATGTACAAAAAATTGTTTATTTTTTATTGAGAACTGAATCTGAATTTTCAAGAATGGGTGAGTAGAAAAATTCAAATCTGAATCGGAACTCTTGTGGAACAACAATACTTCCAGGATTAATGTCTGTTTTGCAATGGGTTGATGCACTGAATTCACAAAATGTGAACAAAAACATGATTTTGGAACCTATATTAATAGGGCTCACTGTATACACATGCAGAATGCATTAAGCACTTCAAAAAGAATACAAGAAGTGTATTTGAATATCAGAAGAAATTTGGCACACAAAGGACTTTATAAATAATTTCAGATGAGTTACAATAGCACCACAAGTGATGTCACTGACGATGCTCTGCAGAATGTGGTTGTAATTTGGACTGGAATCTAAAATATTTTCTTAATCTCAGTGAGCCTAATTTTGTGTTCGGGACTAGTGGGCCGCAAACGGACCTGCCTCAGGTAACATTGTCATGATTGCAAACCATGTTATTATGTAATGAGGATTTTGAAGTACCATGGGATTGAGTTTGACAGATGAGAGTTTTTATACACTCACATTTAATAATGATAATTATTTTCAAAGTTATTGCACTTGATTGCTTTGAAAAATTGAGTTGTCCCGCTAGAGGTTACAATGTTTGTTGGCTGATTGACTTCAAAATTGAACGCAGTATTTATGTTCATACTTTCAACAGTTTCTGATATCTTGAATTGATAAAGTTACAATCTGATTATGTAAGTCAATCAAAGAAAAATAGCCAATGTGCGCGTTCTTTAAAAGGAGCAGTTCCCTGATGTAATCCAGTAAATTTAGCTATTAGTATTATAAGTACAGTACATTTATGCAAGTTCTGTACTAAATACAAACTTCCAATTTCCATGCCATCTGAATAACCCTTGTTTTGAAACTGTTTCTTCATATTTTGGCAATTGATATGCATACATTAAGCCAGTTTTATTTACATAATATCTGGGGTGACTTCTGTTGTTAAAAAAACATTTTCCAAAAAACTTGTGAGCACATTAGCGGGTGTAGTTTGAAACAGATTTTTTTCGAATTTGGTTTGAAACATTTGGGCTCATGAGTAGATGAGAAGATAGTCCTGACTGGACATAGCTGCAGTTTGGGCATATTTCTACACTTTGCTTAGCTATCTTAATTTTAAACAAATATTTCAGCAAATAATGACTTCATAACTCCCAGTCTCATAGATCAGTTAAGACGTTTATTAGAACAGTATTCATATGATCAGATATTGAAGGTAACTACAAATTTATTTATTAATAGATGAATACTTAGTTGTAGGCACAACAAGCAGGTTGTTCTAATTAATGTATTTTAGAAATCTATACGGCAATACTATATACCGGAAAACACCGAAAAACACCAGAAAACTACCGGAAAACACCATGTTATACTGAATACCGGAAAACAACAGAAAAACACTAAATACCGGAAAACATCTAAATACGTAACCCAGAGCCTGGTCCTCTGTTTGCGGGGAGTTAGGGTTAGGGTTAGGTTTTCCTGGTGTTTTCCAGGGGACCAGCGGTGGGTTAGGGTTAGGTTTTTCCGGTGTTTTACACAGGACCACGCTCCGATTTACCTATTTAGGGTGTTTTCCGGTATTTAGTGTGTTTTCAGGTATTTAGTGTTTTTCCGGTGTTTTCTGGTATTCAGTATAACATTGTGTTTTCCGGTAGATTCCGATGTTTTCCGGTAGTTTTCCGGTGTTTTTCAGTGTTTTCCAGTATATAGTATAGGCTAAATCTATATTATTTTAATGTTTAGACTCTATTTGTTATGTAAATAAAGTATCGTATCATCATTTTTGACAATGTATAATTTTTTTACGGCTTAATCTTGGGAAAATGTACTCAAATTGATTATTTAACAGTTGATTATGAAAAAAAAAAATATATTTACTTATTCGGATTCAATTCAACAGTGGATGTAATACAGAAGAAAAACCAGATTCACATGTTTCACAGACAACTGTGATTATCTAAGACTATTTACACTGATCATGTAGATCAGTAATTGAGTAGAGAAAATAAAATACTGGTTTATGCTTGGGAATTCAAGAGAACAGACCATAGTTTGCAATTTTTATATGCCCACATTTTCATGTGGACGTATTATGCTATCACCCATGTCCGTCCGTCCACAATTTGTCTGTGGACATTCTACAGGTCACAAACTTGAAATATAGGTCTATCTCCCAGGATCTCAGGTCCTTTCGATATTGGAACGTCATGGGTTATGGCCCATCATTGTACGAAAAATCACATTTTTAGCTTGTGGACACTCTAGAGGGCACAATTTTCATCTGATTTGGATGAAACTTGATAAGCATGTTTATAACTCAAACATCTTGGTCCCTTTCGATATTCACGCATATCAGATTGTAACTTCCTAAATTATGGCCCCTGATTGTACGAAATATTGCATATTTAGCTTGTGGTCCCTCTAGAGGTGACAATTATTATCCGATTCGATTTAAAACAACGTTTGAATATATCACCGTTTCACCTTGAAGTTGGTTGAGGTTGAATTTCGTCAAAATCGGACCAAAACTGCCAGGCAAAATGGCCACCCCTCCTAAGCAAATAGTGTAAAAATGTGGTATATAAAGATTGTGGACATTCTTGAGATCACAATTTTGATCAAATTTTGATGAAACTTGAAATACATGTTTATAACCATAACATCTTGGTTCCTTTCGATATTGGAACGTAATTTCCTGAATAATGGCCCTTGATTGTACGAAAAATCGCATTTTTAGATTGTGGTACCTCTAGAAGTCACAATTTTTGTCCAATTTTTAAAACTGTTTAAATATATCATCGTTACACCATAATGTAGGTTGATTTTAAATTTCGTGAAAATTGGACCAAAACTGCTAGATAAAATGGCAGCCCCTCATATGCAAATTACTGTAAAAATATGGTATATCAAGGTTGTGGACCCTCTAGAGGTCACAGTGTTCATCCGATTTTGATGAAACTTATAATGCATGTTTTTAACCCAAAGATCTTGGATCCTGTCGATATTCGCGCATATCAAATTCCTGACTTATGGCCCCTGATTGTGGACCCTCTAGAGGTCACAGTGTTCATCCGATTTTGATGAAACTTATAATGCATGTTTTTAACCCAAAGATCTTGGATCCTGTCGATATTCGCGCATATCAAATTCCTGACTTATGGCCCCTGATTGTACGAAAAAAATCACGTTTTTAGCTTGTAGTCCCGCTGTGGTCAAAATTTTTATCCGATTTAAAAAAACATTTGATTATATCACCGTTACACCATAATGTCAGTTGACTTCGAATTTCGTGTACACAAACCTCAGCAGACTCCAGTACCCTATATCTAGCCTCAGCTGTATGACGAAGTCTGCCATTGGAACTACTTTCAAGTTCCTGGATTACCAACAGTGTTGCCCATGACAACGCCTTTGAAGAATGTTTTGTCATACAAAGATTTCAAAGTCTGAAGCTGTTTTTCTTTCAGGTTTATCCGATTTTTTTTAGACAATGACAAAATTGCACTGAAAATACTACACACTCTTCGAACAACGCAATTGTGAGAGCTTCTTTCTAAAAGCGGCTAGATTTCCTAATAAGTAAACTGGTGCTGCATTGCAATTGTATAGACGTAGGTACATATTACTTACTGTCATACAGCCGAGGCTAGATGTATGGTACCGGAATCTGCCGAGGTTTGCCGAGTGGTACACAAATCGTGTAAAAGTATGTAATAATGAGGTTGTGGACAATTGTTATCCGATTTTGATATCAGACTGTAACTTCCTGAATTATGGCCCCTGATTGTACGAAAAATCGCGTTTTTGTCCCCCGCCGTCCGTCCGTCTGTCTGTGCTTCACACTTTTTGGGACACAATAACTCTCTTTCTAATTGAGCTAGAATGTTCAAACTTGGTGTAGGTGTTTATTAGGTCAATGCCTTGATGGAGTTCTAGGATGAGCATTTTCTGCTTAGGGTAAGCAGAGATAAGCAATTTGATTGGTTGATGCCTTGGGACACGATAATTTTAGTTCTAATTAAGTGAGAGTGGTGAAACTTAGTGTATAGTTGCATTACATCAATACCTTGACTAAGTTAGATAATGAGCATTTTCTGCTCAGGGAAAGCAAAGCGATAAGCAATTTGATTGACCAAGACTTTTGGAACACAATGACGCTCTTTCTTATTGAGCTAGAATGTTCAAAACTTGGTGTAGGTGTTTATTAGGTCAATACCATGATGTAGTTGAAAGATGAGAATTTTCTTCTTAGGGTAAGCAGAGATAAGCAATTTGATTGGTTGATGCTTTGGGACACGATAAGTTTAGTTCTAATTAAGTTTGAGTGAGGACACTTCGTGTATAGCTTTATTAGATCAATACCTTGACTAAGTTCGATAATGAACATTTTCTGCTGAGGGTAAGCAGAGCGATAAGCAATTTGATTGGTCAAGACTTTGAAACACAATAACTCTCCTTCTTTTTGAAGCAGAATGTTCAAACTTGGTGTAGGCGTTCATTAGGTTATTGTCTTGATGGAGTTCAATAATGAACATTGTCTGCTTATGTTAAGCAGAGATAAGCAATCTGATTGGTTGATGCTTTGGGGCACGATAACTTTGGTTATAATGACCTGAGAGCGATGAAACTCCGAATATAGATTCATTATATCATTACCTTGACTAAGTTCGATGGTGAGAATTTTCTGCTTAGGCTAAGGAGCGATAAGCAATCTGATTGGTCAAGACTTTGGAACATAACAAACTCTGCTTTTAACTGAGGTAGAATGTTTAAACTTGATGTAGATGTTCATTATGTGAATGTCTTGACTGAGTTCAATGATTAACATTTCGAGCTGAAGCTAAGCTGAGCTAATCAATTTCATTGGTCGATGCTTTGGGACAAGATAATCTTGATTCTATCTGATAGAGAGTGATGAAACTTCGTGTATAGTTTTGAAACTATACTTTTGAAAGAAATAAATGTGCGATTAATTAATATGTGTCATCTATTTATTTTGGGATTTTTGCGGGGGACATCAGCCCGACAAAAAATGGCCGCTCATTGTACGTAAATTGTGTAAAAGTATGTAATACGAAGGTTGTGGACCCTCTAGAGGTCACAATTTTTATCTGATTTTAATGATACATAAAAGATATCCTTATATCCCAATGATCTCAGTCCCTTTCAATATTTGCGCATTTCAGACCATAACTTTCTGGATTATGGACCCTGATTGTACGAAAAATCGCTTTTGTTTTTAGCTTGTTCTCTATCCATCTCTTGCAAAATGTGGTTGTATCTTTAAATACAACTTTAAATTTATACACTGTGTTTAAGGTCATGAGACGAAGAAGCCTATTGATTTTCAGCGATTTCCGATAATTACTGCCAGAGTTATGGCCCTTGATCACTTCAAAAAATCTTGTGGATGCTCTAGAGGCCAAAGTTAATATCCGATTGAGTTTAAATTTATACACAGTGTTTAAGGTCATGAGACGAAGAAGCCTATTGATTTTCAGCGATTTCCGATAATTACTGCCAGAGTTATGACCCTTGATCATTTTGAAAAATCTTGTGGACGCTCTAGAGGCTAAAGTTAATATCCGATTGAGTTTAAATTATACACAGTGTTTAAGGTCATGAGACGAAGAAGTTTATTCATTTACAGCCATTTTCGATAATTACTGCCAGAGTTATGGCCCTTGATCACTTGCAAAAAATCTTGTAAATGATCTAGAGGCTAAAGTTAATATCCGATTGACTTTAAATTGATACAGAGTGTTTGAGGTCATGAGACGAAGAATCGTATTGATTTTCAATGATTTCCGATAATTACTGCCAAAGTTATGGCCCTTGATCACTTTTAAAAACCTTGTGACCCTCTAGAAGCTAAAGTTATCATCCGATTGACTTCAGATTCATACAAGGTCTTGAGACAAACAAGTATATTGATTTTCAATGAATTTTTATGACTTGAACAGCTAAATCCATGATGTTAAAAGTTTCCTATACTAAACGTTAGCATGGGGCAAAACTTTATAAAAACCAAACAAATTCTAATGGTTTTCTGATAATTACTTAATGAGTTGTTAGTCTTAATCAGATTTTAATGTATTATAAATGTTGACTGCCCGGACGAGTTAGCTGCTGTGGGCGTATGTTTCGTTGCCTGGCAACCTATCTTTTAATTTTAAAGGAATTGATTCAGAATGCTGAAGATGGTGGTGCAACAAAAATTAATTTTGTATTTGTACAGAAACAACACACACCAAAAAAGGTTAAATGGAAGAATTCACCAATTTTATATGCAATGAAGGTAAATACAATACCTGTGTTGTCTCTTGAACATGTAAACATGCCTGCCCTCTGACCAATTGTGTGATTTTATTATATTTTTGGACTAAAATCATATTCAAACAAACTAATTTATCTATCAAAACATTTTAATCGCAAGAAAACAGCTAATGTCTACTGTCTACTGGACGTTTAAGTCTCTCAATGTTCTCAAACCCACCAGCCATTAGATCAACACATATGTCTCTCAAGCAGACAGGACAGCCTTCAGGTGCGCTTGTATGGTCATGTCTATATGGCAGAGTATAGTTCACTACACCCCAACGGAAGCTAGTTTGACCATAGTCGTCAAAATGGACGCTGTTCTCTTCAATGAACTGCTACAAAACCTTTTACTTAACGAAAACGCAAGTTTGTTTAATGAAAACTTTGATATGACCACATAATTCTTTGGAGGCAAATTCCCGGAACGTTTGCCAAAAGTTTCTGATTATGCTGAAAAAGCTGTACTAGAGGTAGAATATGATAACGACGATTTCAAGTATCTACTCACAGTTGAGTTAGTGACCGAGTTATCCCTAGACAATAAAATAAACAAACCAACCAAATATCCTGAGCTTATTTACAGTTGCATAATTTATATTTACAATGTATATCAAACAGATGTATTTAATGAACAAACTTGTTTGTTTGTGTTACTGTTTTTCCAAATAAAGTTCACAAATGGATGAAATATTTTTACTTTACTACTGTCACTTCCACAATTTCAATCGAATTGATTGACAAAACATGATTATCCACTCTATATTATATAATCTCGAAACTACTTATAAGTCTCAGGTTCTGGGGCAACATTGGTAGTATACGTTTTGTCGCGGGCCGCCATTTTTAATCTGACTTGACTAGCCTCAACCGACCTCGAAAGGTGGGTTAATCATGGTCGCGACTATAGTCTAACCATTTCAAGTTCGGGTGCGCATGGTCGAGACCTAGTTGAACTATGGTTGAACATTTGGAGGAGCCGAAGGCGGCCCAGGCTGTCAGTTAGTGACACTGTTACAATTTTGTTTTGTTGGCATGCCATGGGGTATTGTTCAGGGAATTCAGTATTTTTTGCGATAAAAAGCAGACGAAATTGTTGTCTAACGAAGAAATAAGAATTAAATGAATGGGGTTTTGGAAGTCACAGCTATCTGTAGCAGTGCTAAAAAAATCTTAAGATTTAAGAATGAAATCTAATAGTTATGATTTAAAATTAAAGTAATATCTTGTTATTTAGATGTTTTATGTTGAAACTGAAAAACTGCTAATCAATTTTAAAATTTGCTAATCAAATTTGGTAAAATTGGACTTTTTGATTAGTAGTGCTGCTAATAACTGTGAAAAATTACCGACAGCCCTGAAGCACAGTGATATGTAATTTGATTGGCCGAGACTTTGGAACACAATAACTCTCCTTCTAATTGAGCTAGAATGTTCAAACATGGTGTAGGCGTTTATTAGGGTAAGCTGAGATAAGCAATTTGATTGGTTGATGCTTTGGGACACGATAACTTTAGTTCTAATTAAGTGAGAGTGATGGTGTATAGCTTTATTTCATCAATACCTTGACTAAGTTTGATAATGAACATTTTCTGCTGAGGGTAAGCAGGGCGATAAGCAATTTGATTGGTCGAGACTTTGGAACACAATAACTCTCCTTCTAACTATGGTAGAATGTACAAACTTGGTGTAGGCGTTCGTTATAGATGAATGCCTTGATGGAGTTCGATGATGAACATTGTCTGCTTATGTTAAGCAGAGATAAGCAATCTGATTGGTTGATGCTTTGGAGCACAATAACTTTGTTTATAATGAAGTCAGAACGATGACACTCCAAATATAGATTCATTATATCATTACCTTGACTAAGTTTGATGATGAGACTTTTCTGCTTAGGCTAAGGATCGATAAGCAGTTTGATTGGTTAAGACTTTGGAACATAACAACTCTGCATTTAATTGAGGTAGAATGTTTAAACTTGATGTAGATATTCATTAGGTCAATGTCTTGACAGAGTTCAATCAATTTCATTGGGACAAGATAATCTTGATTCTATCTGATAGAGAGTGATGAAACTTAGTGTATAGGTTGATACTTTTGAAAAAAATAAGTGTGCGATTAATTAATGTGTCATCTATTTATTTCAGTGGGGGACATCAGCCTCACTGTTGGCTTGTTATCTTTATTTAGGGTTCTCGTAATACTATGCTTACCAAACTATCTGTCATTGAATCAAGTGGTTTGGTTCTGATTTCCCTGCTTATAGGTAACACAGAGTGGGGTCACCTGTCCAACCTCGTGTGTTTTCTCTGGGTCCTCCGGCACGGTTTTCTCCCATGGCTATAGACCTCTCTCTTTCTTATATCTCTTTGCCAGGGTTGATGAGAAGTGATTCCGGTAAGAAATCAAAACTGCTCTAATGTGTTTATATTATTATGTAACAAATTGCATGTTTTTACTCCACATGTTGTGAATGCTCTAACAACAAAAGTTATTATCCAATCTGTATGACATTTATATGTATCGTTTAAATTAGTTAAGCGAACAAGCCTATTGAGTTTCGGCAAATTTCCGTTAATTACATCTAGAGTTATGGCCCTTGTTTCACTTTGTTGAATCTTGTTAACAGTTGAACGATAAAAGTTATCACCCAATCTGTATGAAATTCATATGCATCATTTAAATTAGTGAATGTCAGCAATTTCCGTCAATTACTTCTAGAGTTATGGCCCCTTTTTATAGGCCCAAAGTTATGGCCCTTGATCACTTTGAAAAATCTTGTGACGCTCTAAAGGCTAAAGTTATCATCCGATTGACTTCAGATTTATACACAGAGTTTAAGATCTTGATACGAACCAGTAAATTTTTATGACTTGAACAGCTAAATCCATTATATTAAAAGTTTTGTATACCAAACGTTAGCATGGGGCAGAACTTTATAAAAACCAAACAAATTCTAATGGTTTTCTGATAATTACTTCATGAGTTGTTACTCTTAATCAGATTTTAGTGTATTGTAAATGTTTCATTATCGAAAAAAGTAAAAATATGCGACAACACTTGTTGACTGCCCGGACGATTTAGCTGCTGTGGGTGTATGTTTCGTTGCCTGGCAAGATATCTTTTACTTTGTTGAACCTTGTGAACATTCGAATGACAAAAGTTATCATCCAGTCTGTATGAAATTTATATGCATTATTTGAATTAGTAAAATGAAAAAGCCGGTCGAATTCCAACAATTTCTGTAGATTACTTCCAGAGTTATGGCCCTTGTTTTAGTTTTTAGAACCTTGTGAACCCTCAAACGACGAAAATTATAATGTCATCTGTATGAAATTGTCTATTAAATGCCCCTAATTACCTACAAAAGAATAAATATGCGACAACCCTTGTCGACCGCTCGGCCGATTTAGCTGCTGTGGGCGTATGTTTTGTCGCCTGGCAACCTATCTTTGTTTAGCTTGTACTCTATCCATCACTTGCAAAATGTGGGCGTATCCTGCCTGGCAGCCGCTGGTTATCCGATTTTGTTGAAACTTGAAATATAAGTCTATAACCCAAAAATCTCAGTTCCTTTCGATATTCGCGCATATCGGACCGTAACTTCCTGAATTATGGCCCCTGATTGTTCGAAAAATTGCGTTTTTAGCTTGAGGTCCCTCTAGAGGTCACAATTATTATCCGATTTCAAAAACCGTTCGAATATATCCCCGTTACACAAGGATGGTTGAATTTGAATTTCGTAAAAATCGTACTAAAACTGACAGACAAAATGGACGCCACTCGTACTCATATAGCGTAAAAATATGGTATATGTATGTTGTGGATCCTCTAGAGGTCACAATTTTCTTCTGATTTTGATGAAACTTAAAATGTAAGTTTATAACCCAAAGATCTTGGTTAGTTTCGATATTCGCGCATATCGGTTTGTAACTTCTTGAATTATGGCCATTGATTGTACAAAAAATTGCGTTTTTAGCTTGAGGTCCCTCTAGAGGTCACAATTATTTTCCGATTTCTAAAAACCGTTTGAATATATCACCGTTACACCCTAAGGATGGTTGAGTTCTAATTTCGTAAAAATCGGACCTAAACTGGCAGACAAAATGGCCGCCCCTAATACTAAAATAGCATAAAAATATGGTATATCAAGGTTGTGGACCCTCTAGAGGTGACAATTTTCTTCTGATTTTGATGAAACCTGAAATGTAGTTTATAACCCAAAGATCTCGGTTCCTTTCAATATTCGCGCATATCGGACCGTAACTTCCTGAATTATGGCCTTTGATTGTACGGAAAATCACGTTTTTAGCTTGTGGACCCTATAGAGGTCATAATTTTTATCCGATTTAAAAAAACGTTTGAAAAATATCCCTGTTACACCCCATGAATGGTTGAGTTCGAATTTCGTAACAATCAGACCAAAATTGACAGACAAAATGGACGCCCCTCGTACTCAAGTAGAGTAAAAATATGGTATATCAATGTTGTGGACCCTCTAGAGGTCACAATTTTTTATACGCCCACATTTTCATGTGGACGTATTATGCCGTCGCCCCTGTCCATCCGGACGTCCGTCCGTCCGTCCACAATTGTTTGTGGACTCTCTACAGGTCACAATTCTTATCCGATTTCGACGAAACTTGAAATTTAGGTTTATCCCCAAAAGATCTCGGCTGCTTTCGATATTGGCATGTATCGGATCGAAACTTCATGGATTATGGCCCCTGTTTGTACGAAAAATCACGTTTTTAGCTTGTGGACCCTATAGAGGTCACAATTTTTATCTGATTTTGTTGAAACTTGAAATGTAAGTTTATAACCCAAAGATCTCAGTTCCTTTCGATATTTGCGCATATCGGACAGTAACTTCCTGAATTATGGCCCCTGATTGTACGAAAAATGACGTTTTTAGCTTGTGGACCCTATAGAAGTCATAATTTTTATACGATTTAAAAAAACGTTCTATTATATCACCGTTATACCCTAAGGATGGCTGAGTTCGAATTTCGGTCCAAAATGGCCGCCATTCGTTCCCAAATAGCGTAAGAATATGGTATATCAAGGTTGTGGACCCTATAGGGGTCACAATTTTTATCCGAATTTGTTGAAACTTGAAATGTAAGTTTATAACCCACAGATCTCGGTTCCTTTCAATATTTGCCCATATCGGACCGTAACTTCCTGAATTATGGCCCCTGATTGTACGAAAAATCATGTTTTTAGCTTGTGGACCCATTAGAGGTCATAATTTTTATCCGATTTAAAAAACTGTATTATTATATTACCGTTCACCCTAAGGACAGTTGAGTTTGAATTTTGTGAAAATCGCCCCAAAATTGACAGACAAAATGGCCGCCGTTTGTTCTCAAATAGCATATAAATATGGTATATCAAGGTTGTGGACCCTATAGAGGTCACAATTTTTATCCAATTTTGTTGAAACTTGAAATGTAAGTCTATAACCCAAAGATCTCAGTTCCTTTCGATATTCGCGCATATCGGACCGTAATTTCCTGAATTATGGCCCTTGATTGTAGGAAAAATCACTTTCTTGTTAGCTTGTTCTCTATCCATCTCTCGAAAATGTGGCCGTATCCTGCCTGGCAGCCGCTGGTTTCTGATTTTGATGAAACTTGAAATTTAAGTTTATAACCCAAAGATCTTGGTTCCTTTCGATATACGCACATATTGGATCGTAACTACCTGAATTATTGCCCCTGATTGTATGAAAAATCGCGTTATTAGTTAGAGGTCCCTCTAGAGGTCATAATTGTTATCCGATTTAAAAAAACGTTTAAATATATCACCGTTACACCCTAATGATGGTTGAGTTTGAAATTCGTGAAAATCGTACCACAACTGCTGGACAAAATGACTACCCCTCGTACGCAAATAGTGTAAATGTATGGTAATCAAGGTGGTGGACCCTCTAGAAGTCACAATTTGGATCTGATTTTGATGAAACTTAAAATATAGCTTTATAACTCAAAGATCTTGGTTCCTGTTGTTATTCGTGCCTGTTGGATCGTAACTTCCTGAATTATGGCCCTTGATTGTTCGAAAAATTGCTTTTTGTTTAGCTTGTTCTCTATCAATCTCTTGCAAATTGTGGGCGTATCCTGCCTGGCAGCCACTGGTTTCATTATCGCCCTACCCTAGTTGGCACAATGTGGGAAAATTGTCAAAATCAAACCTACCTTTAAAACTTGATGGAATTCTGGAGAAACTATTTTCAAAACTTCATAACCCAGATGTTTTGTTGCCTGGCAATCTATGTTATCTGTGAAGTTACTCAATATCTATACCAACTACCTGTATCCATCCGTGATGCTTGTATGCTTATGTTCTCTTTAACAATTTTTTATAAAGGGACCTGCATTATGTGTTATGAATGATGGAATGTTTAGTGATGCTGACTGGAAAGGCATTGCATCTCTTCAAGGTAGTCCCAAGGAAAATGATCCACTTAAAGTTGGACGATTCGGATTAGGTTTTAAATCTGTATTCCATATAACTGGTAAGTGCCACAGTATTTATATGACCACATTTGCATGTGGACAGCTTGACATATTATGTCCTTGTCCCTGTCCATCCGGATGTCTGTTAACATTTGTTTGGGGACACTCTAAATGTACAATTTTTGTACGAGTTAGATAAAGCATAATATATATGTTTATATCCCAAAGATCTTGGGCAGGTTGGATTTTGGTACATATTTGACTGTAGCTTCCTCTGATTGTATGAAAAAATCTAGAGGTCACTTTTTATATTGTCTTTGCCTTGTCCGTCCGTTCGTGTGTCCGTTCACATTTATTGGTGGACACTCTATAGTTCACAATTTTTACCCGATTTTGACGAAACTTACAATGTAGGTTTATATCCTAAAGATCTCAATATTGGCATGTATAGGACCATAACTTCATGGATTATGGCCCAAAGATCTTGATATTGGCATGTATCGGACCCTAACTTCATGAATTATGACCCCCGATTGTTAAAAAAATCACGCTTTTAGCTTGTGGACACTCTAGAGGTCACAATTTTCACCCGATTTTGATGAAACTTGAAATGCATGTTAATAATCTGAATATCGCGGATCCTTTCGATATTTGCGCAAATCAGATCGTAAATTCCTGAATTATGGCCCCTGATTGTACGAAAAAACGCGTTTTTAACTTGTGGTCCCTCTAGAAGTCACAATTATTATCTGATTTGAAAAAACGTTCAAATATATCACCGTTACACCATAATGTCAGTTGAGTTCAAACTTTGTGAAAATCTGACAAAAACTGCCGGACAAAATAGCTGCCCCTCGTACGGAAATAGTGTAAACATCTCATGTATTTTGATATTCTCACATATTGAATCGTAACTTCATCGATTATGGCCCCTGAATGTACAAAAAATCAGGTCACAATTTTTATGCGATTTTAAAAAATGTTAATGTATCACTGTTATGCCCAATTGAAGGTTGAGATCAATTTTAAAAACCGTTCAAATATATCACCATTGCACCCTAATTACGGTTGAGTTTGAATTTCCGAAACTGCCCAACAAAATGGCCTCTGCTTTTACGCAAATAGTGTAAAATTATGTAAGACCAATTTATCCGATTTTGATGGAACTTAAAATGTATGTCTATAACCCAAAGATCTTGGCTCTCTTCGATATTCGCGCATATCGGACCATAACTTCCAGGATTATGGCCCTGATTGTAATCATAGAGGTTACTGTTATCTGATTTAAAAAGCCTTTCTAATATATCACCGTTAGCATTTTTTTTTTCAAATTCAATTTGACACATTTGGATAGTCAGACAATGAGCCCTTTCGACTTTGCCAGTTCTCCTTCCATCTCTTGGAAAATTTGTGTGTATTTTGCATAGCAACTTGTTGTCATTGTTTTACTATCGGACTACCCATCATTAATTATAAAAAGAAAACCCACACAATTTAAGCATTTTCTGCTTAAGATTTTTGATTGCTCGATGCTTTACAAAATGATGAATGAGCAATTAATTAATATGTGTCTATTTATATTAGGATTGAAGCCGAGGACAGCAGTCTCACTGTCAACTTGTTTAAACTTGCTGAGTTTTTTCAAATTGACATTTAAGTCAGAAATAGATTGAATTGAGTATGTGAAATAGAGAAAATCATTATTGACTGCTTCAATGACTTGGCTGTTGGTGGCCGCATATGTTTTTTTTCATGACAACCTATGTTGTATTGCTATCTTTATTCCACAGATAATCCAGTGATAATAAGTGGATTAAAATTAATGGTTATGAATCCTCAAGCAGAGACAAAGAGTGCACCAGTCTTTGATCTTAATGATTTGGATCGAGAAAATCAGATGGCTATGTTAAATCTGGTGGATGGGATCTGTGGATTTTCTGAGGAAACATTCCAGAATGGTTATCAAGGTTCTCTGTTTTGGTTTCCACTGCGTTCTGAAGTGTCTGAGTTGTCGAGTGAAACTTATGATGAGAGAAAAATCAAAGATATCTTTAATGGGTTCAAATTGCTAGCTCCTTCTATTCTTCTATTTCTAAAAGAAATTGAATCTATCGAACTTTTTGAAAAGAAAAACCAGTTAAAGAAATTGTTGGAAGTCAGCTTAGTAGGTGATGAAGATGATATGATCAAAATTCGTACAAAAAAGAGAGATTTTAGAAAAGAAATTCAGAATTTTAAAGGAAAACTGGCACCTTCGGCAGTGCCCCTGAGTTCGAAATTTCGAGTCCGTTGTAAGGGATTTGCATGGATGGAACATTCGGCTACAGAAGAAGATTGGGTTGTTGTTGATTATTACCAGGGTGATGGTGGTACATCAGAATTAAAAAATTTCTTTCAAAGTAATCCCAATTGGTCAAATAGTCCTTACGTTAGTGTTGGGGTACTATTGTCTAAACAAGTTATTTCAGGAAACATTTATTGTTTCCTTCCACTACCATTTACAAAAGGAAATAAAACAGGTCTGCCATTTCATGTTAATGGATTTTTTTCATTAAGTCAGGATAGGCATCATCTGAAATGGACATATGAATCAGATGATGATAGAAGCCATACAGAAACAGCAGTACAATGGAATCAGCTCATGCTAAAAGAAATTTTTCCACATGCCTTTGCAGAGGTAATAAGACAACTTACTGATGAAAGCCTCCATGATATTGATAAAGATCAGTTGTATGCATTGCTGCCAAATCAATCAAAAGTTAGTGAGGATTGGAAGTCTATAATTTATCCTGTTTATCAGAATCTCTATTCCTTAAATTGTATTTACACAAAAAGTAGGCAGGGAAGATGGATCTGTCCAACAGAGGCAGTGTTTGCTGATCAAGGTTTGTCATCAACAATTGAAGATATATATATATTGCATGATATAAATATTGCTAAAGTTGAGGAATATATAGTGGAAAGTTTTAAAGAACATGGAGATTTGAAGCATGCATCTTCAGAAGAACTAAAAGTAGAATTACTTGAGCAAGGAAAATACCAAAACATGAACCCTGACCAAAAACTAAACCTACTTCTACATTTCCTGGACCAAAATTCAATGTTATTAGAAGATTTAGAACTTCTACCACTAGCAGATGGAACGTTTACTACTTTCACTCAAGATTCTAATGCTCAGCGTATTTATATATTTGGAGATGACAGACAGCAAAAAATGTTCCCAAACATGAAAGCTCACTTTGTAGAATTGGAGTTACAACAAGGTCTAGAGAGAAAGTTACTAAAATTATCCGAAGAAGGTGGGTTGAATGTTTATTTTAGAGAATATGTACATTTTCATGTGGACGTATATTGTCGTCGCCCCTAGTGGTCCGTCTGTCTGTCCGTCCACAATTTGTTTGTGGACACTCTACAGGTCACAATTTTTATCCAATTTTGACGAAACTTGAAATATAGATCTATCTCCCAAAGATCTCGGTTCCTTTCAATATTGGCATGTATCGGACCATAAGTTCATGGATTATCGCCCCTGATTGTACGAAAAATCACATTTTTAGCTTGTGGACATTCTAGAGGTCAAAATTTTCATCTGATTTTGATGAAACTTGAAATACATATTTATAACCAAAGATCTTGGTTAATGTCGATATTTGCGCATATCAGATCGTAACTTCCTGAATTATGGCCCCTGATTGTATGAAAAATCGTGTTTTTAGCTTGTGGACCCTCACAATTATTATCCAATTTAAAAAGACGTTTGAATATATCACCGTTACACTGTAATGACGCTTGAGCTTGAATTTCAGGAAAATCGGACCAAGACTGCCTGACAAAATGGCCGCCCCTCGTACACAAATAATGTGAAAATATGGTATATCAAGGTTGTAGACCCTCTAGAGGTCATAATTTTGATCCGATTTTGATGAAACTGTTTATAACTCAAAGATCTGGGTTCCTTTCGATATTCACGCATATCAGATTTTAACTTCCTGAATTATGGCCCTGGATTGTATGAAAAGTCATGTTTTTAGCCTGTGGTCCCTCTCGAGGTCACAATTTTTATCAGATTTAAAAAAACCTTTGAATATATCACCGTTACACCCTAATGATAGCTGAATTCGAATTTCGTGAAAATCAGACCAAAATTGCCAGGCAAAATGGCCACCCCTCGTACGCAAATAGTGTAAATATATGGTATATCAAGGTTGTAGACCCTCTAGAGGCCACAATTTTGATTGGATTTTGATGAAACTTGAAATACATATATATTACCCAAAGATCTTAATTCCTTTCAATATTCACGCATATCGGATCGTAACTTCCTGAATTATGGCCCTTGATTGTACGTAAAATCGCTTTTTGTTTAGCTTGTTCTCTATCCACCTCTTGCAAAATGTGGGCATATCCTGCCTGGCAGCCGCTGGTTGAAATGAGTTTATAGGGGAAGCAGTATTCTTTGACGGTACTGAATTGTTTCACACACCAACTTTAAACTGCAGAATTTGAGAAATAAAACTACCAGTACCATTAAACCTTCAATTTACTCCTTACAATGTGCAGATATCTACAACCACAAATGCAGATATGATAACTTCTATATTTACTTCCACTTGCAGTTAATAAATTTTATCAAGGTAATCAATGAAAAATAACGTTCGATGGTGAATACAGCTAATTCGTCACATATTTCAACTGCCTAAGACATCAGGCTCGGTAAATAATTTCTTGGGAACATTTATATAGATTGTTATACCCCAACATTGAAATGTGGTCGCATATTGTTGTCGCCCCTATTGTTCAAACTTGGTGTAGGTGTTAATTATGTGCATGTCTTGACGGAGTTCGATGATAAGCATTTTCTGCTTAAGCTAAGCAGAGATAAGCAATTTCATTGGTTGATGCTTTGGAACATGATAATTTTGATTCTAATGCAACGAAAGTAATGAAAATTGGTGTATAGTTTCACAACATCTATACCTTAATTAAGTTTGATTATAAATATTTTCTACTTAGGCTAAATATAGGTTAAACCATCAAATTTCTGAAATTTTATTGATTTGTTGTTGCCCTTTATCAGTGTTTAGTGTTTTATACACGCTTTCATTACCTACAAAATAATAAAAATGTGAATACCTTTCTGGAGTGTTCGTTTAATTCTCTTCCAACCTATCTTTATGTTTTAGGAAAGTTCCAACTGAAGGTTTTTCAACCAGAAGACTTGTGTGAGCTACTAGAAGTTTGTTTGATAGAAAATTGTTGGGAAGATGACAAGACATTAACATCAAAAGTTAGTAATTGGTTGTTGTGTGTTTGGAATTACATAGGTAACCTCGATGAAGAGAAGGAACAGATTATAAAGAATGTCAGTCATTTATATTTATTGCCATGGATTAATGAAAATGGGAATGGGGAAATTAAAACCTTAAATGCCATCTCCATTTTAGAATCACATTCTGGAGTTGGATCTTTAAATGCAGCGCTTTCAAAGGCATTAGAGAAGTTGGGAATTGTAGTATTTAAGACATTACCAAAAATAATTACTGAATGTGTTGAAGGTTGGTTTGTACAATATCCAACTGATTCTGGCTTAATAGACTGTCTACACCAGATTTCCCGAAGATCAGAATATTTGGAAGAGATAATCAAAAACTTTAATTTTTCCAGCACAGATGAGGAGAAGCACAGTTTAGTTATTAGATTAAGTTCCATCCAAGATATTGCTAAAATCAAAGAATTGATAAGAAAGTTAGAATTATTTACAACTATTTCTAACAAACAGACATGTTTAGAGAATGTTGATATTATGTATGTTGAGGAAGATACCCATCCAAAAATTCCTATCAACCCAGTAGATGAGTTCATATATTGCTCAGATAATTACACCAAGATTGTGGCTGAAAAATGTGATGTGAAATTGTTATCTTTTCATAATATGGTGGAAAAAGTGTTGATATGTTTAAACTGTTCTTATACATTAAGTGAAAAAAAGCAATTCATGACGTATTTTATGAAAAACTTCCATCTCTTTGAGAAACAAATAGATCTAGTTAATTTAGCAAAACAAATTGAATTTGTTGAAAATGAGTCTTCGAAGTACAAGAGACCTTCTGACTTATTTAATCCAGACTCAGAACTTCTCCAAAATTTGTTCCAAATTGAACAGGATAGATTTCCGAAAATGTGTCAGTATGAATTAACAGACTTGAAAAAACTTGGATTACGACATGAAAAAGATGTGACTGATCCTGAAATTATTCATACTGCTAAGGAAATTGAAAGACAATATCATGAAAACAATCAAAGTTCTTCTGTCTTGTTGAATGTTTCGTTAGCCCTCTCTGAATTTCTTACAAAACATCATAGAAGACTTCTACCAGATACAATATGTATTCTAGAATCATATACCTGTTTTCCTATTGCTATTCAACGTCCACCTAATTATCCAGTTAGTCTGAAATTTATAGGAGAAGGAGAATATTATACACTGAAAAAACCCTGTGAAACTTTTAGTTCAGAAGATGCCCATCTGATTGGAGCAGTGGCTTACATAGCAAGAGAAACAACACCACCTTGTTTCAGGTTAAAACCATTAAAAATTGAAGCAAATTTAGTAGCCAGACAACTAATACATGTTTCAGAGAGCTATTGTGATAAAGAATTTTACATATATATGAACTTAATTGACAATATTTATCACCATCTTGATAGCCAGGATTATACAGATTTAACGTGTAAACCGGTAGTATGGACGGGCGAAAAGACCAGATTTCAGACGCCAGAAACAGTTTGGATACAGTTAATGAAATCACCTGAAACTGAGATTTGTCTTGAACCATATATGTATTCCTTACCAAATCATGTTATTAAATTGGCAGACTGGTTTGAGTCTATTGGATGTAAAAAGATTTCACAGCAAGATGATTTAAATAAATTAATGCTGAGTATTTTACATCAAATTAAGAGGAAATATGACTCCACCTGCAAGAGTGTAATGTTTTCCAAGAAAGAAGTACATAAAGATCTGACATTGGTGTTAGAGATTGTAAATAAATTTGCCAACTTAACAGAAGACTTTCCAGGGGTTGTTATGGAAATCCTTCTGCCTGTGCGCACCAAAACTGATGATATTCTGTTACTGAAGTTTGTAAAGGAGTGTACAGTGTTTGAAGATTCTCAAGAATATTATGATGATGATGATGATGATGATGAAAATGAAGCAGACAGAATATACTTTGTTCATCCAAATATTTCATTGACCACAGCTAAAAAGTTCCGTGTTCCTTTCCTAAGTGAAAGAATACTAGACCAGACAGACATTTTAGATATGAACTTTGGACAAAAAGAACCATTAACAACAAGAATTAAAAATTTGTTAAAGGACTACAGTGATGGATTTTCCGTACCAAAAGAACTTATACAAAATGCTGATGATGCTGGAGCAACAGTTGTCAAATTTCTGTATGATGAACGAACACTAGATAATGCACAGACATTCCTATTTCATGAAGGAATGGTACCATGTCAAGGACCTGCATTTTGGGCATATAATGATGCACAATTTTCTTCAGATGACTTTGAAAATATCACCAAGTTAGCTGGAGCTACAAAAATGGAAGACAGTTTGAAAATTGGTAGATTTGGCTTAGGTTTTAATTCAGTATACAATCTAACAGATGTGCCTAGTTTTATTTCTGGGGAAACGTATGTAGTGTTCGATCCACATGAAAATCATCTTGGGAAGAGTGGGTTGAGACTTAACCTAAACCATCTTTACAATAGACGATTACGGAAGAAGATGAAAGATCAATTTGTTCCATTTGAGGGTGTCTTTAACTGTAAAATTGGTGACTCAAAGAGTAAAGTTAACTTTGATGGAACTCTTTTCCGGTTTCCCCTCCGTAACAGATCTGAAGCTTTGAAAAGTAAAATTAAGGAGTTTTCATATTCCAATGAAGAAATGGAGAAATTCTTAGAGAAAATTGAAGAAGGAGCCGGAAATTTGCTGATGTTCACTCAAAAAGTTGTTAAAGTTGAATTGTATCATTTAGATGAAAGATCAGATGTTCTGACTAAACTTATGACTGTTTCCAAATCATCTGATAATTCAGGAACAACTATTTTGAAAAAATTAAAGGATATGCAAAGCGAATTGGTAAAAGACATAGGAAAGCCAAAACCACAGATCATGGAAGAAATAAAAATTCAGTTGTCAACTACAGAAGCTGAAAACTCTAAGGGATTTTTGATTAGTTGGAGTTATGGGATAGGAAAAGCATTAAGTGAAGCAGAGACACCAGCTTTAAAAGGACTCCTTCCTGTTGCTGCAACAGCTATTCAATCAGAAAACCACAATTTGTTAGTAGATAGGCAAAAGGTTCATGGATTTTACCCCGAGTCACATCTGTTTTGTTTTCTTCCCTTACCACTTCTGTCAGAATTACCAGTTCATGTCAATGCATCGTTTGCTGTTCAGTCAAGCAGAAGAGAACTAGCATGGCGAAATGAAGATGAATTGGACAATGCAGAAGATAGATGGAATAAAGTGCTTTTAGAAGATGCTGGTAGTCAATCATATATACACATGCTCACTAGAATAGATCAGAAAACAAGATCTGAACCCCAACATTACTATAATATTTGGCCATCCATGAATTCTCCACATAAGCATGATCAAATATTATCTCGTCATATATACCTAACTATATGTGAAGGAAATTTTGATGTGTTTTTAACACCACAATTCCATCTTGTTTCTTTGAAACAGTCTGTTTTTCTAGATCCAAAATTGAGGATAAATACCACTGTTGGAACAATCGCTTTTAAAGCTTTACAGAACTTCTTAAAATCTTTAAAAAGAGGACAAATTCATCCCATTGACTTGCCTTCATCAATATTGGAGAATTTTGAGCATGCTAAATGCCTACCCTTCTTTAAAGAGCATGTCATCTCAATAGAAGAGTTCTACTCCAAAATAATATTTCCACATTTATTAGATAGCTACTGGTTGAAGGAAGATTTAGATAAAGTACTTCTATATGGACTTAATAATGGCAGCAAGGATTTATTGATACTTTTTTCCAACCATGAGTGTATTCCTACTAAACCAAATGGTAAACTAGCATGTCCATCCAAACTCATACACCCAAAAGGAGAACTGGCTAAACTATTTTCTGAATCAGAAGAATGCTTTCCAGAAGAAAGTTTCAATAGTTTACAATCGCTAGAACAGCTAGAATCACTAGGGATGCAGGTGGATGAATTTAGTGACTGGGAACTACTTTCTGAAAGAATAGATGTTGCATTAGAATCTGGAGGTTATGAACACATTAAGAAACGTTGCATCAATTTTCTTCAGTACTTATCATCACCTTGTACCAGAAAAGGAGTTGACCAAACATGTAGCAGATATAAAGTTTGTCCAGATCTTGTTAGAGAAAAAATTGCACCTTTAAGATTTTTACCTCGACTGTCTATTTGTCAAAAGTATGCATGGTGTAAGAAATCCTATACTGGTGAATTTATCTCTGCAATTGAAGGTTACCTTCCTGAATTGATAAATCTTGTAGGATGCATACTACCAATTGTTGACACTGAAGATTTCAAATATAGGATCCCGACCTCAATTGAGGTTTTGAAATGGTTAGGTGTTAGACAGGAAACAGATATTCAATCAGTTGTTGGTAATTTATTGCAGATATCACATGAATATATTACATCAGAACCAACATCCAGTGATATGTTTCCTGCATTAGAAAAATCTGTGTTAAAAATGTATGACTATATTTTATCACACGCAAATGACAAAGTTAATGCTTACATTGAAGAGAAATTAAGAAATGCAGCAGTGATTCTACAAGACACCACAATGAAGAAACCACTAGAGATGTCGCTAGAATTATTCAGTGATCTTTCTCCATATTTATATACAATAAGCCCAAGATATAAGAAGTATTCAGATTTTTTCTGTTTAATTGGTGTAACAGAGAAACTAACCATCTCCAAAATACTTGAGGTTTTAGTATGCATAGACAATGATAAAGGTAGTGAAGAGCTATCTGATGCTGAAATAACATGTATGGTGCATCTAACTGAGCCATTACCAGAACTACTAAGACACAACATTGATAGTCAGCTGATTAATCTACCAGATAATAAAATTGATAGTCAACTGATTAAACTACCAGATGGTGAAAAAAAATTAACTCCAATCAAAGACTTATGGTTTGATGATACTCCCTGGCTGAAATGCAGGTCAAAAAACATCAAGCCATTACATGAGAAGTTTACGCAACGTGTTGCAAGGTCTATGGGAGTTCAATCAAAACGTGAACATACTGTGAATTCCTTATCGAAATCTGATAATTTTTTTCAGTTTGGACAACATGAGGATTTAACCAATCGTATTCATCGCATTCTTGAGGGTTATCCAAGAGATGAATCAATTTTAAAGGAAATTCTCCAAAATGCTGATGATGCTGGAGCAACAGAGGTTATTTTCATAAAGGATTTTAGGAATCTTCCGACAAAATCCATACCAAATGAGGAATGGAGTGATATGCAGGGACCTGCTTTATGCGTTTACAATGATAGCTATTTCACAAAACAGGATTTGAAAGGTATTCAAGATTTGGGTATAGGAACTAAGAGGGATGATATATTAAAGACTGGTCAGTATGGAGTAGGATTTAATGTAGTATATCATATAACGGATGCTCCATCATTTTGGTCAAAAGGTGGAGAAATAGGAGAGGTTGTCTGCATTTTTGATCCACATTGCAAATATGCTTCCATGGCAACTCAACAGAAGCCAGGGATGATGATAGATGCAGAAGATCTGCAAGAAACATTTGCTGACTTTCACACAGGTTATCTACCTATGTTAACTAGGGACAAGGCACAGGGAACTTTATTCCGTTTACCATTACGCACAAAAGAAATGGCATTATCATCCAAAATTTCAGATGAAGTAACTAACGAACAACATATAGAAGAAGTCATTGAACTACTAAAAGATCACGTTTTTTCTTGTATGATCTTTTTAGAAAACATAAAGAAAGTAAAAATCGGTTCAATTAGGGAAGAAGAATTGGTAATTGAATATGAGGTTGCTTCAACAATGTCTGGGGAAGATATAAAAAAACAGAAAGATTATAATGATTACCTAAAAGAGATATCAATGAAAATTAAACAGAAGGAAGACGGTGCTTTCAGTACAACACCAAAAGAAATTTCAATAACACTACAAATAACTGATAACATGAAGAAGAAAGAAGATTATTTGATTGTAAAGCGAGCAGGATTCCTCACAAATTCTCCATTTTCTGAAAAACTTCAAAATGCTTATAAGAATGGACGACTAAAAAAACTACCGAGAGGTGGAGTTGCAATTTTTTTGTCTCCAAAACCAAAAATTACAGGTAAAGCTTATTGTACTTTACCTCTTCCAGTGGAGACAGGTTTACCTGTTCATGTGAATGGGCAATTTGCGTTGGATCATGAGTCTAGGAGAAACTTGTGGAAAGGTGAAGACTCAGTTCAGTTTTTATGGAATTTGCAGCTTGGCAAATCTTTAATAGTACCAGCCTACATATCTGCTCTACAGAAATATAAACTGTATCCTTTGCCAGCTCGACAATGCAGAACGAAGACAAGAGTTTTAATTCAAATGATCCAACAGTTTGAATCTCTATTCCCAAAGAACAGACATGCCAGTGACATTTATTGGAAAGATTTAGTAAAATCTATTTATGACAAAATAGCAAAAGGTAGATCCAACTTGTTCCCTGTTATTTTAGATGAAACTTGTAATTGGTTTAAAATTAATTGGGTACCAGTTCAGATAGATGATGACTTTGCTGGTTGTTTTAACACACTTGATCAATACTATAAACCCAAGAAGACAACTCCAGATGCTACATTTTACAGGTCTTCAGTCTTGTCTTCTCACATAGCACACTCAAAAAGTGATGAAGGAATTGAACTTACACATCAACTGGAAGAACTAGAGAACATTTTGGTCACACTGGGAATGAAAGTTTTGAAATCTGCTGGTTGGATTCGACAAGAAATTGAAGGAGCTAAAACTGTTAGTCCAGAGTTGGTATTAAAGTTTCTAAAATCTCATGCAAATCAAGGGCAATCCAATGGATGTATTTTAGGAGAACTGCCAAAAGATATTAATCAAACTAGATTTAAAAGCGTAGCTAATTTGAAGATTGTGTTTGAGTTTGTGATGAAAGTCATTACGGAAGAATGCTTCCAAAACAGTAGCAATAAGGAGTCCAAATCTATTGATTTCTTGTATGGGGCACCACTTTTACTACGACAAGATCATCAACTACATGTTTTTAGTGAGAACAGCGTAGTTACTGTATCAAAATTCTGTGATCTTTTACCGAAATATTCAGACAGGTTTCTTTCTCTAAATATTTTACCTATTCTTGAAGACTATGTTTCAGTATATCAACCGCTTAAAGAATGGAGCATTGAAGAATTTGCGGACTGGTTTAATGGTACAGATTTACATCCCTTTATTGGTCAGGGTAGAGAGGTGTCTTGGAGTAGTGGAAAACCTGTAAGTGAGCCATGGCTTGTTATGCTCTGGAAATTTCTTAACCATCATATACCAAACTTAGCAGATGACACCAGATCAATATCTTTAGAAAACTATTTGAACCCAGTTAAATCCTTTTCTATACTTCCTGTTAAAACTGTGAGTAACACATTTCTGTTGTATCCATTGAGTCAAGCTAAACATGTTATAGACTATGTACATCTATCCTTCTATGATATGCCTGGCATGCCTGTATTAGAGAAAACAGAGGAGATTCTCAAAAACTTAAGGTTTCCAGAGTTACACCATTTCTCCTTGGATCTCTACTTCAAGTACAGAGCCTGTGACATAGTGGCGAATATGAAACATCCAAAACGGATCCTTGAAGTATTATACACTAACAGTAATTGCTTAGCATCAATAGACACCAAAAAAGCACAAACCATGTTACAATATTTTAATGAGTTTAAAAATGAAATGTTGGCTTGTGAGAATAAATTAAAACAATTGAAACTTTATGAAACACATGATGGTGAATTGATTACCTTACATATGCCAAAACAATATATCAGACTAAGGGATTCTTACCCACCAGTACCTTCACAAGGTCTTCAACACTGGTCATCTGTATCAAATGTTATTATCCTAAAACGTCACGACAAGCTTGATAATCTATTTAAAATCCTCGGAATAGAAGATACTTCACCAGCAGACCTCTACTTAAAATATATTCTTAAGTGGTTTTATGGCTTTAATGATGAAGAACAGTTGTGTCATTTGAGGTACATTAGAGACAACCTGTTGACCAAAATGGAAGAGGGTTTTAAACCCAAAAGGGAGGCGTTAATTAGAATGCTAACAGAAGTCCAATTTATTTCATACCGAAGTGGAAAAACAGTAGCCAAAACCTTCTATGATAATAAAAATAAAGTATTTCAGGTGATGCATGAATTACTTGACTTTCCACCACCACCATTTAATGACCCTACATGGAGACAATTCTTGATTCACGCTGGAATGATATATAAAGTGTCAGAGGAAAAGTTTGTCTTTTTTGCAGAAACGATTGCCAAAGAAGCACTTTCTAATGGTGTAACGGACATATTAAAAAATCAATCACAAGTACTTGTCAATTTTCTGTTTCAAAGCAAACATCATAATGTAGAAAGAATCTGTGAGAGAATAAAAAACATCAAATTTCTTGAACAAGAGAGTTTACCAGATGATGACTACAGAATAAAAATTTATTCACAGTTTGGCAGCTGTAGAAATTTTATAGCATTCCAGGATTCATATGATTACTCACTTTTTGATCTAATTTGGTCAGTGAAATATGTTCTAAAAAGAAAAAATTGTGATTCAGCAAGACCGAACGAGTTTTATATTAATTGGTTCAAACTGTTAGGAATATCAAAAACAGTGGATTCAACCACATTCATCAGAAATATGCAAAATGTGTGTTCATCTCTGACAGATAAATCAGTTCCAAATAGAATTAGCTTAGACAACCAGAAGAAGTTATTTGAAACATATTATCAATTTCTACAAGATGAGTTGCCTGAAGTTAGGGAGGAACTTAAGGATCTTAAAGATTATCATACTATATTTTTACCTGATGATGAATTGCTTGTTCCAGCTTCCTCGGTTATTCTAGAAAGCAGTCCAGACTATTTTATCGGTGGACACATATTTAAAGCACCATTATATTATGGCAAATATGTTGATGTCTTTGAGGCACTTGGAGTAAGAAAATCTGCCATTCCTGACATATATCTTGAAGTTCTGTGTCGCATTGAAGAAAACAGTAATGGTGAGGAATTAGATCCAAATGAATCTGTCGCTGTTCAACAATGCATCAAACAATTGAACATTCTATGGGGAAAGCATGCAGATCAGAAATATGAGTTGAAAAATCTGAAATTGTTTTTACCAAATCAACGAAATGTGCTAAAAAATTCAACTGAGCTTGTCTTTATAGATGACGATTCTATTTATCAAAGAACTAAACAGCTTTGTATTGACTTTTTTATTGGATACAAACGTTTGGAAATGGAGGTACCTGATCCTAACAGCACTCATCATTTCTGGCCAAAAGAGTACCAGATGAAGAGATTAAGTAAAATAGTAACAGAAAGACTAAATCAAGATTGTATTCAAGGAGCAGGATATGGTGAGCTGGCTATTGAAGTGAGTAAAAGGCTAAAACATGATGAAATGCTTAAAGCTTTAGTGCGTTTACTGAAACATGATCAACATAAGGCTGACATACCATTTGATGATGAAGAAACCATGAAAAATAAACTCCAAACCATAGTAGACATAAAGGTATGTGAAGTTAAAAACCTGTCCATGGAACTTGTCTATGAAGGAAAGGTGGTACCTAATAGTGAATGTAAAAGTTCAGCATACTTTGTAGAGTCGAGCCAACAAAACAAATGCACAAAAGACTATATTTTATACGTCAATCAAGGAATCACTGTAGAAGGCTATGAATTAATAAAAAAATTAATTGCTCTTCTAAAACGAATTCTCAACATATCTAGTGGTATAGACAGCATGCTTTTTAATGCCCTCTGGAATATGAATGTCTCAGAAATTTCAGAATTCCTCGATGATAAAAACATTATTCATTCTAATTATGCTGCAATAGCATCCAGTATATTTCCTGAACTAGGTAGTGAGATTCCGGAAGATCTTCACTTTCTGTTGAACAATAGTTTTACTGAGTTTTATGAAGGTGAATATGTTGGTTTTGAAGTTTTTGACCCTGATCTTGAAGAAACAAAATCTGAAGATGTAGAATATTCACCAATGTATGTATATGCCAAAATTGTTAAAAAGGTTAAAGCAGAAACAGATGAGGAATTTGCTACATTCAATATAAATGTTGGTGAAGACGATTTAAAAGAAGTTTACTTTTTCAAGATCTACAAGTTCCATCGAACAAGAAAAAGTAAATCTAGAACATTGGAATTAAGTGAAAAAGTGAAGGAAGATAATTTAGATGGATCTAGTCAAGATATCACAACCATATTGCTGGGTATCCGTAAGACTTTGATAAAAGCTTGGAAACTTCCAGAAAAAGAAAAAAAAGCAGTCCTTAAACGACTGATATTGCTATGGCATCCTGATAAAAATCTACATAATCAAAAAATGGCAACTGAAATTACCCAAAAGATATTCATGTATGTAAATAGATTAAAAAATGGTCTCTCATTAGATGAACTTGATGAAACTGATGGTCACACAAGTTCAAGTTCCAGTAACTATTACTCAGATGATGATTCATATGGACATTTCTACAAAAACATGAATTCAAGAGGAAGAGGCTATGCCAGAAACTTCCGAGATTACTGGTCACATGAAAGTTATGAGCATTACCATTCCTGGACTCGGACTCGGACTGAACCGAGACCGATGCTGGATCATGCTGTCCGATGGCTGAAACAAGCTGTAAGTGATCTAAAAGCAGCTGAACTTTTTCAACAGAATATTGGTAATGATTTTCATAATTGGGTATGCTACAAATGCCAGCAGGTAAGCTTAAAGGATAAGATGTATTAATATTAGTAAAATAAAAAGTTGCCATCAGTTTCTCAATCAGAAACTGGAAACAACACTTTGAATTTGCCCACATTGAACTGTGGTCGTATATTGTTGTCACTCCTGGGGGGTTGGATGGCCGAATGGTTAGGGTGTTCGCGCTGTATCATAAGGTCTGTCATTGAATCAACTGGCAGGGTTTCGATTGGCCGGTTGTTCGTGACATGGAGTAGGGTCAGCCTGTCCAACCTCATGGGTTTTCACTGCTAAAGACCTCTACGCGCAAGTGAATTATTGAAATAAAGTTGAACCATATGTTAGTCCCGAAATGACCTAGTTTGTGTTGAGTGTTACACCTCTCTCTCTCTCTCTCTCTCTCTCTCTCTCACTGTTCTGTTGTCACTCCTGTCCGTCCTTCCACAGTACATAATTTCTTGTGGACACGCTAGAGGCTAAAGTTAGTATCCAGTTGTCTTTAAATTTATACACATTGTTTAATTATTTCCGAGATAATCTATGGCTGTTGATTACTTCGTAAAATGAACCTTGTTGACTAGATTTAATTAGGTTTTAGTTTCTTGTAAATGTTTTCATTACCAACAAAAGAACAAATGTTACAGTCATTCAGGACTACTCTTATGATTAAGCTTCTGTGGGCGTATGTTTTGTTGCCTGGCAACCTATCTTTGAAATAATGTTCAGAGAGAAAAAGTGAACCATCTGAAATATACTCATGTGGCAGAGCAAACTTCTTTATTTCTGGTGGATTTCGATCAAACTTCGAATATACTTCATTATCATGTCGGAGTCATACAATATGCCATCTGTGCATATTCAATTGGCATTATAAAATGTTTAACGATTATGAATGTGATTTGTTTAAACTTTTGCGATCAATGAGTATAACCATGGAGGCAACCTGTCATCAACAACTGATTCAACAATAAATATGTATACAGCTTCACTAATTAGATTTGATTGTGTTTAAATATAATTTGGGATGCACTCACAAAATAAAATTAGGGGCCTTTGAAATCTATGCCAAAGTCATTTCTGTGGTTAGCAGGGCCTGACATGTTCTTGCAATGTGTGGTGCATGGTGTGATGAGCCCCCTCTCCCAAGGTATGTTATGCTAACTCTTTGTAGAACACCTGAAACCTCTTGGCATTTGAAGAATTTATGTAGCTGACAACATTTTTATACGCCCACATTTTCATGTGGACGTATATTGTCGTCGCCCCTGTCCGTCTGGACTTCTGTTCGTTCACAATTTGTTTGTGGACACTCTACATGTCACAATTTTTATCCGATTTGGACGGAACTTGAAATTTAGGTCTATCTCCAAATGATCTCAGTTCTTTTCGATATTGGCATGTATCGGACGATAACTTCATGGATTATGGCCCCTGATTGTACGAAAAATCGCATTTTTAGCTTGTGGAGCCTATAGAGGTCACAATTTTGAGCCGATTTTGTTGAAACTTCAAATGTAAGTTTCTAACCCATAGATCTCAGTTCCTGCTGATATTCGCGCATATCGGACTGTAACTGCCTGAATTATGGCCCCTGATTGTACTAAAAATCATGTTTTTATCTTGTGGACCCTGTACAGGTCATAATTTTTATCCAATTTAAAAAACTATTTGAATATATCACCGTTACACCTTAAGGATGGTTGAGATCGAATTTTGTAAAAATCGAACCAAAACTGACAGACAAAATGGCCGCCCCTCATACTCAAATAGTGTAAAAATATGATATATCAAGGTTGTGGACTCTCTAAGAGATCGGAATTTTCTTCTGATTTTTATACGCCCACATTTAAATGTGGTCGTATATTGTCGTCGCCCCCGTCCGTCCGTGGACGCTCTAGAGGCTAAAGTTAATATCCGATTGACTTTAAATTTATACACAGTGTTTAAGATCATGAGACGAAGAAGCCTATTGATTTTCAGCGATTTACGATAATTAATGCCAGAGTTATGGCCCTTGATCACTTTCAAAAATCTTGTGGACGCTCTAAAGGCCAAAGTTAATATCCGATTGACTTTAAATTTATACACAGTGTTTAATGTCATGAGACGAAGAATCCTATTGATTTTCATTGAAAAATCTTGTGGATGCCCTAGAGGCCAAAGGTAATATCCGATTGACCTTAAATTTATACACAGTGTTTAGGATCATGAGACGGAGAATCCTATTGATTTTCAACGATTTCCGATAATTACTGCCAAAGTTATGGCCCTTGATCACTTTGCAAAATCTTGTGGCGCTCTAAAGGCTAAAGTTATCATCCGATTGACTTCAGATTGATACACAGAGTTTAAGATCTTGAGAGGAACAAGTATATTGATTTTCAATGAATTTTTATGACTTGGAACAGCTAAATCCATGATATTAAATGTTTTGTATACAAAATGTTAGCATGGGGTAGAAGTTTATAAAAACCAAACAAATTCTAATGGTTTTCTCAGTTGTTACTCTTAATCAGATTTTAGTGTATTATAAGTGTTTCATTACTGAAAAAAGTAAAATATGCGACAACTCTTGTTGACTGCCCGAACGATTTAGCTGCTGTGGGCGTATGTTTCGTTGCCTGGCAACCTATCTTTATGAAACTTGAAATGTATGTTTGTAACCCAAAGATCTTGGTTCCTTTTGATATTCACACATATCCGACCGTAACTTCCTGAATTATGGCCCCTGATTGTACGGAAAATCGCGTTTTTAGCTTATGGACCCTATAGAGGTTATAATTTTTATCTGATTTCAAAAAACGTTTGAATATATCACCGTTACACCCTAAGGATGGTTGAACTCGAATTTCGAAAAAATTGGACCAAAACTGACATACAAAATGGCCGCCCCTCAAACTTGAAATTTAAGTTTATAACCCAAAGATCTCGGTTCCTTTCGATATTCGCACATATCAGATCGTAATTTCCTGAATTATGGGCCCTGATTGTACGAAAAAATGCGTTTTTAGCTTCAGGTTCCTCTCTAGAGGTCACAATTATTATCCAATTTATAAAAATGTTCAAACATATCACCGTTACACCATGAAAATCGGACTTAAACTGCGTATCGGATCATAACTTCCTGAATTATGGCCCCTGATTGTACGAAAAATCATGTTTTTAGCTTGTGATACCTCTAGAGGTCACAATTATTATTCCATTTTGAAAAAACGTTCACATATAATTATATCACCGTTACACCGTATTTTGATTGAGTTCAGATTTTAAAAAATGTTTAAATATATCACCATTCCACCATAATGAATGTTAAATTTGAATTTCGGGAAAATCGAAATGAAACTGCCCGACAAAATGGCCTCTCTTTGTACGCAAATTGTGTAAAAGTATGCAATACGAAGGTTGTGGACCCTCTAGAGGTCACAATTTTTATCCGATTTCGATGAAACTTAAAACATATCTTTTTATCCCAAAGATCTTAGTCCCTTTTGATATTTGCACATTTCAGACCATAACTTTCTGGATTATTCCCCTTGATTGTACAAAAAATCCTGTTTGTTTTTAGCTTGTTCTCTATCCATCTCTTGCAAAATGTGGGTGTATCCTGCCTGGCAGCCGCTGGTTCTGTATTTAAACTACAGGACTGGTGACAGCATGCTGTTTATTTTGTCTGCTATGACATGTTCAAACCATTACTAGAGTGAGCTGTATTATTATTTATTTTATTATAAAATTGTTTTAGAATATGTATGTATAATTTATGATTTATAGGCTGCTGAGAAAGCTCTCAAAGCTGTTTGGTATACAATAGATGGAAATAAAGTAACACATGCTCACAATGTGTATCAAGTTGCTTATGGTTTACCTTATGATAACTTAAAAAAACTTGCATTAGAACTACAAAATATGATTGGTGATCATACTCGTATGCGATATCCAGACACACTTAGTTACCCACAAATTCCAAATGATGTATACAACAAAGATCATTCCCAAAGAGGCTGTGAAATAGCAAGAAAGGTCGTGAATGGAGCATCTGAAATAATCAATTCCAGTAAGTACATCTGTTACTTCACAGATTTTAACTGTGACTTGAAACAATTGAGAAAGAGATTTTATCTATACTAATATTTGTGACCGTCGTTTATCTGTTTGTCTATTCAGGGTTGGCGACTACATTAGGACTGTCCCGAGGCTGAAATTTGGTGCATAAGGGTAGCTAGGTGGCTTTGGCCTACCGCTTCCGGTTTCAGAGTTATGATATACTGCTTTCAACCTATGCAGCACCAGGTCATCCTCTAGGGATGCATATGATTGGTTATAATATATTCCATAAAAATGAGATCTGCACATAACCACCACTTGAATGAAAAATGCCATTTATGTTATTTCCACCATTTACAAAACCATGATTTTCAACTTGCTGTCGGCCTAGTTTGACTAGTTATAAGGAGGGAATAAGAGACAAACATATTCAAACAACAAAGCTGCTGGTCGGTGTAATATTGATAAAGCAACAGAGAAGAGTTTGTTGAAACTATCAGAGTTTAATACATGTATGTGCATTCAATATATCTAGAGTTTTGAATTTTGATAATCTTTAATTTTTCAGATTATTCTAGGGGTGCTAAGAAGAAGAGAACAGAGTAAAATCTAAATGACAAATGAACAAAGAGCATTTGTATTACTGTGATTTTTTAAGGTTTTCACATTTTAGAAATTTATATTTGTAAGTTATAATATTTTAAAGCAAATATGTTTTGTTCATTCTACTATTTTTATAGTCTGTCTGTAGCAGGGCATCCCAACATTACTAGTGTTTTGCCATTAGTATAATATATTGGTAAAATATGAGTTCTGATATGAATATGTTTTGAGAGATAGATATATTCCGTAAATTAGATATATATTTTGTTTTACATGAAAAAAAAAGTGATGATATATATTGTATATTGTTGCCCATGTACTCCATCCGTCACAATTCTTGTATCCCTCTAAGTCAAACTTTTTGTATTGTTGAGTTTTGTATTGATTTTTGAGAGAGTTATTGCTCTTACAATCAAAATTTTGTAATTGCTCCAAATGTGGTTATATATATTGTTGTCACTCCGTAATATATTCAAAGAATTCTATTGAATTCTATCCGATTAGGTTGAAATTTATGTTTATTATTAAAATTTTGATAAATCAACATGTATTTCGAATGTCGATGCTCCTTCTTGATGCCACAAGTCGGAATCTAGTGTAAGTCAGTTATGCACTTTAATAACTGTGAAGAAAATCAACACTGTAATCAGTTACACTTTATCCATACGTTTAATTAAAAATGAGAATGAAAAATCAAAAGTAAAAAAAAAAAAAAATTAAAATGGAGTTTAACGTCCTACTCCAACTGGGTTGATGAAGACGAGCATATGACATACAGTGCTATGAGTGATATTTTGCCTAGACAGGGGCACTGCAACCTACTCTTATATTGAATTCCAACTGCCAAGGGATCTTTAACGTGCTCGCCAGTGTGTACAGGACCTTTGTTTTGTATCCCATCCAAACGACTAGACAGGCCCTCCATCCTGCACCACTGACAAAGAGAAGTCAATTTAAAAAGTAACTGAGAATTACCATCAGCTTGAGATGTGTTTTTGTATATTATTTTCATATATGTTTGAAATAATACATCATTCTTGTATGTATATTTATTCATATTTTGGTTATAGTTAGTTAATTTTTTGGGTCATTTTCTTTCATTTTGAAATATTGTTTTGCTTAGTAGTATTTTTTGTTACAATTTGTATTTTTGAAATAGTTTATTAAACATACATTATGCAAGAGCTAAATCTGTCTGTTGCAGGTCTTTCTTTAAGCCTGAAATGTTATCTAAATTACTAATTAGACATTAATTAACATATTCAGACCATAATCAACTCTCAATGGCATCGCTAGCCTGCGATCTTTAGTGGATTATGAGCTGATTTACTGCATAATTTTCCTTCATGATTTAATGATTAAATGGATAATCGAGACTATGCTATTTATCATACTGACTAAATTTTAGTTATGATTGACGCTAGGCGGAAATTTCAATCGCTTAATTCTCGGTTCATAGTGGATCAATTTTAATGAAATTTTCAGCAAATTGCCTTTACATTATCTAGTTTTTAACTATTATAGTGAGAACTGCGAACTCGTTATCTAATCTCCCATAATGTATCTTTAATTAAAGTATTTTGGAAATATCATTTTGTATTCTGATATATATTAATTTTCCAGTATTTTCTTATTTTACTGTTCTTATATACTACTTTGTCATTTTCTTATTTAATTATTCTACTTTGTGTTAATTTTCTCTTGGTTTGGAAGCTTGAAGATGTTTTGATTTCAGTATCCTATACAATGGCTGTATACTTCTTCATTTGATTGATTTCTCTGAGAAATCCTCAAAATATTCAAACATAATAATAGTAAATGTCTAAGCCTTTTAAGTAATTGTCACATTAAATTGTGTGGAAGATATTTAAGAATGTTATAGATATGATTATAATTTATAATGAAGATAACTGCATTAGCATCATACATTTTCATTGTTAAAAAATATACATTCAGCAAGACAAATATGTATTCAGCAAGACAAATGACATGAATATCGATCTGTTTAAAACTATGGGTTGTCTTGAATATTTTTCATTTGTATATAATCTTGTTTGGCTCTTATTTATAAAGACATGAGATCAGTTATATGTGAAGGAGTTTTGTGCTATATCTATATGAAATAGTTAAGTAATATTTACCTTGTTTTACTGTGTAACGATATCCTATTTAAGTTATTATTTGTGTACTGTTTTTTGTGTGATTTTTATACGCCAACATTGAAATGTGATCATATATTGTTGTCACTCCTATCGTCCACCATTGCTTGTGGACACTCTAGACGAAGAAGCCTGTTGATTTTCAATCAATGATTTCTGATAATTACTGCCCAAGTTATGGCTCTTGAAAAATATAGGACCCCCTCAAGAGGAGGATGAAGTTAATACTGAATCTGATTGACTTCAAAATGTATACACATATGATGAATGAGCCTATTGATTTTCAACGATTTCCGAAAATTACTTCCAGAGTTATGGCTTTTGACCCCTGTGAAAAATCTAATGGATGCTCTGAAGACCAAAGTTATCCTTCGATTGACTTTGAATTTATACAGTGTTTGATGTCATGGGCCGATGATGCCTATTTACATTCAACGATTTCTGATAAACTAAAAAGCTAAATTCATGAGATTACACATTTTGTTCACTGAACTAGAACCCAAACAAATTCTGATAATAATTAATGGGTTGTTACTTGTAATAAGAATTTAGTGTTTTCCTTACCGACAAAAGAAAAAATATGCAACAACCCTTGTTGACTTGGCTGTGGTGGGCATTGTTTCATTGCCTGATAAAATTATCTTTGTGTGATTTTTTTTGTTTAAAAACTAAAGTGGATTATAATATTACCCATGCACATTGAGCAGATAAGGTGACTCAGTATTTAGATGTTTATTATGTCAATTTGAATATTTTATTATAATAAAACATATTAGGCAACACAAATAAAATAACTTGTTTCTCGGGCACCGCCCGCACGCAAAATTGGTTGCGCGTGCAGTCTATTTATTAGTCTTGATGAAAAAAAATAAATATGTAACGCCCGCCCGCACATCGACAAGCAAGTCGTAAAAAAAATATCCCGCATGTACCTACATCCGCCATACATGTATATCTATTCAAATGTATTAAAACTGATTCAGATGAACATGCTGTCTTTTTTATCCGAACAATGGCGAAGTTTGGCAGATTTGCCTTTTTTATTGATATCGAAAGAACCTCCATTTTGTATCACGTGATATTAATTACCTCCCCTGATAAACTAGAATTTGATTCGTGTTAAAAGTCATTGGCGACAATATTTCAATCATTCGATCGTAATCGGCTCATTATTGCCGGCTTCAGTCGGTCCTTGTTTGGAAAATCCTATTGATAAAATAATGAACCGTAGAACAGGTTAATTAATTATAGCTAAGAATACGATACGATGACGATAGTCGTCATAATGCATACCTTAGAATCTGGGTCATTATTAGCACATTTACGGTAGTTTCGATAATCCGGAAAATAATAATTGGATTACCGATTTGATGGTTTTACTGACCAGTTGTTAGTTAGATTTAAATAGTCATTCAATATAAACACCGGATAGAACACCGAATATCCTGAGAAACACACCGAATATCCCAAGAAACAGTATTTCCGGCAATCTCCAATACCGATGACACGGTGTGACATGCATTGGTTGGAATTCGGTAAATAATTATAAATAAACCGGCGATACTAGATTTAGTTTTAAATACTGTTTACCATGATTATTATTTTTGATACACCTGGTGAAAGAGGCTTAGTTTTTAAAAATATTGTTGTCTTTATGGAGGGCTATTACATAGTCGTATGGAATTTTATTTTAAACCAATTTCAATTATGTGAATTAAATATGGAAAATTATTTTCCTTTCAGTCAGTGTTCAGTCTCAGTGTTTTAGTAGACTTGATTTTGGGTTTATGTTTTAAGTATGTACAATAAAGTTGAATATAACGGAAAGCAAAAACGTAAACAAGTAATGACTTTCTCATTTAAAAAAAAAAAAAAAAAGAAAGACCGCCCTCCCGCCCCAACAATTTTCAGCAATAGCCAAATTTTATTTTGCACCATCAATGAGTAAAAAAAAAAAAGAAACCGCCCTCCCTCCCTACAGTTTCAGCTGTCAGTTGCCCGAGAAACAAGACATTTATTTTGTGTGGCCTTATATTTATGTTTATTTTAAGAAATCTGTACTGATCAATATGCTGTTACAAACAGATATATTTTTAACAGAAGTGTGTTCAAGAATTGCTTGATTTCTGGGGGATTACCTGATAATTTTATAAAATCAAACTCTGAGACAATTTTTCTGCTGTTTAGGTGCATACATGTACAGGATTAGAGTTGAGTGAGGCTTGCTTGACACATTTGTTTGTTCAAGGTTATTTCGATGAATGTAGGTGAAAACATATTAAACTAAATCTACAGTGATTAATTACCATGGATGGCAACCATTGATACTGATAATAATTTTATGACTCTTCAGTTCTTGTTACATTTTATATATTAATACATTGTCGAAGTTAAATTTCTCTGACCCATACTAATCGCTTAATATTTTTGTCCCCTGCCTTTTGAAGAAAGCAAGGGACTACTAAAATGGGTCTGTCTGTGTGCCTGTCCGTCACACTTTTTGGGACAAAAGAGAGAGAGAGAAATGGGGTTTAACGTCCACTCGACACAAACTTGGTCATTTCGGGACTAACGTATGGTTTAATTTTATTTACATAATTCGCTTGCGCGTAGGGGTCTTTAGCAGTGGGAGGAAACCGGAGGACCCGGAGAAAACCCACGAGGTTGGACAGGCGACCCTACTCCTTGCCACGTACAACCGGGGATTCTTTTTGGGACACAATAACTCTTCTTCTAATTGAGCTTCAATGTTCAAACCTGGTGTAAGTGTGTATTGGGTGAATGCCTTGACAGTGTTCGATCATGCACATTTTTATAGGTCCATGCAATTCTTAAGTGATCATCTTGAAACTTTACATACTTATTCCTTATACCCTTGACAGTTTTCGATCATGCACATTCGTAATGTGGAAGTATATATTGCCATCGTCCCTGCCAGTGTGTATGTGTGTCGTCTACAGGCCGCAATTCTTAAGTGATCGAACATACTTATACCCTAAGGATGATCCCTTTTGTTTTTGGTGCATGGCCGACCCCCAGGGAAAGAGCCACGCCCATTTCTTGCATTTATTTGTTTGTCGTCAACAGGTCGCATTTCTTAACATATCATCTTGAAACTTTGCATACTTATTCTTTGTAGGCCTACCCCTATTGTTTGTGGTGCATGCCCATTTTCTTTTTGTGTGTCCGTGTGTTCCTTACAGGCCGCAATTCTTAATCGATCGTCTTCAAAACTTTTCTTACTAATTCCTTATACCCTAAGGCTGACCTATTATTTTTGGTGCATGCTCGACCCCCTGGGACAGAGCCACGGCCAATTTTTGTGTGTGTCTTGTGTTTCGCCTACAGGCCGCAATTCTTAACAGATCCTTTTCAAACTTTGCATACCTATTCCTTATACCCTAAGTATGACCCCTATTGTTTTTATTGATTGCCCGACCCAGGCCCAATTTTTGTGTTTATCCGTTTACAGGCCGCAATTTTGTATGGATCAGCGTGGTACATGGCATATGTATTCCTTATAGCTTAAGGGCGGCAACTATTGATTTTTGTGGATGCCCCGACCCCCAGGGGGAGAGCCATGCTGCCACAATTCTGAATGGATTATGTTGCAACTTGGTAAACTTATTCCTTATACCCTGAGGATGCCAACAATTGATATTGGTGCACGATCCCCCCCCCCGCCTTTTTGGCCGCAATTCGTAACAGATCCTTTTGAAACTGCATACCCATTCCTTATACCCTAAGTATGACCCCTATTGTTTTTATTGATAGCCCGACTGCCAGGGGCAGAGCCACGCACAATTTTTGTGTTTATCCGTTTACAGGCTGCAATTCTGTATGGATCGGCTTCGTACTTGGCATATGTATTCCTTATAGCTTAAGGGCGGCAACTATTTATTTTTGTGGATGCCCCGACCTCCGGGGGCAGAGCCACACCGCCCCAATTCTGAATGGATTATCTTGCAACTTTGTATACTTATTCCTTTACCCTGAGGATGGCAACTATTGATATTGGTGCATGATCCCCCTGCCCTTTTGGCGGTGCCACACCCACTTTTTGTCGATACTTTGTCTGTAAATGATATATATATGTTGCAATTATTAACAGTTTTGGATCCAATTCAAAATGATCCAGCATATGTTGTACCTATATATATTGGTCCATGTCCAACCCCCACCCAATTTTTGTCTACAGACTGGAACTTGGCATATTTATTGTCCCCCGCCTTTCGAAGAAAGCAGGGGACTATTAAAATGGGTTCGTCCGTCTGTCTGTCCGTCCGTCTGTCTGTCCGTCACACTTTTTGGGACACAATAACTCTCTTCCTAATTGAGCTAGAATGTTCAAACTTGGTGTATGTGTTTATTAGGTCAATGCCTTGATGGAGTTCGAAGATGAGCATTTTCCGCTTAGGGTAAGCAGAGATAAGCAATTTGATTGGTTGATGCTTTGGGACACGATAACTCTCTTCCTAATTGGGCTAGAATGTTCAAACTTGGTGTATGTGTTGATTAGGTCAATGCCTTGATGGAGTTCGAAGATGAGCATTTTCCGCTTAGGGTAAGCAGAGATAAGCAATTTGATTGGTTGATGCTTTGGGACACGATAACTTTTAATTGAGCTAGAATGTTCAAATTTGGTGTATGTGTTTATTAGGTCAATGCCTTGATGGAGTTCGAAGATGAGCATTTTCCGCTTAGGGTAAGCAGAGATAAGCAATTTGATTGGTTGATACTTTGGGGCACGATAACTCTCTTCCTAATTGAGCTAGAATGTTCAAACTTGGTGTATGTGTTGATTAGGTCAATGCCTTGATGGAGTTCGAAGATGAGCATTTTCCGCTTAGGGTAAGCAGAGATAAGCAATTTGATTGGTTGATGCTTTGGGACACGATAACTTTAGTTCTAATTAAGTGAGATTGATGAAACTTGGTGTATAGTTTCATTACAGTAATACCTTGACTAAGTTTGATAATGAGCATTTTCTGCTCAGGGTAAGCAGCAATTTGATTGGTTGATACTTTGGGGCACGATAACTCTCTTCCTAATTGAGCTAGAATGTTCAAACTTGGTGTATGTGTTGATTAGGTCAATGCCTTGATGGAGTTCGAAGATGAGCATTTTCCGCTTAGGGTAAGCAGAGATAAGCAATTTGATTGGTTGATGCTTTGGGACACGATAACTTTAGTTCTAATTAAGTGAGATTGATGAAACTTGGTGTATAGTTTCATTACAGTAATACCTTGACTAAGTTTGATAATGAGCATTTTCTGCTCAGGGTAAGCAGAGTGATACGCAATTTGATTGGTCGAGACTTTCCTAAAACAATAACTCTCCTACTTTGATTGTTAGACTATAAGTAAAGATATACTGTTTGATTGTTCAATACTTTGTAAAAGATAATTTGTGATAAATTTATATGTGTCCTCTAATTATTTTCCTATTTCGGCGGGGGACATCAGCCTCACTGTTGGCTTGTTCCTTTTACTGTAAGGATAGCAACTATTTATTTTGGTGCATGTCCCGACCCCCAAGGATGTGGTATTGCACCCATTTTTTTGTTAGTTTTTATCTGTAATAAACAGATTTTGTTCAAATACAGCATATCAATCATTTCAATAACAGGGTGGTACCTATTTATATTGTTCCATATCCAACCCACAGGGGCAAAGCCACACCCAATTTTTGTATTTATTGTCTACAGACTGCAATTCTATATGGATCATCTTGGAACTTTGCATATTTATTCCTTATACCGTAAATACAGGAACAATTTATTTTTGTGCATGCCCCGACCCCCTGTCACACCCACTTTTTTGTTAATATTTTTTTTTGCATTCTTGTCATATTACAGTCATTTCATATTTCATTCTCTTCATTTTAAAAAGTACCATATCAATCAAAGCAGGAATGTGGACGTACGTATATTGCAGCGTTAGCAATGCTCTTATTCACTAAGGCTAAGCAGAGATAATCCATTGAGAGTGATGAAACTCTGAGTATAGATTCATCATATCAATACCTTGATTAACAATCTGATTAAAATACAGATCTATATTTCTTTTTTTTTTTTTTTTTTTTTTACTTTCGATGGCCTACACTACATAAAGATCTGACAAATTGTACTTGAAGGTCGTGTCAGGGTCGTACGAGCGGCTTTTGATGTCAGACATTGATTAATCAATCAGCGTTGACGTTTCTAGTGGTTTACCAACAGTTCCGTGCATGGCACGCCAAGAAGTCGCGGTAACAGACCGTTTCAATGGCTTATCCCTCACTTCAACCAAAAAGCTGGTAATATAACAACTCTTCCAGATCCTAGTGTAGTTAAGACAAGTAAAACGAAATTTCGAACTATAAAAAACGAAACGAAATAGGATCTGTGTTTTAATCAGATTGATTGATTAACTTTGATGATGAGAATTTTCTGTTTATGCTAAGTAGCAATAAGCAATTTGTTTGGTCAAGACATTGGAACATAACTCTGTTATGAATGTCTTGACGGAGTTCAATGATTAACATTTTCCGCTAAAGCTAAGCAGAGCTATGCAAATTCATTGGTCTATGCTTTGGCATAACATAACTTTGATTTTAATCTGTGAAGAGTGATGAAACTTAGTGTTGTGTTTCACCACCAGGTACTTAAAAACACTGACCGAGTTTGATCATGAACATTTTCTGCTTAGACTAATTATAGATAATCAGTTTGATTGCTTGATACTATTCAAAAAGATAAATGTGCAATTAATTAATATGTGCCATTTATTTATTTTGGGATTGCTGCGGGGGACATCAGCCTCACTGTTGGCTTGTTGTATGATTATACCATCCAGATTTGGTCAAAATTATACCATTCATTGATTTTGTACTGACAGAAAAATAAGACTCTTTAATAGGCAATTCACTATGTGATGCTATGGAAAATTCTGTCAAAGATCTTGGATCTGATACCTCGGTCTGGCCCCGAGTTCACAAAACATTCTCAGACTTAAGTTAAGAATTAAATCAAAATTGTTGGCCTTATTTTAACTAAAATATAGCCCTTTATAAAACTTTTGTTGTTTTAATGTATCAAATACATCAATAAGAAACTGTGTGCAAAGTTTTACGTTTCTGGATCAAAGATATTTCTCATAAATAGTGATTGAAGTTGAGTAAATTCTTAACTTAAGTCTGAGAATGCTTTGTAAATTCGGAGCCAGGTCTACGAAAAAAGACGAAAAATGGTCTGATTAGTAGATTATCATATGATCACTCGAATTTTCCATAGCCTGGAGCTCAGTCTCCTCCAAGTTTGACTTGCATTGCATGGTCTTCTCTCCCCTATTTACCTTTCTTTCTCAAAATAAATCTTGTAAAGCCAACACAAATAAGAGATATTTAAACACTGACAAATGAACAGAAGAAAATTGTTTGTTTTGGGTTTTTTGGATGATAGTATAATTTTACTACGAAACAATTACAATGATTTTTGATTATTTGTTAATCATTCAATAAGAATTGACATTTTTCAAAGATCTAGTCTAAACCTACATGGCCTGTATTTTGCAACAAACCATCATGTAATAATTAAACAGGTGAAGGCTATAACACTGTAGGCCAAGGTTTAAACATATAATTTACAACATACTTGCACAGCAAGTTCACATAAAATTTCATCCAAATACATCAGTTGTGTAGTATAATGCTCCTGAAATCCTGATTATTGTATTAAAGCATCCAACCTTGTTAAAGATGCATTATGTAAGATTTAGATAAAGAGCTGGTCGTTCTTGCTATAATAGTTCAAAAATAGATAATTCAAAATTAATAATATATCGAAAACTTCATTCAAATAGTTTAAATTCTGAGCGAATTTAACACTGTTTAAAGTTTTGACATAATGTGGTATAGATTGTTTATTATTGTAGCAATGTTAATGTTATCTGTTAATTGAAACTCAGTCTTGCTTTTCCATTTTAAAATTAGATCATTAAATAGTGAATGTATTTCAGTCTATTTACATCTCCAGTCTATTTACATCTCTGCCATCTGATATCCAGAGAGAGTTGATTATAGGCTTGTTATTTTGTAACAAAGGAAACCAAAATAAAAACCGGGAATAGGCAAATTTAGCTCTTACATAATGCATCTTTAAAGTGTCAATCATTTAATCAGATATGAAAATAGATGAATTTAAAACATGAACTTAAAAAATCCAACATCCCAAAATAGATCAATTTAAAGTCCGAATTTAAATCATCCCAAAATAATCTGTTTTCAATAAAGATACAAATATTTATTGGAACAATTAATATCACAGAATGCTTCATATGAAACAATAAAATTATGTTTTAACAGGAAAAAAGATGAAAAAATGTATTTGACAATACCAATCATATTGGGATATTCATGTAAATGAATCATTAAACTAACGAATATTGAGTAGAATCATACTCAATTGTAAGTTAATGTCATAATAAATAATCTAAGTTTGAAGGTAAATTTAGAGATACCTCTGCAATATGGCAGTCAAAAAAAAAAAATTCAAAATTTTGATAGGTTTTTTTCTTATGCCCAAATTAAAACAATACCTGAAAATTTGGATGACAAAAATGTCCAAACCTCTGACCTGTACTGACAAGAAATTGTGAATGACCCCATGGATGGAATATTATAAATTAATACTGACTGAAAATATAACAGGCACAAGAATAAATACATAATAAATATCACAGCACAATATTAGTAGGCTTTATAAATAAAATAAAATATTTGAATCCAAACAAATCATTATGTACCATATTACCCTGCATGCATCAACAAATACAGGGAAAAAGATAGAACATATATATTTTAAATTTTATCAAAATTGGATAAAAACTGTGACCTGTAGAGTGTCTACAAGCTAAAAATGTGATTTTTCGTACAATCAAAGGCTGCGACCCATGAAGTTATGGTCTGGTACATGCCAATATCAAAAGGAATGAGATCTTTGGGATATAAACATTACTTTAAGCTTCATCAAAATCAGATGAAAACTGTGACCTCTATAGGGTCAACAACTGTGGTATTACATACTTTTACGCTATTTACGTACAGGAAGCGACCATTTTGTCGGGCAGTTTCAGTTACTTTCATGAAATTCACAGTCGACCGACATCAAGGTGAAACGGTGATATATTAGTAGGTTTTTAAAATCAGATGAAGTTCTGACCTCTAGAGGACTGACAAACTAAAAACGTGACTTTTTGAACAATTGAGGGCAATAATCTATAATCCAGCAAAAAGACATGGTTTTCCAGGCATTTACATAGTGTTAAATTTGGAGACTTTAATATCACAAACCACACATGGAAACTGAAAAGTTGTATTTCCTCAAAATATTATCACATGGTTGCATAGTATAAGGACTAGGATAGAGGTTTACAGAAGTCTTCACCATGAATAAAACAGTTTCATTTACCGGTACTTAAATATCTGGGACTGCATTTAATAAATGTAGCCTTGACCCAGTGGTGTTACTGAATCTACCTATAAATAATATCTTGATGAGGAAGCAAATAATGAGAGCTATCTGTACTTGATCCGAATTGTCTTGGTAGACCTAGCTGTTGTTGTAAAGATGTATATGTAAAATGATTGGGTATTTCTGAAATGTCATCATTCAAACCACCTACAGATTAAAAAACATTTCAATTAATTACATATTATTATGGCAAATATCTACCAAGCACAACAGATGCACCATGTCAGAAACAGAAAATTCCATTTGGTGTATGACAATGCAGACTTTGTGACTTGCATTAATAGAAACGAATTTAAGAAATGTCTAAAATGTACAGCAGTCAAACCAAATGTACAATGGTCAAACCAATTGGCATTCCTCAATATATTCTGCTAATTTCTGGTAGGTTTGGAAAACATTTGGGACATTATGATGGCTGAAATGACCAGCGGCTGTCAGGCAGGATATGCCCACATTTTGCAAGAGATGGACAGAGAACGAGCTAAAAAGATAGGTTGCGAGGCAACGAAACATACGCCCACAGCAGCTAAATCGTCCGAGCGGTGTAAATTTCATATAAATCAGTTGATAACTATTGTCGTTAGAGTGTTTACAAGGCACAACAAAGTGAAACAAGGGCCATAACTTCAGAAGAAATTAACAGTGATATATTCAAACAGTTTTTTAAATCAGATAATAAATAAAAACATATCTGTTAAAACCATGAATTAACATTGGATAATTGTCTTTATTAAAATACAAAAACTGCAAAATTTGTTTTCTATTTACATGTGTTATCATGAATTGCAACACAAAATGAAAATGACAAAACAAATAAATGACCTGCAAATCAAAACTTTCTAGTGTAAGGGCTATGTTTACTTACCGTAACTCATAGAACTGTACATCATAGAGGATTGGTCCATTAAACTTGTTCTTCCTGCATGTGTTCCACCAGATACAGCAGATTTAGGTCTTTTAAGACTATCTGGTAAGCCATCCTTCCAGCCAGGTGTATGACCAGATTTGGGACGAGTTTTAGTCATTTCTTTATGAAGATCTCTTCCACCACCTAACCAGTTGTTGGCTTTAGTGACATGTATACCACTGTTGAATTTACTTTTGTCTTTGGAAGCTGGTGATGAAGGGCGCTGTGGTGGAGGTGTAATTTTATCTACAACTAATTAAAAATAAATTTAGATATCAATAAGAAAAGAACTCTCCACATTTTCTTTCGGTTTTGGTCACAATGTCAGACCTTGTCCTATCCTATTGCCTCAATTTGTGTCATTGAAGACCTTTCAAATGGGCAAATAAAGATATCTTTGCTATGGAACAGATACTAAAAATCACTTCATCTTGTAGTATGATTTACTCTTCTTGACTTTTGCAGCATGATTTTCTCCATACAATGACTGGGTTTACAAGAAGAAGTGACTATTTTGGATGGGATAAATAAAGCAGACAGTAATTTTTCTGCTTTAGTAACTGTATAAGCTAATTTTTTGGCCTTCAAGGTTGAAACCATCACCAGCTTACCAGTCCTTTAAATGGGACAGCAAAATGGAAGTAATTTGATTAAGCGTCTGGTCAACACAAGGCTGTGGTATTTAAAGATTGACATGTTTTCTTTCTATTAAACAATTGAACACTTTTTCCTTATCAGGCATAAAGTCATTACTGTAAAAGAGGAAACTAGGCTTAAAAATGAAGATGGGTCTTCTAAACCGACAAAAATTGTAACATGGGAATTTCTTATTAGTCACATTGCTGCTCCTGTTTATATGTGACAGTTTTGGGGGTAAAAAGCATGAATTGTGACAACATTTGGATTTATTTATATATATTTTACCTGATACCATATTCTTTGGAGCCAATTTCCAGGCATCTGTTCTTGCTTTCTGGAAATCAGACATGTATCCACTACTTGGTTGATTTCTAGAATTACTGCCTGGCTGTTGGTTTATAAATGTCTTGTAAGCTTCTACAGCACTAAACGGACGATTTCTTTTTGATTGACTGAAAATATAAAGATAAGATGCCAGGCAACGAAACATATCCCCACAGCAACTTAGTTGTCCAAGCAGTCCACAGGGGTTGTCACACTTATCTTTCTTTTGTCAGTAATGAAAGCATTTACAAAAGACCGTTCACAATGTTCTACAAAATGAGATGAGGGCCATAACTCCAGAAGTAATTAACAAAAGAATTTGACATTCAATAGGCTTCGTCATTTTACTAATGTTAATAATATGCACAAATTTTACTATGTAAATAATGCAAATAAATTTCATACATATTGTTCACTACAAAGTGAAACTAGGGCCTTATTTCTAGAAGTTATTAACAGAAATTTCTTAAATTCAATAGGCTTTTCTGTTTTATAAATTCATATATATAATATATATATTTCATAAGCTTAAGTTTCATAAACTTGTAACATACTGACGTCCAAAAGGTTCTACAAAGTGAAACAAGGGCCATAATTCTAGGAGTAATTATTAAAATTTGTTGAAATTCAATGGGTTTCTTCATTTCACCGATTTAAATAATGCAAAAAGGAACTAAAGTATGGTCCAATTTTAATAAAATGTTCAAAGAATGCCTTAATTTTATTCTTAGAAATGTTATTTTCAATTTTAAAGCTTGTACATACCTTATTTTTGGTTTATACATATAGTTATTTAAATCAGGCTGTTTTTTGACAGGACGAGTTTGTTTACGATGAGAATCGAGTTCAATACTTATATTCCTTTCACTTTCCTCTATTTCAAACTGAGGTATCTGAACTTCTATGTAGGTTGGTGTCTTTATTTCTGGCGCCTTAGGTAATGCTGGAGGCTTGGTTGTTACCAAATTTGGTTTAGCTGTACATGGACGAGGTTTGGAAAGCGCCATGATGGGACTGTTCTGTCTTCTGTCATAAATGTCTGATTTTGAAGATTTGGGTCTGGCCTGTTTATCCTGTGAATTATCGTCAACTCTGTTTGAACATACATGTTGCTCTGTTTCTTCATTGTTCACTTTCTGTAACATACAAGAATTGAAATTTGAGATAATTATCTAAGTATAATTATACAATAATTTTTAACAAATAGTGAAGGTGTGTGAAATGTGGTTTAATATCCTACTTTTCTTCAGCAGCCAGGCTTAGTAATAATACAATGTGCAATGATGGAAATTAAACTGGACAGCTGTATTTCCATGTACTCTTCATTGAATTCAAATTGTCAACATTTCTTAATGTGCACGTCAAATGTACAAGGGGCTTTGTTTTTTTGTGTCATCCGAAGACATTTTTTCTTGCAGGTCCTCCACTGACAAGCAGAAACCATTCTGGAAAATCCTGAAGAACTTTCTCGGCACAATTGGGATTGAACCTAAAACCTCCTTGTTAGTGAACAAGTGCCATACTCACTAAGCCATCATGGCACTGTTCTGAGGGGGGTGGGGGGACATGCAAGATGTGCAGTACCTTCCTTATATCTGCAAAATTATATACGATTAAGGGTTTGAGTGTGTGGTAAAGTAGAGTTGCCTATCTTAATATAGAACTAGATATGATATCCTTACAATAATTGTTATATATATAAATAGAATGGAGGGAGTAGAAGCTCATCATCTCATCATTTGCACTGCTCACATCATTTCATAGCCCTATTTGATCTATCCATCTTTTACTGGATTTGTACAAATGATCACAATTATCACATCAATGAATTTGCAAAATCATTTAACCATATCAATTTTAAAATGACAAAATTTTTCTTGAATTAGTTTAAACATACACCTATAAATTGATGAGTAGCAAGTAGTAATACCAGATTTCTCTCATGAAGCGACTAGTTTCGTTGAATTCAAACTCATCAGGTTTATGTGAGATTGTTGTTGTTTGTGGTGTTTAATATCTGCTTCCACCAAATGTGATATCGCAGACAAGTTGTCTTATTTTCATTTTTATTATCTTTCCTGTGGGAGGAAACTGGAGTACGTACCTGGAGTAAACCAACGAGTGCACCCACATACACTCCAATCTGATTAAAACACAGATCCTATTTCGTTTCGTTTTTTATAGTTCAAAATTTCATTTACTTGTCTTTACTACACTAGGATCTGGAAGAGTTGTAATATAAGCCATGTTCGGGTGGATGTCAGGCATTAGCCAATGAAAAGGTCTCTTTTGCGGTTAGTTCTTGGCATGCTGTGCACGGAACTGTGGGTATAGCACTAGAAACATCATCGGGTTGGTTAATCAAATGTCTGATGTCATAGGGTCAAAAGCCGTTTGTATGACCAGACGCGACCTCCCATTACAACCGGTCAGATCTTCATGTTGTGTAGGCCATCAAAAGTATAAAAAACCGAAACGATATATAGATCTGTATTTTAATCAGACTGCATACTCTCCAACCAAGGATCAAAATGACAACCCCAATCCAGAGATACCAGCCACTAAGCCATCCCAACCCCCCCAAGTCAGATTGTATGGTTGTTCCCTTTTATAGTTGTTGGCGACCAGAGCACAAAGTGAATCTTGGGTGGACAGTATAGTGCTGTTTCAACCGAGCAACTGCTTCCGTTATTGGTGAACAGAGAGACGGCTAAAGAATTGCCGTTATAAAAATGCTTATTTGCATAGACTCTATGTCGTTTAAAAAAAATAAGTACCAGTAAACAGATGGGAACTATTTGAATAACCAGAACCATTTGAATAACCAGACTGGGCTAGCCTATTGAAATAATCGGATTGAGTATTCAACTGCTATTTGGCAATTGTGAGGTTGGGTTTTATAATCATGACGTGATGAAAATATCTAGTTATCTTCACTAAGTTTTAAATTTGCCATGGCATCACGTATATGGCTGGCAGGGCCTCTGTATCTCTAATCTGAGGTAGGCTACCGATCAACTCTATCGTTACCGGTACAGGCTTCCAGTTTCTAATCATATGTGACACCCTGTCGCGTATTTCTTCCAATTGTTTGCGAAAAATATCTAAAGTCATACCACTAGGGTTTCTTGTGATATTATGAAGCTAAAACATCATTTCTCGCAATGAGAATTAGTGGGTGACAGTAGCTATTGCACAGAACCTTTGGTTACCAACTGATTTTGATAAAACTTTCAAAATTGGCACCAAATCACCTACTTAAATGATTGACCTGATTTCAAAGTTTTTGAAAATTAAGGAAAAAAAATGTCCTGTAAACAACTTTGTCGGCACGAAATACCTCAAAGTGGAATTTTGATATTTTGAAAATTTTCATGTACCAAAATTACGACCATCAGGCTATCCAGAGAGGTATTAATTTCATAAATAGGAGACATATTCATGAAACAGGACTTATTCTGTTTATTTCCAAGCTGTTAATGCGAATTTTTCCCTCGTAAACAACTTTGTCGGCACAAAAAACGTCAATGTGAAAATTTGAAATTTTCATGTACCAAAATTTAGGCCATGAGCCGGGTTATCCAGAAATGTATTAATTTTGGAAATAGGAAACGAATTCACAAAACAGTGGCATATTGTGTTTCTTTTTCAAGCCCGTGTTAATGTGGAGTTTTCATTATTTTTCATATTCAATTCAAAATTGTGACGTCAGTTGACTGAAATCCAAATTCTGCTCTCTACATTCTATAGAGCATTCATTCAAGGATTCACAAAATGTAACTGCCATGGTTGTAAGTCAAATATCGCAAAAGTGATTATTCATGTTTCAAGATGGTGGCATGTCCGGTTTGATCGACAAACTTCATATTTTGTGCACACATCAGTAGTGTCTTAGGTAGTACAGAAAAAAATGTTCAAGGCAATCTGACCTACTTTTTTTCTAATCTATTGAAAATTTTGATCCTTAATTTCTCCAAGGGGAGAAATGTTAGTAAATTTCTAATGACATTGCTCGCGACGAATCAGTCAGATCTATCTATATTTCTCTCATGAAGTGACTATGGAAGTTTCATTCAGTTCGAGTGAAAACTATTTTTACCTCATCAAAATGAAAGTCGATCATTTACATAATGGATTATAATCCCACTATTGTTCAATTTAGTAAACCCATTCAAGAGAAATGGCCAACGCCAGATTGGCCTGGAACATGTGGGGGGCCCCTGATCACCGACCGCAGAGCTGTGGCCGGCCGCCAAAGTTGCGAAGCCCCGCAAGGGGGTCTGGGGGGGGGGGGTCTCCCCCGGGGAATTTTTCAGAAATTGGAGGCCGGAAACGTGATTTCCTGGCATTTCAGGCACTTGTGTAGAGCCATTTAGAAGTACCTACCCCAGAAAATAATAAAATTCTGCTACAAAATTAGCGCATTCTGGCGTTATTTCAGTGGACCAATCAATGCGAGTGCTATGAAATGATGGCATTTCTAGAGGAGGGGGCTGGACGCAACTGAGATTTTTGTGGGGGGCCCTCTAATGTGGGGGGCCCTGGGGCCTGTGCCCCATGGTTAATCTGGCGTTGGAAATGGCTTTTTCCGATTAGGAAATGATGTTGCACACTCTTTGAGAAAAAGAAAAAAGCCTATCACATCATTTAGAAGGCTACAGCAAATAAGATTAATATATTTACTTTATTGGTACAATCTGACTAAAAATCTCCCTGTCATAATAATTTACATATTTTACAAGTGTAACTGACAGACGGACGGACGGACGGACAGGACAGGCAAGGCAGACAGACCCATTTTAATAGTTTCCTGCTTTCTTCGAGAGGCAGGGGACAAAAAGTGGGATGAAAGGGTCTAAGAAGACGGAGACATTCAAATGGTAGTACACAGAGCTTCTATTCCCTTCATTTATACTCCCAGTCAGTCCCAGACCATATGTAAAAGTTTTCACTATACAATGGTAACATGTATATAATATCAATTTATTGTTATAGAGATGAATGGCTATATAAATCACTATGTATAAAGAATGTAAATATAGCTTTAGTCAGTCAAGTAGTTGTATGATCTTTTCTATTGTATGGTAAATAAATAGTGAATGGTGGTTGTATCTGCTGAATAGTTATTTAACAACTAAAGCCCTGTCATTACTTAAACTTTCAACTACCTATAAAGTGTTTCAATATCTAGAATAGTCATTGTGTTGGTTGCTAGAGCCAAATATTGATAGTATCTATTAATGTAAGGCCTACATGTATTCTCAATCTAACCAATGGCTAACAGCAAACTTATCAGATCTCTGGAATAACTATTTCACACAGTGGGGGCAAAAGCCAATTTAAAACAAAGTGGATAACAAATTACGAAAAATAAAAGTTTTCGATTAATCTGTGAAAATTTGAAAACACTGTTAATTAATTCTTTAAAGAGTGAAAATGAAAGGAATTGAGAAACTTGAAATAGAAGCTACAGAAATTTATGGTAAATTAATTCGTGGTGATGACATTCAACTTAAAAAATTCATGCAGAAACCAAGTAAGCAGTTGAAAGATATGTGCTGTGTTATTATTGGAACTGGAAATACCCTGATACATGAAGCAATTCATAAATCAAAACTACAACTTCTAGCTTTTTTCCTAAAAAATGGTGCAGACATTAACACTAGAAATAAAGAAGGCCTGACACCACTTCATGCAGCCCTTCTTTACAAAAATTTCAGAGCAGCCAAGTTTTTGATCGAGTCTGGAGCTAGCGTAAACGAAATAGTGTCACAAAAAACAGGCCAGTCTTTGTTACACAAAATGGTCTGGGCAAACCGTCGACAAGCAGCCAAATTGTTGTTAGAAGAAGGTGCTGTTGTAAGCAGAAAAGATAAATTAGGACGTACCCCATTACATTTTACAGCAATGCGAGGCAATGTTTACATGATTCCGATGTTTTTAGAAAAGGGCGGTGAACTCAATGCTATGGACAATATGAACAGAACCCCACTTTTACTTTCTCTCATGTATAAAAACCCAGACATTGCTAAAATATTGCTGGAGGAAGGAGCAGACGTGACTATTAAGGATAAAATTGGTAACAGCCCACTACACATAGCAGTTATAGAAAAATATACAGAAGTAGCCAAACTGATAGTCAGCAGAAATGCTATTAATGTCAACACCAAGGAAAAAATCATGGGAAGGACACCTTTACATTTAGCTTGTGAAAAAAATTATCAAAAATTAGTAGGCCTGTTGTTAGAGAATGGGGCAGACGTCAATCTAACAACCACCTTCAGAAAATCCCCATTACATCTGACAGTTCTAAATGGCGCTACAGAACTGGTTCCTCAATTACTTAACAGGACACGTAATGTGAACATGCTATCACTTGGAAACAAAACCGCTCTACATAATGCTGTCGAAGGTGGATATTACAATATCGCAAACTTGTTAATCCAAGCCAAAGCCAAAACCAATGTCCATGACACTCACGGTTTGACGCCATTACATCATGTGGCCCGACTCGGTTATACAGACTGCGCCAATCTTCTGATTAAAGAGGGAGCTCAAGTGAATAGTTCTGACTCAAAGCAGATGACACCACTTCACCACGCAGCAGAAACCAACCAAATGGATATGGTGAATACATTGTTACGGTCTGGAGGTGATCTCAATCTTCAGGATGAAGACGGAAAGATACCTTTAGATTATGATACTAACGGAGAGCTACAAGCTTTATTAGATAGAAAATCAGCAAGACGTCGTCGACATGCCCAGATAGACCGATAGTTGTGATATTAAATCATACGATTTGTTTCACAACTGTGTATGGAGTATTACCTTTAATCATGTCTACCTCATTATTATATTTGACAATAATTATGTAATTATGTGTTTTATTGATTATACTTTCAATCCTTTAAATTGTTCTTAAATTTATCATACTAGAGTTAGTTTTTACTCCAATTTGTGATATTGGTAATTCTTTGATTCTCTCTAAAACAATACATGCTATAATCTACTCAAAAGACAAATTGAATACTTACAACCCATTGTCAAAGTTAGACAAATATATCAGAAGGAAACTTATTGTGAGTTGTCTACAAATTTGACAAATGTCTACATATTGGATCAAATTCAGCTTGAAACAGTTTTTAATTTTTTAATATAAGAGAACAGTTTTGAACTGGTTTATGAAACTTCTTCCTCCAGCTGAGTGCCCTGTCTGAAGGCGGTTTGTTCAATATTAGTATAAACATGCCAGAGTTAATAATTTTAATTGTTTTTACCAGCTATTTGTAGATTCGTGATACATGATTGGTTTATATAATAAACAAAGCAAACTTAATGCAATAATTGCATTTTTTTATGTCATATGTTTAAAACATGTTAAAATAAAGCCTTAAAATACATGGCATCTATACACACAGTCCTGCCTTGTTAAAGAATAATCCTAAATCCTATAATTCACTTGTGTCAGTTGAGAAATTGGCAAATATATCCTTTCATTTCCAAATACCATTAGCGAGTAGAAATTATTTAAAATTTTTATGTGAATGTTTTTTAAGTGCTAGAATGATTCCTATGATTGTATAGTAGTGATTTGACAACCAATTAAGTAATAGAATAGAAATAGTTATGTTTTGACTTTCTTTGAAAATATGCAATTATCGCTTTAATCCAAAATTTTAGGTACAAAAAAAAGGTTTCTATTACTGGAAAGAGGGCCTGGCATGTACAGTAGTATCTAGTCGTTTTGAAGGGACAAAAAACTGAGGCCTATGTACACATTGGCCTGCACGTAAAAGCACTCTTCAAAGTTGGAATTCGAAATAAGTGTAGGATGTGGCAATATTTCTCTCATAGCACTCTGTATGGTGAATGCATATCTTTATTATCCCAGTCGGTGCAGAAAAATAGGACATTAAACCAGATTTCATTTCTTATTATATCATATTAATATACCTTATAGAGACTGATAAAAAACATAACGGAAGTAGTGAAAGTACAGTTGTTTTGTTAGAAAATCTTAAAATCCATCATACATAAATAACTTGAATGAAAATAACATCTAGTTTTAATCAGATTGCAGCATATACATCCTACCTGTTGTCTGTCTGTTGTATCATTTACTGCTATATTATTTTCAACTACAACTTGGTCAATACATTCATTTATATTAGACTTCACCATAACTTCTGCCTAATAAAAAATGACAATTATATTAACATATTAAAGGGGCATTAGGTAAGATTGGATAAAGAGTTGACAGTTCTTGCTGTAATAGTTAAAAAATAGATAATGAAAACAGAATATACTGAAAGTTTCAGTCAACTTGCTTCACTCTGAACCAAGATTTTAGCGATTCAATTTTAGGCTAGTCTCGATCGTCATAATACTAACGTTGGTATGATAATAAACAAAGTCTTCATCATCCATTTTTATGTTAAATTATCCATCACAAAACGTATTCAAATCCACTAAATATTGCAGGCTAGCGATGCCATCAAGAGTTGATTATGGTCTGGATAAGTAAATTAATGTCTAATTAATAATTTAGGTAGTATTTCAGGCCTAAAGAAGGACCTGCAATAGGTAGATTTAGCTCTTGCATAATGTATGTTTAAATAATTAATTGTAAAAATATAACTGATTGTCAACAAATATATCTACTCTTTATGTTATCAATTATTTAATTTGCTGCACATTATGTTGCACTCCAAAGTTACAGATCTCTGTTATATAGAGTACTGTAAATCAAATTAATATTTTATCTTTATTTGTTTCATCTGAATTTTATACCAAATAAGATCTAACTGATCTAACATATAATCAGAGCAATTGCTGTTCTGATGGCTGAACTCAGCTCTGTCATGTACTACGTAAAATAGCTTTATTTAACGTCCACTTCCACCAAAGTGATATGCACGAGATTCAGGGAGCTTATAAATAAATGTTTTTGCTTGATTTGGAACAACTGTGTTTTTATTACCAAAGTTCGTTATAATATAAAATACAAAATATAAAACGAAAGATAATGAAAAATAGATTTGAAAAAATCTGATTTTAATCACACTGACATGTACAGTCAGTGTTTTCCACACAATGCTACCTTTGTAGTCCATAAATCTGTCTGGATGGAAAATACAACACTTTCAGAATAGAACATTGGGTGGATGAATGTTGTGAGTCAGGATTGTGTAAAATGATGGACCCTATAATTATAGAGAAAGAGAGAGAGAGAGAGAAAGAGAGAGAGAGAGAGAAATGGGGTTTAACCGTTTAACGTCCACGTGACACAAACTAGGTCATTTCGGTACTAACATATGGTTCAATTTTGCAGTGGGAGAAAACCCATGAGGTTGGTCAGGCATCCCTACTTCTTATCACGTACAAGTGGGGAGTTGAAACCACACCACTTTATTCAATTACAGACCTTATGATGCAACGTGCACATGTTAACCATTCCCCCCCCCCCCCATCTATTATTATAGGTGTTCTGCTCCAAACTGGGCTAATGAAGACGGGCATACGCCATACAGTGTGCCATGAGGGAAATTTTGCCCGGACAGCGGCACTTTGGCCTACTCTTATGTCGAATTCCAACTGTCAAGGGATCTTTTACGTGCACGCCAATGTGTACACGGGACCTCGTTTTTTTTATCCCATCCGAACGACTAGACAGCTGTCCTTGTCAGGCCCTCCGTCCTGCATCACTGACAAAGACTACATTGCAGTGGAAGACTAGATGTAATAAATAGGGTTAAAAACTTACATTAATATAAACTGTTTCATCTGGTTGTGAATCTTGAATACCATTTGTTGTCTTGACATTTTGAATACTCTCTGATCTAAAGGTTTGTGATGGAGATTGTGATCGTCGGGTGGCTCTTGCCGACTTGGCTCGATTTTTACTCATATCTAGCTTCAAATCTAATTTCTCTTTTAATACTGAGGACATGGGTCGTGGTGTTTTTGTTATCTAAATTTTTTTTTTTTTTGGGGGGGGGGGGGGGAAAGGAAACATAATATATGTAATAATGATTTGAATTTAAATTTGAAATAAATATCTGACTACTAATATTCCGGTAACAAAGTATAAAAACCTTTTAAATTTAGAAGTTGATAAAGTCACTATCATGTATAAAAATATATAATAATCACACTAAGGCTTTACTATACAAGCCAACAGTTTTAGATAAATTTTGATAATTTATACTTGGGACACAATGCTGTCTGAAGGTTTGGGATGTTATTTCCGATGAAGGGGTTGTGATCAGCTACAATACTACAGACAAGTACACAAGATACCTGTCTGTTTACAGAAGAGTCCCTGATTGGCTGTAAAACTCTGTAATGGTACCTGACTTCCCGTTAGGCTACCCAAATGTTAATTGTGGTGTGATCACGTGTTAATCAACAAGATTCAGTGTTTTAATACTGTAAGAATAATCTCAATGATTGTTCTGGTTTATTATGACTGCTATTATATCATTGAGAAAATATTTCCCACAAATTCTAAAGTCATATCGAGGTAGCAATATATTTTATGACAATATCTGTAGTACTATAGCTGAGAATAACCCCTTCATAGTTATCTTCCAGTAAGATTTAGGACTAGGTAATCCGAGAGTGATGAGACACCCTTGCAGTCAAATCATCAAAGAATCTATGAGGATGGACAAGTTCCATGAACTGTTGTTACTAAAGTAAACAATATTAACTTGCTCCACTCACACGTATTTACAAACACATATGTACAACCTGGTACAAATGTGAAGTTGTATTGGCAGATTTTAGGCGCTATAAAGCTGCATTATGCAGGAGTGCAAACCATTCAGAAAGAGGTACAAAATATATAAAACTCAAAGTTAGTTTTACCGGTTTATGAGCTGATCCAGTGAATCTTGTAGTATTTTGACGAGGGGTAAAAATCAACGGTTCTGTAGTTCTATAACTTCCCTTTTGACCGAGAATAATTCCATCATCAGGAGAATTGGGACGTAAAGACAAATCAGATTGGGATGATTTCCTTTCTAATTCCTGCTGGAAATTATCAACACTTTGTAAGGTAAATCTAAAAGAGAAAACAAGTTTAAATCACTTGTGACCAAAAGTAACTATTAAAAAGTAAGTAGTTAATATACATGCTGATGAGTACTCTGGACATGATAATCCAGTCTAACCTTATCTGCAATATTAATGGGACAGAGTACCAAGATATCAACCTGAGTATTTAAGGCTAGCATCTGATTAAATTCAATTGTCTATAATAATTTTGAAGAAAAATTATTATGTACCATGACACCTCTGCTGATTTTCTTAAAAATTCATAATTTGTTAGCTACACAATATTGGTTTTACTATCAATCAATACTAAAATAAAATTGTGATTGACAGGGTTGCTTCTGCTGAGAGGTGCACCCACATCTAGCTATCAATGAAATCTTAACAAGTTGTAGACTTTATGTTTCCTAGTGTAACAGTGTCCAACATAGTATGATAGGAACTTATATATAATAGCTCAGCTTCCTCCACATTACTAATCAGAGATGTAATGGTTAAAGCAATTAAGGTGGGTATATTGTTGACTTTGCTATTATATTCTGATGTTACTAACATCTGGACACTTTAACCCCAACCAAAAATTTGATTTAAAGCAAACTAAAAACTGATAGAATATAATTAAAGGGCACATAAGATGGACAAGGAAACTTTTTGGTACTTATAGCCAATGGTTACTATATGCACTTTACGGCAAGTTAACATTAATCTGATTAAAATTAATTCAGTTATCTTCACTCAAAGTTGCAAATATAGACCTCCCGTAAAAACGACTTTGCCAATTATCGAAAACATCACAGTGACCGAATGCATATTCGGAATGTTTATTTCTTAATTACCTATATACAGCCGGTGTATGTATTCATTAACGCCTGACTGGTTCCTTAATCCCCTAGTTAAATAAAACAACTGACGACGGAATAATTTGTTTTGTAATTTATTTTAATTTAAGATCCAATTTAGAATTTGTTTTATAATGTCCCGCCCTCACTTCTCACGACAGCGATATTAAAACTGTGTTTTTAAACTGACTTTTTGATACATTTGATTTGAGATACATTACTGTCAGAAGAGTATTGTTATTCTAATTTCCCCGAGTAAAACAGTACAGGTGTAAAAAGAACTGGTCATGCAAAATGTATCATAAAAGTCAAACATGATTGAAATGCGATTTGTAAATGACGTTCCGTTATCAGAGTAGCCAACTGTATCTCGTTTTCCTGTAGCCATCGTACGGCGCCTTTATTTCTGCATGTGGATTTGATTTCATTACTCTGAAATAGACTGTAAAAGAGAAATACGAAAAAATAACTCAATATACGTTAGAATTAACAGTACAAATAAATTTTGATGTTAACCATCTAAATCGAATAACAGATTGAGAAGGGTCATCTAACTATCTTTGTGTATTAATAATAAAGTGGCAAGTGTAGTGTCGTTAATATCTCACATTAATCCCTCCGGCTAAAGTTGCACAGACACAGGATTATAAATTAATTTACACCTCGATGTGGGATTAGGGATGCTGATAGGTAATTATCTTTTTTACACCGGCCAGATCAAAGACATTTTTACTTTTTGCGGTAAAGAACCATATATAATACACTAAAATCTGATTAAAAATAACAACTCATTAAGTAATTATCAGAAAATCATTAGAATTTGTTTGGTTTTTATATGGTTCTGAATCTGCCAAATGCTAACGTTTAGTATACAAAACATTTAACATCATGGATTTAGCTGTTTAAGTTATCAAAATTCATTGAAAATCAATATACTTGTTCCTCTCAAGACCTTAAAACTCTGTGTATCAATCTGAAGTCAATCGGATGATAACTTTAGCCTTTAGAGCATCTACAAGATATTTTGAAGTGATCAAGGGCCACAACTCTGGCAGTAATTATCGGAAATCGCTGAAAATCAATATGATTCTTCGTCTCATGACCTTAAACACTGTGTATAAATTTAACATCAATCGAATATTAACTTTGGCCGGACGGGGGCGACGACAATAAACAACCACATTTCAATGTGGGCGTATAAAAAGGTATTTTACAATTACATTGACACTTTAATCACTCACCAAACGTCATCAGGAACTCCACGTATGATAACATTATTTGATATTCATGTCCGTGAATCCCATGCAATTTTCGCGCAAAAATATAAGCAGTTACTACGCATGGAACCGTACATGGTAATAAGATTCCCGGCGTTGATTGTTTGAGAAATGAGGGCGATCTATTGTTATACTGTCATCGGAAAATTCCATATTCACTGTGAATTTCAAATGAAGTTACGATAAAAGTTGTTCTTTGTGTATTGAAATGGTTATTATTATTATATTTAGCTAATAATGAAAATATCGACAAATGACTGGCATTATTTGTATTTCTGTACTTATAGAGAATAGTTTGGGATATCAAGTATTATGGGGTTATCCAAATTACCGGTAAATGCGCTAATTGCTTGGATCGTCTTCATTTGCATGTGGCCTATTTAAACAAAGGCACCTTAAATGTATCTACGGCATGATACAGCATTTTAAATTCAATCTAAAATATTCCAATCACAAATGTCTAATCTATAACAGCGCAAGACGATAATTCGTTGATTATGATTAGGCCATAATCGACAAATACACACTTGTCAACTGGTAGTGTGTATAGACAGTGATATATTGTACAGACTGTGATATATTGTATAGATAATGTATATAGTATGTGTAGTGCCTGTGACATCACCAGCCAATCAATCGGATTAAGGTTGTAATTGAAAGTATGAAAACCGTTTTTGGCTTTCGAATACTTAAACCTTAATAGCTGAATTCATTTTAATCAGATTGGTTTGAACTTGCTGTAAAATGGATATAGTAACCATTGGCTATAAGTACACGCAATTAAGATTTTTGATCTTATGTGGTCTTTAAACAATAATATTTGCATGGCTATTAAATTCTATTAAAAATATTGATGACAAATGGGAAAAAATGTAAATTCAATATAAATAAAACTATTGCTAACAAATTCGAACTAGTATTTTTTTATTTAAATCTATATATAAGTACAAATGGGAAATAAACTGGGGAATTCAATAATAAAAATAAATATTTATCATGAATTAAATTCGTTATTTTTTAATGATCTTTATTATTTTGTATTAGAAAACTTATAAAAGCTAATGCGTTCTAGAAGTCAGTAAACGAATTCTACTTTCAGTTTGACCTAATTATAAGAAAAGCACGTGTCTCCCACGTCATACCAAAACAAACAAACGGCCTGCCACACCTTCAAACACAAACGGGTTTGGTCACAAGCACCCTAAAAGTACATGACTTTTTCAGAATATATCGAGTTCATGTTTAATTCAAAACCAGTTTACGCGTGACCCAACAACGATTTACGTAAAATTGTTAATTATCACCTAAAAATAAAACGGTGTCAGTAAATAACGTCACTAGAGTATAACCCAAATTCGAAGATTGCCTCGAGTGACCTACACGAAGATTGCCGATCGACAAAAACATAACGGCCATCTTTCACAGGCAGATACACGTGTTTATCTGGTTCATCGAAAAACTGTAAAACAAATACGATTTAAGAAGTTACGGAACTTCGGTATTTCTTCCTGTACGGACGTCACATGGTGTTTCGAAGGCATGGATGAAAATAATACCATTGTTTTGATAAATCAACACAAACAAAAGGAAAAATGCACAGATTCACTTCAATCAGAAATAGAAGACAGTGCAAAATTCGGTAATGAAACGACACTGCCCACAGTCACAGAAATAAATAAAGGCACAGATCATAATATTCCGGCCCATAACGAGGGAGCGGGCGTTGTTATTATTTGTGACAATATTTCAGAGTCCAAAACTGACACAGGCAATGAGAAAGAGCACTATATCGAAACTTGTACAACTGATGTTCCACAAGTTAAGACGAAAGACGATAAAGGCACAGGTCATAATATTCCGGCCCAGAACGATGGAGCGGGCATTGCTCTTATTTGTGACAATATTTCAGAGTCCAAAGCTGTAACAGGAAATGAGAAAGGGCATGGTATAGAAACTTGTACAACTGATGTTCCACAAAGCCCAAAAAATCAGGAATCTGAAATTATGGTTTCAATCATTGATGGGGATGAGAAAACAACCCAGCTTTTAGTTCAAGTTAAGACAGAAGATCATAAAAATAATTCAGTAGTTAACAAATCAGTTCCGAAAAATTGTAACATTCCACAGACTGGCACAAGTGAAATAAATTCGTCAGATTTGACTGAAGTTGATTTAAAAGTTAAAGTTGAAGATGGTGTTGTTTGTGATGATCCGATGCTTTGTCACAGAAGTGTTCCAGATAACGAACAACTACATGACAGTGGTACAGAAGCAGACAACAGTTCAGATTCATCTTCGTTATTTAGTGACGAAGTGGTATCAGATAATGACGAAACTAAACACAAACTTAGTGAGAATAAAATAGGAATCGAGGTAGTGAGAACAAAAGGAGAGATGCTACCAGAGGATTTACCGCCTATCGGTGATTTAAAGATAACAATTCCAGAAGATGAAAAATTATTAATGTTAGGAAAAGTTTCCAGTGTTGTTGGGTTATTAGTAGTAATACAGAGTTCACCTAATACCCCAGCTTTAAACGAAGAATCTGTTTTATTCTATGAAAATCGCAATGTTTTTGGAAAAGTGTTTGAAATATTTGGTCCAGTGGCATGTCCGTTTTATTCAGTGCGGTTCAATAACTCTGCCGATATAAAAAATCAAAATATAGAAGTGGGTGATCAAGTTTATTGCGCTCCGAACTTAGAAGAATTGACTCAATATATCTTTATTGATCAACTGAAACAAATGAAGGGTTCAGATGCTTCATGGAAAGACAACAATGAACCACCACCAAAACATTTAGATTATTCTGATGATGAATTGGAAAGAAGGACCAAGTCCAAGAAACGAGAAAAGAAAAATGATGAGGTAGAGCAGGGAGACGACAGCAAGATCAATAAAACTGAAAGTAGACAAGAACGTGAGTTGTTCCATAAAAATAGGAAAGTGAAATATATAAATAAAAAGAAAGATTGGGATAGACCAAAAGCAGATACATTTTCATCTGAGGGAAACACAAACAATGTCTGGCAGTGTTGGCCACCCCCAGGAGCTGGTCCGCCACGACACCCTCCATCAAGATTTCAACATCAAGGGAATCAAAACCCTTTCATGATGTCCCAGAATTTCAATTCACCTCACAATAATGGTGGTCGCATGAACAATCATGGTGGAATACAAAATACCAGAATGAACTTTTGGCCTCAACAACCAATGAATTCTCAACCACCAAATTATGTTTCATATCAGAACTTTCCTCTACAAGGTAGAATGGGTAATCCTAATCAATTCTTCCCTTCTCCTCATCCTAGCCAGATAAATCCTAATGCATATATGAATACTGTACAAAATCACCATTACAGTCCAAGACCCGTTATTATGGACTCAAGATTTGTTCAAAATCAACAAACGAATGATCCACAATTAAATCACAGATAAAAGATATTGTTTTTTTTAAGTACCGTAGTCAAAATCTGCTGACTTGTCCCGATTGCTATGTGTTGGCAGATGTTTTTCTGGGTTAGAGGCAGAAAAACTGATAACTGTTTGTTTTTGATTTTGGATACTTATGGTCAGGCCACGGATTGCACTGAATGAATTTTTCTGTCTGTGGATAAATCTTTCAGAAAATAACAAAGGTGTATGATTAAATTCAACAGTAATTCAACTTTCTGAACAAAATAATTGATTTGGATATATAAAAGAAATGCCAAATCTCCCTATTTCCACAAAACAGTGCTTAGTTTCTCTAAACCACTTGTAGCCCAGAACATCTGTCAACATACAGCTATTGATATTGTTTACATGTATGTATTATATGAGACAAATAAAAAGGTCCAATATGGTTATCATTTTGTATATAGAAATAGATTTCTAATACAACCTCATCCAACCTTAATTCAATAAAAAGTAGGTGGGAAAGATACAAATTCTACCTGTTGCATTAAACACTTAACATTGACATGGAAGATAAAAACCCCCATTGATCTGGATTTAAAGTACATGTGGTAGATCACTCAGCCCCATTTCCCCTTCAACTATAAATCATTTTATCTTTATTAACATAGTACATGTATATTGATAAAAGTCAAATATATATATACAAAATTACAAAGATAGGTTGCCAGGCAACAAAACATGCACCAACCAACAGCTTAATCCTATTAGCTGATTATGTGGACAATTAGTAACAACATTTTAATGTTTTGAAAAATTTTATATCAAGTTATCCAAAATCTTATATTTAAAAACTGACTTGAAATGGAAGGGCATAGTTCATCCATATAAGTTGTTACAAGGTTAAAATAACTTTCAAAACTCGAGACCTGTAAATGATTGATGCATAACCAGTGACGGATCATCCATATAAGTTGTTACAAGGTTAAAATAACTTTCAAAACTCAAGACCTGTAAATGATTGATGCATAACCAGTGACGGATCATGGCGAGGGCAAATGCCTCGGGGCCCGGTGATTTGGTGACAAAATATTTTTTATTTTTCAAAATTTTGTAGAAAAAAGAGACCCATTTCCCCAAAATCGTGAAACAAAGTGACCTTTTTTCGATGAGTTTTGAAATTATTAGGTAGGGGGACCCCAAGGTTCATCGGTCAGAAAAAAAAATGATATCAATGATTCCACGTTTGGTAGGTTGGCAGTGGGAATTTGATATCAGAAATGTTTCCATATCCCAAAAAATTATTTCTGGTTGACAGGTAGCGGTCTTGTTAATTGTCCAATATTTTCGTAGGGCCCCCATTTCTCACTTAACACCAGTTCGCTTGACAACAAGATTCGCAAACCAGTGTCATCAGGACCGGATTGGCCAGTGTGCCAACGGCAAACTCATGTAGTCAGATTTGGATACCGGTAACAGGAAAGTGGCATAACTGTTAGAAAAGAAATCTTGAATCAATTCTCTGAGTACTACTAATTACTAATCTAGATCGACACCAACTGCTTAGAACTAAGTATATGATTTCCCGTCCGGGATATACTCCATAGACCACCATTTCAGGTCAAAATTTCAAAAAATCTATCTGGGGTGTCACCTTGTCACTGGGGCCCGGCAGCATACTCAGGGCCCGGAGACCTCATGATCCATCACTGTGCATCACCCAGATGTATATATTCAGCAAGTTTGAATAAAACAATCTCAAAATCTGTAACCTGTAGAGTTGTTATAAGGAGTTTATCCGACCAAAGGACAAAGTCGATGGCAATATGCAACCACATTAACATAAAAATCTACACCAATATTTAAGTCCACTTCCAGACTGAATGTTATTTACATGTAGTAAGCTAATCAAAAAACTTGTCTGCTCTTAAATAATTGTACAGAAAATAAAACTATACTGCTACACTAAACTAAAAAGTACCTTTCTTGATTTTCATCGTCTCTTTTACTGTAAAGCAAATCATCTCAAATTTAGCTATAATATTTAAATTTTATTGAATGTAACAAGCAGGGCTTATGATGCTCACCCGTCCACTTGCCGCCGACTGGGGATTTTTACTTTTTGACAGGTAGTGAGCAAAACTACTTGCTCCATGCGACAGGTGGACAAAATTTTACTTAAAGATGCATTATGTGAAAGCTAAATCTGCCTACTGCAGGATTTTATATGCCTAGAGGTCGCAATTTTCATCTGATTTTGATGAAACTTGAAATGCATATTTATAACCCAAAGATCTTAATTCCTTTCGATATTCGCGCATATCGGATCGTAACTTACTGAATTATGGTCCCTGATTGTATGAAAAATCTAATTTTTAGCTTGTGGTCCCTCTAGAGGTCACAATTATTATTTGATTTAAAAAAATGTTACACCGTATTGTTGGTTGAGTTCGAATTTCATTTTAATCAGACCAAAAACTGCCAGACAAAATGCCAGCCAACAAAATGGTCGCTCTTTGTACGCAAATTGTGTAATAGTATGTAATACGAAGGTTGTGGACCCTCTAGAAGTCACAATTTTTAGCCTATATTCATAACCCAAAGATCTTGGTTCCTTTTTGATATTCGTGCATATCGGACCATATCTTCCTGGATTATGTCCCCTGATTGTACAAAAAATCATATTATTTTTTTAGCTCGTTCTCTGTCTATCTCTTGCAAAATGTGTGTGTATCTTGCCTGGCAATTTTGGCTACAAATGTCGTATATACAAAATAACTAGTCATCAACATCCCACGCCCTTGCACTTGTTTGGAAGACATAAGGAAAAATAACTTCTTTGTTTTTGGTAATCAATATAAAAATATGGAATATCAATGGTAGGCTACTAAGCAGAAGATTCATACTCTGATCACAGTAGCTCGTCAAGGCAGGGTTGCTACTCCTTGTATTTGTAATAAGGTTTGCACAACAACCTTTGCCTACCTCAATCAGCTACTGTATGTTAAACATTAAAGGGACTATCCTGATTTGAACAATGTCGCAAAAATAAAAGCGCCAAAATATAGAGGAATGGTTTATTCACCCTGCCTCAAAATTTCAGCTCAAAATATTGAGTTGTTTGGACGAGAACGTCAAAAATGCTTATCTGGACATGTAACCCTTTTAAGATTTCTGGTCAATTTTTTCGTTGGGTAACCTGATAATCTATCGCCGTTACTTTAGAGGTCTATACAGTGAATGACCCATGTGCCTTACTGGATAACGAAAGGTAAATTTCACCTTCACATTGTTTTTATAAAGTAAAAGTCTGGGCCCTTATTCACGAAAACTTAAACTAAGTTACAACCGAAATTTTAAGAAATACTGCAACTTCATTGGATATATGCAAATTGATTTTACTGGTCAGCCAATCGAATTGCAGTATTTCTTAAAATTTCGATTGTATCTTAGTTTAAGTTTTTGTGAATAAGGGCCCTGGTTTTATCCAGACACCGCATAATACAGCTTGGGACACCGGTCTCCATTTCCAGATGAAGACTGACAGGTGTAAGTTGTTTGGAAACATCACAAATATTGAATTAGTTGCTCTGCCCTTAGGTACGAGATATTAAGGAGCTTCAACACAAAATTAAGCAGTTTTATTCTCCAAAATATTATCGGGATTGGCCCTTTAAGCTTATACATCAGAAAATAAAATTCTATAATAGGTTGATGTTTGTACAAAGTTACAAAAGAAATGCTTGAACGGATAATGAAATATTACGCCGGAAACGAAATTGGGATGGAAGGACAGACATAAGAAAATAGAATAATAGATTGATGAATGTAAAAGTGTTCTGTTTCTGAGATATGTTATAGAATAATAATTATATACCAAAAACTAAGTCAAAACTAAAAAATCATTCAACCGAGAAATCTGTTTCCATGGAAAAATAAAAATGATTAAATCTGAGAAACTTCTAATTAGCAAAGGGCACAACTACTATCACACAGTTGATGCTTGTACAAAGTTTCATGAAGTTATCTTGAACAGTTTATATGCTCCGGAAACAAAATTGTACACCAAAGACAAAGTTAAATTTGTTTCCATTGAAAACACAAAACTTATTAAATCTGAGAAATTCCAAATTAGCAATAGGCACAACTACTAGGTTGATGTTCGTTCGGCGCGGTATAATAATTATTTAGACATTCATTCCCATGACAAGATGTAGACTGATGAAGTACGATTTTGTACAATCAGGGATAATAATCCAGAAAGTTATGGTCCGAAATGCGCAAATATCAAAAGAGACAGATCTTTGGGATATAAAGATATATTTTAAGTTTCATCAGAATCGGATAAAAATTGTGACCTCTGGAGGGTCCACAACCTTCGCATTGTATACTTTTACACAATTTGTGTACAGAGAGCGTCCATTTTGTCGGGCAGTTTCATTTCGATTTTCCCGAAATTCGAATTCAACCTTCATTATGATGGAATGGTGAAATATTTAAACGGTTTTTAAAATCAGAAAAAAAAATTATGACCTCTAGAGACTCCACAAGCTAAAAATGCGATTTTTCGAACAATCAGGGGCCATAATTCAGGAAGTTACGGTCCGATATGCGCAATTATCAAAAGAAACCAAGATCTTAGTGTGTAATGGTGATATAATTCACATGTTCTTTTTAAATCGGATAAAAATTGTGGCCTCTACAACAAGCTAAAAACATGATTTTTCATACAATCAGGCGTTATAATTCAGGAAGTTACTTGCGGATATGCCTGAACCAAGATCTTTGGGTTATAAACATGCATTTCAAGTTTCATCAAGATCAGATCAAAATTGTGACCTCTAGCTAGAGGATCCACAACGTTGATATACCAGATGTTTACACTATTTGTGTACGAGGGACATAGGCGTACAGGGAAATTTTTGACTGGGGGGGGGCGGTGGTGGTTGGTGCCCCAAAAATGTAGTTAGGTTCTTAGTATGTTACATAATAATCATAATAACTCTTTTGCGATGAATAAGTTCTTCATTTCTAAATCATCAATAAAAGAGAACTAAATTTCATTTACTTGTAATATACACAACTAAAAACAGTTGTTTATGTAAATGTAATTCGTGGCTTACTGTACTCCAAACAATAGAGGGTTCGAGTCTTAAGATTTCTATTTAATTGCCTAACAATAGATCGACACTCTGAATTTAAATTCGCTGTTAAATTGGACGCATCCAAGAACACAAATTTTTTTTATACAACTTTTACAAAGTACAATTGTGTGCCCAAATTTTCCCAGCATTTGGTGCCCAAAATGGGGGCAGCTCGTACGCCTATGACGAGGGACGGCCATTTTATCCGTCAGTTTTGGTCCGTTTTTCATGAAATTCGAGCTCAACCAAATTTACGGTGTAGCAGTGATATATTTGAACGTTTTTTTAAATTGGATAAAAATTATGACCGCTATAGGGTCCACAAGCTAAAAACATGATTTTTCGTACAATCAGGGGCCATAATTCAGGAAGTTACGGTCTGATATGCGTGAATATTGAAAGGAACAGAGATCTTTGGGTTATAAACTTACATTTCAAGTTTCAACAAAAACAGAAGAAAATTGTGACCTCTATAGGCTCCACAAGCTAAAAACGAGATTTTTAATACAATCAGGGGCCATAATCCATGAAGTTACGGTCCGTTACATGCGAATATTGAAAGGAACCGAGATTTTAGGGAGATAAACCTATATTTCAAGTTTCGTTGAAATCCGATAAAAATTGTGACCTGTAGAGTGTCCACAAACAAATTGTGGACGGATGTCCGGACGGACAGGGGCAACGGCTTAATGAAAATGTGGGCATATAAAAATTTATGGCAAAACTTCAAACAGTGACGTCGCTCAGAATAAATTAATGTGAAAGAAATTTTCAATATATTAATTTTGAATGATGTATTTTGGAAAGGCCAGCTCTTTATCTAAATCTTACATAATGCATCTTTAATTTTGTTCAATAAATTGACCTCAGATCACAATATTCACATACACATCACCTATATTCAGTTATTTCTTTCCAAAATTGTTGTGATGTAGGAATTAAGGACAATGTTGGTGTTGAGTGGCATTCCATCACTGATTTTCACGGTATTCATTCATAGGTGGGAGCTATGGTGGCTCAGTGAGTAAGAGGCTGTAACCAGGAGGTCTTGGGTTTGCTCAGGGTGTTGGCCTCAGGAATTTCCAGTGTGGTTTCCCCTTGTTAGTGGGGCATTACGGGAGGACATTATGGAGGGCCTGGCAAGGACAGAGTACAAGATGGAATGGAAAACCGTGGTCCTGTGGGCGTGCACGTAAAAGTTGGAATTTAAAATAATAATAAGCTGTAGCACTGCTGTCCAGGCAACATTTTCCTCATAACACACTGTATCGTGTATGCCAGTTTTCATTAGCCCAGTCGGTGCAGAAAAGTAGGATGTTTTATCCCATTTCATGAACTGTCTTCTAAAAATAAAATGATTCCTGTGTTTTGATATTCAGTTTAATACAGATATTTTAGAATCTGAATATAATACATTTGTCAACCAAAATATAGGAGATTGATTCTTTGACATTTATCTTTAATTAAAAGCATAATTTCGACAAATTATGAAAACCAGTGGAATCCCCTCAATTCGGATTACAAAATTGTGTGAATCTTCCCAAAGCAGAGATTCACAAGAGAGAGAGAGAGAGAGAGAGAGATAGAAATGGGGCTTAACAAACTAGGTCATTTCGGGACTAACACATGGTTCAATTTTATTTCAATAATTCGCTTGCGCATAGGGGTCTTTAGCAGTGAGAGGAAACCGGAGGACCCGGAGAAAACCCATGAGGTTGGACAGGCGACCCTACTCCTTGTCACGTACAACCGGGGAATCGAAATCCCACCAGTTGACTCAATGACAGACCGTATGATACAGCGCAGCACGCACATGCTAACCATTCGGCCATCCAACCCCCCTAGATTAACAAGAAGAAGAAAATAAAGTTTGATATTACGATGTTCAGATGAATAAAAAAAAAAGAAATAAGAATATAACGGTATATATATATATATATATATAAAATATATGTGAGGTACACCTTGGATAATTAAGAGTGACTGGTATTAGTTACAGAACTTTATTTCAACATTTCAAGTTGTGGGCAAGGGTGGGTAAGAGTTTAAAATGGGCTACTACTACATGTATTCTTCCACAGCTTAATTTTGCGCTGCATCTATTCCTTCTCTTTTGAAAGGGAGATAACCTATGAAAATTACTAACTCCCCAATCAGATAATCAGAGAATTATTCACCTGTCTCCTACAGTATCAATAGGTTTCCATATACAATTAGCTGGTTCCCATGTTAAATATTTCATATTGATATATGTATAATGATCATCAGATTCCTTTAATTTACACACCATCGCTCCATTAGATACTGAAAAACAAAATGTTAGTATCACGCTAAGAGTATATGTGCTATAGAACTTACAAAATTGATTATTACTGTAATTATTACATATGGTAATCTAAGTATAATATGTCTGAATAAGATTAAGAATATGATCCTTGGTCTTTTTTCATCAAAACTAAAATGTTCTAATGATTCAGCTTTTTCATTGATTGAAAGTAAAAATCTTAGTACAAAAATTAGCCCGTGAATAGACTGCGATCTTCAAGTATTTTAATTTAATTTTTTTTTTGTGAATAGGTAGACATAAACAGGTGTTACCTGGTACAGCATCAATAGAAACTAGCACTATATTAGGTTGAGGCAGATTTATTATCTTTCCAAATGTCTGTAAAATAAGTAGAGTTAAAAGTTTTTTAAAAATCTGCTTACACAAAATCTAATTGTTAAAACTATATATATATCTAAAAATTTCCCTCAACCTTGTTTGACCCTGGACACTAGCAAGGCCGGATGTAGACTTCTGGGAACCATGAACACAGAAATTATACAACATGACAAATAAAAAAAAGAGAACTAAATTGAATGATAACCCACATTTGATAAACAATTATTTTTTAGGTTTCAAAGAAGATGTCTGGTTTACTGGTCCCAATTTTATTGACTGTAAGAATAACAGTATAGTGTGGAGGCTGCTGCATGAATGGTTACCCCCTCCTGTCTTTTAATTTAATTTTCTGATACTCCCACACACAATAAATTCTATAATTAATCATTCTTTTATAATGCAAATCTGGACCCTTCTGGACAGAAGGCTTTGGCGCATTTTATATGTAAGCTATAAAAAAAACAAAATAATTTATTCATATTGTTTTCATTTCAGACATTCAGATTAGTACTGAATATAGTAATTTCAGAACAATGTAATCTGTGTTAACTATATTATTTTATGAATATTGTTACCTGTGGTCCTAGGAGGATTAAATCACCCAGTTCTGTAAAAAATAAATTATAAAGCAAATGACAGATATAAATTAAAGTTGAGTGGTATAATGTGTCTGCTTTAGACCATGGTCTTCATTGAGTAAATTGCCATTGTTTCCATTCCAGTTGTGTAGATGACAAGAAGTATATATTATATAATTATATAATATAAAACTGATACTCGGGATAACCAGGTCTCAATAGTCAGTTTTATCTCTAGTAATGGCTAATTTTATGACCAATTCACTCGGCAAAGACACACCACAACAGGATGACCGGAATTACCTTTCAAGTTAATTCAAGGACTGCGATCTCACCCTCGTCTACAAAAGTCTAGACACATATTATTGCCTCACTGTTTCGATTAGCAAGACACTCCACTGTCACATGATAAAATAATTTGGTACTAACCTGTACCAATATGAACTAACCACCTTGAGACGTTATGTTGAATTACACTTTATTACATATTTAAAAACCTTACCATATCATGGAATCAATGACAACATCTAAACTTGGGCACCCCAACTTTATTCTACACATAATTATATCATCATGTTACTGAACCTAATTATATCCTCATGCTCCTGAACATAATTATATCCTCATGTTACTGAACATAGTTATATTATTATGTTACTGAACATTTATTATACTTACGTGGTACTGGAGATTTAGGATCAGTTCTACTCTTAAGATGTTCAGGACTAGAAACGCCTTTTGCATGATATTCTGCTCTATGTAGTGGTGTGTTTATTCTTTTCATTGGTAAAGCTTTCATTTTCTTAAAAATAACAAAAAGAACATTCAAAATTGATGATTCAAAAATTTTGAAATTCGATAGGGTTCTTCCTTATATCCTAATGAACAATCCTACTGAGATTAAAATGTCAAGATCTTAATCGCCACCATAAATGGAAATGAAGAGATAACTCCATGATTTGCGTAACATCTGAACTTCAATATAGGGTTCTTCCTTATGGCCCAATGAACAGTCTGTGCAAATTTGAAAACAATTTGTCAAGAACTTTAACCTGCTGAGTTTTAACAAGAAATTGTGTCAACAATATATGTCCAAAGTCATAATGAAATGAGCTATAAGATTCTTAGTTTTAATTACATATACCATCAATTAGAGAATGTATCCAAATTACCTAGAAAAATATATTTACTGCTTATAATAATACGCATAATAACCACTTTTTTGTGTGGTAATGCCTTTTCTAATGATAATCTAAATCACTTTAACTGGCCAGAAATCTTTACAGCTAGATCCAACTTTCTAGGAACAGCAGTCACGTTAAATCGTTCATGATCTATCACATTTTATTTTATATGAAATTTATGAAGTACTTACATTAATAATAATATCTGCCTGTGTGTAGGTTGGTGATGTTTTATTTGACATGTTCATCATCTGTTCTTGTATTTTCTTTAAAATAAAATCTGATATTTCTTCAAATACCTGATTGTCAGATTTCTGCAATAATTATAGACATAAATTTAGATACTTCTTATTTATTATTGCATGATAGTCGCAGATGTGACTTATGTTGGAGATGTGAATGAATCTGCATGCCATTTTTAATATTGAAAGGGACACATGTCCACCATTCCTAGATATACATCTTTACTGTATAAAAAATAAATTACTAACTTCAACTCCTTATTTCAGCCCTGGAAGTTTTATCCTAATCAGTGAAGATAGATACATGTTGTTTAAACAGCTACAAATTTATTTAATTGAAATATTATAGAAAATATTTAAATTCTCCTGAACAATTTGGCAAATGTAATTATACAAGTATAATTACAAAACAGAAATCCTTTATTCTCCAGTGTTACCCTTGGTAAAAAAAACAACAACTTCTATTTCAATACATTACCATTTGTAAACTTGAAGTCTCTAGTATCTGTGATAAGGTTTGATTGATTTTTTTATCTCTTGTTGCCATGGAAATAAGATTCATTACACCTATAGAAATGAAATGATAAATGAAACAAATAACCTCCAAATTCAACCCAAGTATTGTAAATATTATGGATGGAATTTATCTATACAAAGTTTCTATGCGAAGCTGAACACAATAATTTAATGGATTTTAGAAAGTACTGATATTTTTTAATTCCTGTTTCTTCTTTTATTAATATCCATGTTGTTATTTTTAACATGGGGGGTTGGGTGGCTGAATGGTTAGCACATGCGTGCTGTATCATAAGGCCTGTCATTGAGTCAACTGGCGTGGTTTCGAATCCCCGGTTGTACGTGACAAGGAGTAGGGTCGCCTGTCCAACCTCGTGGGTTTTCTCTCGGTCCTCCGGTTTCCTCCCACTGCTAAAGACCTCTACGCGCAAGCGAATTATAGAAATAAAATTAACCATGTTAGTCCCGAAATGACCTAGTTTGTGTCAAGTGGACATCTCTCTCTCTCTCTCCCTGTCTCTCTCTCTCTCTCTCTCACATATGTGACTGATGGTCTCTGTCATTAGCATATTAGGGCATTGTATAATATTTCATAAACATTGCCATAGGCATATCTATATAACCAGCAGTTGCGAGCCAAGATACAAGCTAAAAACAAAAGAAATTTTTCGTACAATCGGGGGTCATAATCCAGAAAGTTTAGTCTGAAATGCGCGAATATCAAAAGGGACTGAGATCTTTGGGACAAAAAGATATATTTTAAGTTTCATCAAAATTGGACAAACATTGTGACCTCTAGAGGGTCCACAACCTTCGTATTACATACTTGTACACCATTTGCGCACAAAGAGTGGCCATTTTGTTGGGCAGTTTCATTTCGATTTTCCTGAAATTCGAATTCTACCTTCAATATAGTGGAATGGTGATACATTTAAACGGTTTTTAAAATTGGATAAACAATTGTGACCTCTAGAGAATCCACAAGCTAAAAACGCGATTTTTCATACAATCGGGGGACATAATTCAGGAAGTTATAATCCGATATGCGCGAATATCGAAAGGAACCAAGATCTTTAGGTTATAGACATGCATTTCAATGCGGTCATGCATTGTACTTTTCGTACAATCAGGGACCATAATCCATAATGGTCCGATACATGCCAATATCGAAAGGAACCGAGATCTTCGTCAAAATCGGATAAAAATTTTGATCCGTAGAGTGTCCACAAACAAATTGTGGACGGACTGACAGGGGCAACGGCAATATACGTCCACATGACGTATAAAAAGGGGAGAAACCCAGTGTAATCAAAATAAAACTGTGAATTTGTTTTTTTTTCATTTTTACGTAAATTGTAAGAAGTTTGTATTGAATTGACCCATCTTGACCCATCCTAAATGCCATTGATACACTTTTTTTAAAGAGTAATTATATCTTATATAGACTAACAATATGGTGGAACGAAATTCAGTTTTATTTAGTTTGGAAAAATCAATTATTGCATTACACCCCTTTGATATATCCAAAATGCCAGAATACAAATATACACATGTACATAATTTAAACAAAAACTGAAAGTATATAATTAATATTATACATACCAACATCCCCTTCAATATAATCAAATAAAGCAGGTACAATACATAATAACTGTACTACTTCAGCTGCTAATAAACATTTATATTCATAGTACCTGTAATAATACAACATGTGTACTGAAACATAGGTAAGATTATATTGCTGCAGCTGTTTAATTTGTACCGAAGTATGAAGCAAAAATTAATGTTTACTTTGTACCGAAGTATCAAGCAAAAATTAATATGGGAAATTATATAAAACATTTTTATAAATAAAAGCTTAAATAGACATTTGTGCTTTGGAGATTTTTGTCAGTTGGCCCTAAAACAATTTCTGATTTACTGTTATTTGACTATACAGTAACATCTGAGGTGTGAAATTAGAAGTTTATGTGAAATTTCAGATAAATATAGATGTTTTAATATTCATAACCAGTTATATATATTAACAGTTTTTCAAGTTTAAGTAGGCCAGTGCTTGGATTTTTGATAATTGGGGTAGTCTAGGGTTATCAGGATTTTGCACTTGATAATTGAGTCTACTGTTCTTGTGTTCCTTTTTAAGTGATGCTGTAGTATCGAAGTAACAGAATATTTATTGTTTAAATGGCCTCACTGTTAATTCAGGGAAAAATGTTTCAGTAAACTTACAGTGTTTGATATTTTGGTGGTTTTTGATTGCATTCAATCGATGTTTGACTAATGTGTGTTAATTCTGATACAATGAAGAAAAGGCACAAGTATAATTTATCATATAGTCCACCATTCTGAAAATATAAAAAAACAACAAAAGTAATAACATAACAACCAATCTCACCCGTTAAATCAATAAATGCCGTCGTCAAGATTCATAAAAAAATGTCCAGTTTGTGCTACGTGTAGTTTAAGAAACACTGTTTAGTTTTGACATCGGTCGTCTAGTTTATGAAACTAAATGATAATAAACCAGATGACCAATATCAAAACTAAACTAAATGGTCATAAACTAGACAACCAATGTCAAAACTAAACAGTTTTTCTTAAATTACATGGTAGCAGAAACTAGGCGTTTTTTTGATGAATCTTGATGGCCTTTAATACTTTCTGCATGGCAATCTATTGGATACGTGTATTAGATTCTAGATGGTAAGCTCAGTTTCTTTCCTTTTTTCATCAAATCTGAATGATACCCGGTCCCTAGTGAATGAAGCCAATATAAATAATTATGTCCGCTTTTACGAAACAAATGGATTTCAAGTAATAGTCATATAAATTTAGTTTGTCATCATTTGTATTATGTTATTGGGCATTTAGAAAATGATCCTCCTGTCATAGTAGTTTTTTCAATTCGGACAAGATTTGTCAAGACAAATGATTGCTATAGCCCCATCATATATATTTTATCCACAATGCACTCTTTTTCGTAACGAAACATGTACAACACATGCGGCACATTTCCCCTTGCAGTGTTATAATTTAGAACAAAAGAGAATAGTCCATACATTAGTAATCTATGTTTTGTTATTATAACTTTTGTTATTCTCACCAATTAATTAGCACCTAAAGTGGTCAGGAGATCAAGATTGTTGATTGGGTAATCAAGTTTAGTTTGTTGATCATGAAAGGAGCTGACACAGCTGTAATGTTTGACATTTCAAAATTACAAGGTTTTTAAAATGGACTTTGAGAATTGTATTCCTATGCCAAATTTGATTCACTCTATATGAACTTTGAATATACGTGTTAAATAGGCTAGATAATGGTGTTTATCAAATAATTTTAATTGAATTTAAATAAGCAGAAGTTTACAAATTAAAAAGATGACAGTGGTCTAAATTTTACCTCAGATGTGAGTACCACGAAAAGAAAGATTCAGGTATCTGCCTTTTTTGGATAATTTTCTTTGAAAGATTTCATAAAGTAAAGTAATGAATGTTTGTGTTATTTGTTCATCAACTGCTAAATAAGTTTTAAACAGTAACTGATATAATGTCTATAATGGACGGTAACGATTGAATTGCAGGAATGGAACACAAGAATTTGTTTTATGTTTGTGCAATCTGAAAAATTCAAAAAGGTTATGCTGTAGACAATAAGAACTATTTATTGCAAATCACCCTTTTGACGGTTAAGTTGACAAATCAGGATTTGAATAGTTTACAAAGGCAACCCACTCTTTCTGTAATATCAAACAATATTCATCAGTACTGCATCTTACATGACATAAATAAATATACAATTACTGTGTAAACAACATATTAAAGTTTACATTTTAAGAATGCTGTTATAAATATTGATGTCCCCACAACACATTTTAGTCTAACAGCATATTTTAAAGAGGAAGTCATCTGTGTTTTAATTTTGGAAATCAAACTGACTATTTATATTTCAATGAAACATTTCAGATAGTTTTTTTCATTAAATATATCGAGCACAACTGCTTTTAAATACTAAATCATAAATATTGTTATGTACTAACAATTCTGGCTTTATAACATTACCTCTTTATCATCTTTATCTATTTTAACAGCTGACAATAATATTGATACTACTTTACACCTAACATCACGTGGTAATAAAAATATGTCCATACAATATACTTTCCTGAAAATAATAAAACAACATTTAACAACAATCTCATTCATTCAAATTACATCTTTATTTTATTTGACTTCAATGTTCTTTTTTTTCTACACCACATAGCATCTAACATATTTTTAGAGTCGCTACTTTCAGATAGTTTTATGATTTATGCACAAATTCATTGAGTTTATATTAATAGATCAGTGGACTGTGTCTTGCTTTATTGAAAACTGCATTACTTATAAACTTGTCATATCAATTTACGTTAATGAAATCAAAATCCAAATGTAAAGCGCTGGCCTCTAATAATAATAGGTGCATCATATTAACCAATTCAAAGCTTTAATTTGATCTGAATCAAAGAAATTTAGTTTCTTTAAAACCAAATGAAGCTTCTACATGTACTGTGTTATATTTCCGAATGCAGAATGTAGAAATGTTTTAACAGAACACATTTTTAAGTGGATTCCATGCAGACAACACTTCTATCCAAAAAAGCATCTTACCCCATTTTTTGTAAGCGGGTTGTTTCTAATGTTTCTTGTACTAAATGTGTGGGTAAAATAAATTCTAATGATGCCTGAAATGTAATGAAATGAAATGGGATTTAACGTCCTACTTCCTGAAATGAACATAAATCATATAGTAAAATCAAAATTAAAACAATATGTTGTATGATTTGGGCATAGATCTGTATTATCAATATATAATTATCCACAACATATTTCCACCATTTATCGGTTTTAAATCATCTCTTGCGAGAATCAGAATATACTGACTAACAAATTCGAATGTCAGACCAATTTCACAGCTAGCTCTAGCGACCCCTAAAATATAGTTGGAGAAAAACAAAAATAGACATTTACAAAGTACTTTCAATATTGCTAAAAAAAAGCAGCACTGGAATCAATCTGATTAAAATACAGATCTATATTTCGTTTCGTTTTTTTTTTTATACTTTCAATGGCATACACTACAAGATCTGAGTGGTGTACTGGAAGGTCGTGTCAGGGGTCGTACAAGTGGCTTTTGACCCTATGACATCGCACATTGATTAATCAATGTTTAACACCTGCGTTGCTTCATAAGGTCTGTCATTGTGTCAACTGGTGTGGTTTCGATTCCCTGGTTGTATGTGACAAGGAGTAGGGTCGTCTGTCCAACCTTGTGGGTTTTCTCCGGGTCCTCCGGTTTCCTCCCACTGCTAAAGACCTCTATGCGCAAGCAAATTAATCAATAAAATTGAACCATACATTTATCCCAAAATGACCTAGTTTATGTCAAGTGGATGTTAAACCCCATTTCGATCTCTCGCTTTCTTCTAAGCGACACTCATCATTAATTATTAACAAAAAACTCAATATAATTCTCTGATATATGACTTCTGTAATGTGCATTAATCTGTACTGGACATTTAATTTTATACTTATGTGGCAGAGGTTAATCGTGTCAATGTTTAAAAATGAGGTTTTGAAAAATATGCCAGTTTTATGGTGTGTAAATTGACCAATAGGTCCTGAGAAATTTTGGGAAAAATTTTACGACTAGTATTCAAGATTAACAGCTAGTAGATATCATTGTTAACATAAAAATATGTAAATCATCTTCTTAAAGTAATTGGATATAAGTATAAAGCTATAAATGTATTACTTACAACTAATAATAATAATAACATATTACATTTCTCTCTTTCTTCACATCTAACTGATAATAAATCTTCTAAAAATGTCTTTTTATATTTTACATACTGATATTTACTGAAACAAACAACAAAGATCATCTGCCTGATAACATTAAACAATATATTCTCCTAATATTGTTCAACAAATATTAACGAGTGCAGTCCTGATAGGAATAATCATTTGTAATTGTTCACTCCATCAAGAACATTAAGGACACATTATGCAAGATTTAGATATAGATAATAGTTCAAATATAGATAATGAAGATAGGTTCTGGGGGATGGTCCTTGGGATAATTTATAAACTAATGAAGACATATTTGCAAATTGTTAGGATGGCTGAAGCCCTGATATCTAATGGTGAATTGGAATTTTTTATTCTTTTGTTTGAGGATTTGAGGTGTCACACATGATTTGCTCCTTGTCTCATGGACTTAAAACCATGCATAATTTTCAAATCGATTTGATCAAGGGCCATAACTCTTTGACAGTAATTATCAGAAATATAACTTTAGCCTCTAGAGCGTCCACAATTTTTTAAAAAATGATCATGGGTGATAACTCTAACAATAATTAATAGGCTTTTTTTGTCTCGTGACCATAAACACTGTGCATCGGATGATAACTTTAGCTTCAAGAGCGTCCACAAGATTTTTTGAAGTGATCAAGGGCCATAACTAGTGATGGTCCAATATGGCACCTATCAGTTTTACCAATTATCAGATACAATTACTGATAGTGGTGGATATAAAACAATTACACATTAAAATGTTGTGAATGGCATGATAATCTATGTAGATATTTGTCATTGTCAGTCAGAAAATGCATGGTACTATTTTACCGCGGGAATCAAACACGAACGCTGTGTTTTTGAAGTAATAATTGGGTCACTCTTTCTACGCAATCAAAACTACACACCATCTATTTGCTGTATCATTAATTAATAAAGTCGAGATTATCATATTATTTTAAGTTTTGATTACGATATAATTCCCTAAAGTGATCGCCGCGGACGGCACCTGGATGTCTATATTAGTTCATGCGGTAATGAATGATGCATCAAAGCGATAGCTTCCTGACCTGTCTGTCAACAGTGGCAATCACATGAAATTCTCCCGCCATTTCTAGAACTATAGTTAAAAATAAAACATCTAATGGGAACTTATTTGTTGGTAATATTATTAATTAATAAAGTATGATCTATATTAGGAGTTATTATTTGTTGATACATATTATGTAAAAATTTTAAAGTAGCCTAGCATAACAATACAAATCACTAAATTATTCCTAAATCTTTATCTGCATCTAGAAGCCAGAATGTCTCACAGTAATCACGTGACACCAAAGGAATATCCCCCCTTTCATCCTTCATTCCAATCACGCGCAAACCATGTGATATTTTCCCACCCATTCCAAAAGTTCTACGCATTATGATAATATTGGCAGACAATACTAGCAGTGAACTAGATAAAATGAAGGAAAAAAATGCCGCGAAGATTCAGAAATATTTCACGGTAAGCGAAGCTTCATACCAGCATGGTATGCAATGATGAGCCATTGTTTACATCTTCTTTAGTTTTATTATCATGAATCGTGATAGACAAATAACTTTTGAGAGGATCATTGTTTATTTCATAGTTAATAAATTTGTTATTAGTTATCAGAAACAATTTAAATAAAAAATTCAATAGCGTAATTAATTAGGTATTGTTCTAGTTTGTGATCTTGCATTATCAGCACGAAGACCGGTCTCCGCCACGTACTGACTGTATTCTCCAATTCTATGATTGGCTTATTTGGCTTATTTCTTATTCCAATCAGAAGTTTTATCGGGTGGACTGTTGTACGTTAAAGTCTGTCTGCACATGCACAGAAATGGTATTCTCAAAAATCGATTTCGGAGACCCTAGCTCTCAAACAGTGTGTGAATAAGGATTTAAAAAATAACGGAGACCGGTAAGGATTTTGTACTGTTTATTCTTTTCTTTTTACAGCCCCTATGAGAGTCTTGTGACCATGCATAGAGGACAGGTAATGAACATGAAGGATAAGGATGTATTATACCTTTTAGTTGCCTTCTGCTCAATAACTAAATCTTCCTGTAGATTATAAGCCAAATACTGAAGTCTTTTCCTGTCCATTTCTAAACAAAATAATACACACAATATAATTAAACATATTAAATATGATAGTAATTTATACAACAATTGAAGTCTAACAACGATAAGCTGCCCAGTTGCATTACAATATTTCAACCCAGACTAATCAAACAACAGCACACACCACAAGCATGAACAATTTGTTATACGAAATACAATCAGCAACTTCTAGTTTGTAACTTGTCTGTTCATACTGCCAATCAGCCAAACTCTGTATACAAACATAAATGAGATAGAGAGAGACATGGGGTTTAACGTCCACTCGACACAAACTAGGTCATTTCGGGACTAACACATGGTTCAATTTTATTTCAATAATTCGCTTGCACATAGGGGTCTTTAGCAGTGGGAGGAAACCAGAGGACCCGCAGAAAACCCACGAGGTTGGACAGGCGACCCTAATCCTTGTCACGTACAACCGGGGAATCGAAACCACGTCAGTTGACTCAATGACAGACCGTACGATACAGCACGCATGTGCTAACCATTCGGCCATTCACCAACCAACCCCAAAACATAAATGTACGGTACACATAAATCACTAAAAGTAATTGTATGTATGCTTTGTGATCTTAAAAGTTAAATATACTATACTTAGCCCTTTTATAAATGGGGGATTGTACATCTTGTTTAATAAATACACTTTAATCCGGTTCAGAAGTGGTGTATTTTCATTGTGTAGAATATAGCCATGTTTATGAAAGTGTGCTCTGTTAATTTGAGTAGTTCAACTTTTTCTTAAAAAAATTTAAAGATAAGCTGATATATTTACCTATATTATGTACAGCATTTACTGGAAATTTAGTCAGCAATGATGTTGCCTGGAAAAAAAACAGAAAATGTCATATTTTTTTTATCACATCTCATCTGTCAGTATACATCAATCATTACAAGAAAAAGAAAATGTTCTGTGAAACAGGACCCATGTTATAAGTTTTTGTACCATACAAAGATAAATTTGTTCAACACGCACATGTATATTGTAAGTAATCATCCATAAAATGTTTTAAGAAATGAAACCAAACATTACAATGAAGCCACTGATTTAATTTTTCACGGCTTAATCCGTACTAAAATGATTATTTAAAAGAGAGAGAGAAATGGGGTTTAATGTCCACTTCACACAAACAAGGTCATTTCTGGTCTAACACATGGTTCAATTTTATTTCAATAATTCGCTTGCGCATATCATAGGGGTCTTTAGCGGTGGGAGGAAACTGGAGGACACAGAGAAAACCCACGAGGTTAGACAAGCAACCCTTCACCTTGTCACGGGGAATCGTAACCACGGCAGTTGACTCAATGACAGACCTTATGATACAGCGCGCACGTGCTAACTATTCGGCCATCCAACGCCTCACATTTCATTCAGAAAGCAAAATAAAATATTAATTCATCATATCTTTGTAAATATTGAACGGAAATGAATAATTTGGATTGATATTACAAGGGATTCAAAATTACTCAAATGATTATCAGAGACTTTAATTATTAAATTAACACTCTTATCCATGTTCCAGGGTCAATTTACGTTCACTAGTCATCCCTTTGTAGATAGTAACCTATAGGGATGGCAGAAAATATTGATATTGCTGATAATCACCAGTGAAGCATTTTGAAGATCGATAATCGATACAGATTTAAAATATTGATAATGCACAATTGTAGGTAGCTACTTGTAAGAAGCATCTATAAAAAGATAATCTGTTTCTTTGCAACGCGTGCTGCACCTAGCTCGGTAACTGTAATTAAACAGTAGTCATTAAACACACATACGTTTCGTTTTTTACGCGAGACGCCATCCCTAAGAACTGTCAGCCGCTTATGATGAGGGCAAATAGTTTCACTGCATAATAAACAGACTTGGGCCGATTCTTTTAATCTTATTTCTTTCGTCTGCTCTGTTTCTAAATATCAATTAAACAAATGTCAGTGACCAAGAATCAAAAATCTGAATTAAGCCGCTATACAACAAGCCGTTTTGTGTGCATGAGAAATCAGAATAACTACAAGAAATAAACTGTTACTGTTATTATTTTTATGGTCATAAGCGACAATGATATGTCGAGTGTGATGGTTCTGTCTTCCAAATGAAGTGATTAGTTTCACCACCTTGGTTTTTGTATGGAATGCTAATATTTTATCGTCAAATCAATGGAACAAACTCCACATGTATACATAATGATATTACAGCACAAACTTACATATAATTCGTAATTCATATACAAATTATGAATGTTTTCAAAACGATTATCGACACATGAAACAAGTATTGATTGCCAATCCTAGTGACTTATCACAGACATTTACGTCATTATTGTTGTCTGTTCACGTCCGGGGATGCCGTGGCTAAGACGTTGGCTTGCTAGCCTGGGGGTTGGGTGTTCGATCCCTGCATTGGCCGAGAAAGTTAATCCCAATTTTCCGGCGTGGTTTCCCCTTGTCAGTGATGCAGGACGGAGGGCCTGGCAAGGACAGCTGTCTAGTCATTCGGATGGGATAAAAAACTGAGGTCCCGTGTACACATTGGCGTGCACATAAAAGATCCCTTGGCAGTTGGAATTCGATATAAGAGTAGGCCGTAGCGCCGCTGCCCGGGCAAAATTTCCCTCATAGCATACTGTATGGCGTATGCCCGTCTTCATTAGCCCAGGTTAGGAGCAGAACAGTAGGACGTTAAACTCCATTTCATTTCATTTCTGTTCACTTCCTCTTTCTTTCTGCTCTACCAGCGGTCAAGCTCGATATATAGTCTGATACACATAGCAATTATAGTACATTTTACCTTTTGACCAAATAAACCAGTTAATTCAATATGTTTCATTGTACTAGGTACAAACCAATCTCTTGTTAACTTTCTTCTCTGGAAGAAACATAGATACAAAATAGATTGATATTTAAACATGCATTATAAAAGAGCTAAATCTGACTTTTGTATGCCTTTCTTTAGGCCTTAAATGTTATATAAACTATTAATTACTAAATTAGACATTTACTAGCATCAACTCTCAATGCCATCTGATGGGTACGATTTTAAACAGTTTTGAATCAGATCTGTGATTCAACGGCTGTTCATGATTAACTGTTAAAATGGCTAATCAAGACTTTGTTTATTATCCTAATAATGGTAACAATCACAATCGAGGCTACAGTATTTTTTTAAATTCGGTTTTCTTGGGTCAGGGTGAAGTAATTTGACTGAAATTTTCAGCATATTCTCTATACGTTATCTTTTTTTGAACTATTATAGCGAGAAACGCTCTTTATGTAATCTTTCATAATGTCCTTGTAATAAGTTGAACAATTGACCATAAGATGATCAGGCCAATCCTGTCAAGAAAATGGGGCATGTAGAATGTGGTCAAATTGTATTGATGGAACTTAAATGTCTTATTCCAGTGACTTCCATGTTTAGGCTAGATACATTAGTTAAGAGTTTTACAAAGAGTTGGCCATTCTTGCTATAATAATTCAAAAATAGATGATAAAAAAAGAAAATGTTGAAAATTTCAATCAAATTACTTTGTTCTGAACGGAATTGTCACTGTTGGAAGTTTAGACTAGAAATAGGCATCAGTTGTGTCTGCAGTGTCTATGAGAATTGGCGATCGTTTTATTGACAGATGTTAACTACTCGCACATATTCTCAATTATCAAGTAACATGCTCAATGGCTATTGTATTGTAGCCTCGCTTGGCAGGCCTTTCATCACCAGTTTCCAGTAGTGACATCAGCGACTAATGGTAAACTTCAGCTTGGTCGTCATTTATTGATTTAATTTTTTATTTAACACTGTTTAAATCCAAACTGTATCCAAGCCATTCGTGGGTCTACAGAGTTGACTTTGAGCTTGTCATGTAAATAAAGGTCTAATTAATAATTTCTTTAACATCTGAAGCCTAAAAAAAGACTTGCAATAGGCAGATTTAGCTCTTGCATAATGTATGTTTAAATAGGTATAGTCTTTTCAATTAGTACAGAGTTGACTATATACTATATTGTTACATCAGAGATGTTAAAGGTAGATTGCATCCAAAATTTGGGATATGATATGCCAATGAATTGATGAGAGTGGGATGTTGATGGTTATACATAGCCTTCAATGTTTTCAAGGAGTTTAAAAAACACTTGATAATGCTTCTTTAAGATAATAATAGAATAAATCTACCAAGTTAAATAATTTGTTCTTACAACCGGGTGTTCTGTTAATGCTGAATCTTGAAAAAAGTTTTTCACTTGAATTCTTTCTGCAGCTGTATAAAAAAAGAAGAGAGAATGAGAAAAGAGAATAAAAAAAAAATGGACACATTATTTCTGTATTCTAAACTATGTACAACATTGATTTAATGTAATACAAACTTTTATCTAATGTTAATGTTAAATCAAAACAATTTTTTAGAAAATAAGCCTACAATTATTTCTCTTAAATTAGCATCATTTTGATATCTGTACACCTTTAAGTCAAGAAATACAAAAGTTATGATTACCTACTTAAAATAAATCAGTCTACTAAATAAATGCAGAAATACTGTATTATCAAATAATTTAACAGGCAATAAATTGTTGCTTGACTGAGGATCAATAGTCTACAATCTCAGAATATATTTAAAACAAACACAAAAAGTCTGACCCATCAAGTGCTTACAAGAACTGTGAACAAACAGGGCGATGACAATAAATGTGGGTGTATAATAAAAGTTGTTGATACTTAAAATAACTTACAAGTAATAATTCTACCATCTAACATCCATACATTAGGTAAACAATCAATAACGTGTATTCGATCTGAAATATTACAGAAAACGAGAATCAATAGCGTCAATATATGTTAATAACATGTATTCGATCTGAAATATCACATAAAATGAGAATCAATGAAGTCAATAACATGTATTTGATCAGAAAATTGATCTGAAATATTACATAAAATGAGAATCAATGAGGTCAATAACATGTATTCAATCTGAAATATTACAAATATTTCTACCTCAATCAGAATGATAGCCATTGTGTTCCAAAGTCTCGACCAATCAAATTGCTTATCGCTCTGCTACCCCCAGTAATGAAACTATACACCTATTTTCATCCCTCTCACTAAGATTATCATGTCCCAAAGCAACCATGTTTGAACATTCTTGCTCAATTAGAAGAGTTATTGTGCCTCAAAAGGCGGGGGATAATAAAATAATTCCTGGGTTGAAAAGAATATGTTAGTGTTTCTACAGAGTTTAAGAAATGCTCTATTGAGAAAAAGTAAGTCGCCTAATCAAACTAAGAAACTGAAAAGTATGATATTTCTAATGACCAGAAAAACAAAATTATCTGAGCCTGTAACAAGCACTGAGATATGACAGTGTCACAGCAACCCTAGCTTGCGGGTATTCATTTATTGTATTCTTATCAGTATCCGCGATCAAGGTTGCTACATTAGAATTTGTAGATTATAAAATGGCGTTCATTTGAAGGATGTTATAAATGTTTGTTGTTACAAATATATCTTTCTTGGTACATGCATATGTGTTGTTTGTATATATTTTATAACTACAAACAGTTATACAGTTTTAAAGATCTCAACTAACACGAAAATATCTTTAGAATACTTCTAATTCCATGTAAAGTAGAATCTGTATGAGCAGCCACTCCTATTCAGCGACATCTCCTTGTAAGCGGTCACGATAAATTCCCCCCGTAGAAATTCTGTTGTTTCATCTCTTTATTCAACGGTCACTTTTTTACTAATAAATTCAAAAAAACATCGCCCATTCAACGGCCATTGTTGAATGATACAATCTTGTCGTTCTTTGTAACACCCCCGCTAATCCCGTGAGTAGTAGTTAATTAACTGGACCCCCACTGATCAGGTAACAAGAAATGTAAAAATAACAATCAACCTGAGATTATCTGTTAATTAATCTTTTGTTTTATTAAACGACTAACCTGATCATTGTTTTCACGCGTAACGACACATTATTTGATACTGATTGAATAAAATAAAAGTAGCGAGTTTTGTCACGATCATCTAGTATCTCTTTCCCGTTGTCACTTTATTGTTAAACAGACGTTTTAGCGCCTCCTATAATATTACATACAGAGTTACACCCCCTGTAAATAGGTGATAAAATTAGCAATGTTTTTTTGTTCATGTGCTTTTTTGATAAAATAAAATTAATTCATCGATTTTCTTCACAAAAATGGATAAATATTATCGAATGCATTACAATGGTAGACAGTAGTATCGAAGGTTGGTACAAAATGACAAGTTTACAGAAGTTATGTCCAAGATTTGAGTAAAGAATTTTCGTTCGGCGCAAGATTCAGCGACTTTCAAATTTACCGCTTCCAATGCATTCAAGCGTAATAAATATTTAATTTATGTCAGCACAAAAAGCACCAAGATTTTATTAAGAGGCCACTCCCGTTAAGTTATATCTGAGATTTGAGTAAAGAATTTTCGTTCGGTGCAAGATTCAGCGACGGTCAAATTTACTGCTTCCAATGCATCCAAGCGTAATATTTAATTTATGTCAGCACAAAAAGCAACGAGATTTTATTAAGAGGCCATTCCCGTTAAGCGGTCAGTTGTGAAAATTCCCTTGGGTGGCTGCTTAATGCAGATTCTACTGTACATGTATATGTACCATGTACAGGACTGAAGAACTTAAGGAGACTCTTTAATCATTTCAGGACTCTTAAAATAATCTATAATGGTCAACACAAGTGACAGATCAATGTAGCTGTCAGAGAGTTAGAGGAACAAACAATAAAGAACATAGAAATAAACTTTAACTTACAATAGTTGTCTTTTTCTAACTGTGGGTTGCCATGGAGACTCAAGTTGAGTATATGGATATGTCGAATTTTAACCAGTTCTTTCCAAGATAAATCATTATTAGACAGGATTAATGTACCAAAACACAGAAATCTAGATAATCCATCAAGACATTGTATCTACAAAGAAAATAACCAAGTTCATAGAGCTCTTAAAAATCTATGTAATCCTGAATTAGGACATTTTTTCAAGCATAACAGTTACGTCATTCAATTCTGATCCATTCTTAGTGGATATTCATGAGTGTTTCTTCCACACATTGTTTTAAATAAAATTGATGTCTGTTAAAATCTGTTGAGGACATCCTGTCTTTCTTAATAATATTTGTATTGAATGATGAATGGACAGAACAGTTATGCATGTATTTCTAGTACTAATATTTATTCATAGTTGTACAGATGTATATAATTAGATTCTCCAGTGTCAAAGAAATATCTTTTAACTTCTAATGAAATCCAGTGCCTAAGCTCATTAAAAAAAGTGGGCCTAAGCCTATAAAAAAAAAAAAAGAAAAAAGAGAAAGAAAAAAGAAAAAAGAAAGAAAGAAGAGGGGGAGGAAAGAAAAGAAAGGAAGGAAGGAGAGGACAGGACACAGCCTGTGTCCTGTCCTCTCCTTCCTTCTTTCCTAATGATAGTGCTCTTAGGTCATTCTGTTATCTAATTGTATCAGGAAATCGAAATTCGCCTTCTTCTGCTTTGGTCTGAAATGCTTGGAAAATGGGTTTGCGGTTGTCAATTTTCAAAATTTTCCTGGGGGAGAACCCCCCCCCCCCCCGAGACCCCCTTGGACGATCTAGCGCCTTCGCGCGGTCGTGACACGCATTCGGCGCGTACTTGTATGGGCCTTGGTCAATGACCTGACAGGTGGGCCTTCATACCACCAGTCCAGCACTGATGAAATCTCATCAAAAATTGATAAGAAGTCCACTGAGTAGAATGACAACAAGCCAACAGTGAGACTGATGTCCCCCACCGAAATCTCAAAATAAATAGATGATACATATTAATTAATTAATTGCACGTTTATCTTTTTCAAAAGCATTGAGCAATCAAACTGATTATCAACTATACACTTAGTTTCATCAATCTCTATCAGATAGAATCAAATCTATATTGTCCCAAAGCATCAACCATGAAATTGCTTAGATCTGCTTAGCTTTAGCGGGATATGTTAATCATTGAACTCTGTCAAGACTTTCACCTAATGAAGATCTACTTGTACATCAACTTTTAAACATTCTACCTCAATCAAATTGCTTATCGCTCTTTAGCCTAAGCAGAAAATTCTCATCATCGAACTTAGTCGAGGTAATGATATAATGAATCTACATGTATACTCAGAGTTTCATCACTCTCACTTAATTATATCCAAAGTTATCGTGCTCCAAAGCATCAACCAATCAAATTGCTTATCTCTGCTTACCATAAGCAGACAATGTTCATCACCAAACTCCATCAAGGCATTTACCTAATGAACAACTACACCATGTTTGAACATTTCAACCTCAATTAGAATGAGAGTTATTGTGTTCCAAAGTCTCGACCAATCAAATTGCTTATCGCTCTGTTACCCTCAGTAGAAAATGTTCATTATCGAACTTAGTCAAGGTATTGATATGATGAAACTATACACCAAGTTTCATCACTCTAAGTCTAACTTAATTAGAACTAAAGTTATCGTGTGCCAAAGCATCAACCAATCAAATTGTTTATCCTTGCTTACCGTAAGCAGACAAAATTCATCTTCGAACTCCACCAAGGCATTCACCTAATAAACACCTACACCAAGTGTGAACATTCTAGCTCAATTAGAAGAAGTGTTATTGTATTCCAAAGTCTTGACCAATCAAATTGCTTATCGCTCTGCTTACCCTGAGCAGAAAATGCTCATTATCAAACTTAGTCAAGGTATTGATGTAATAAAACTGATCACTCTCACTTAATTAGAACTAAAGTTATCGCGTCCCAAAGCATCCACCAATCAAATTGCTTATCTCTGCTTACACTAAGCAGAAAATGCTCATCTTTGAACTCCATTAAACACCTATACTAGGGGGACCCACCGTAAATAAATATCTCCAAATATCTTGACTATTACACCATAATATATATATATACCAAGCCTTAAATCAGTTTCGCACATTTATAGTCACTAAATAAAGCTATGACCATTTAACCATCTATAAATAATACACTGAAAGATGGTTACGAGTGTCGGCCATAACATCCGGGCACTTGTGAGTAAAAAATAGGTTATGTGCCCTTGTTTTGGAATTAGTCTCACTTAACCAGTCTACGGACCATTCTATGTCTCATTGACAGGCCGGGATAATCAAGACTATTTTTTGATGAAACATAACAGAAAGTTGGAACAAGAAATTGAATTTAGAAACACACACGTTAGGCAACTAAACAATTGTTTTAAGAACCTTGTAAAAGTAAAATGAAACTAATGCTTGTATCATATTCTTGCCCAATGCAAGTGTTTCATCAATATCGAATAAAAATTGTGACCTCTAGAGGGTCCACAACCTTCTATTACACGCTTCTACACTATTTGCGTACAAAGAGCGGCCTTTTTGTTGGGCACTTTCATTTCAGTTTTCCCGAAATTGTGACCTCTAGAGAATCCACGCAATTTTTCGTACAATCAAGGGCCATAATTCAGGAAGTTACGATCCGAGATGCGCGAATATCGAAAGGAACCAAGATCTTTGGGTTATAAACATGCATTTCAAGTTTCATTAATTTCAGATCAAAACTGTGACCTCTAGGAGGTCCACAATCTTGATATACCAGATGTTTACACTATTTGCATGCGAGGGGAGGCCATTTTGTCCCACAGGTTTGGCCCGATTTTCAAGAAATTCGAACTCATCATACATTACGGTGTAACGGTGATATATTCAAATGTTTTTTTAAATCCGATAATAATTGTAACCTCTAGACTCTAGAGGGACCACAAGCTAAAAACGCGATTTTTCGTACAATCAGAGGCCATAATTCAAGAAGTTACAATCCGATATATAATTTCAAAAGCTGCTGTAATAACCAAAAAGCTAAATATTACTGCTATTCAGAATCGTCAACAATAGATTTTTTACGGCTGTAATAGTTAATAGATGTGTAGAGAATTGCACGTGCGATGGCTATTTATAGTCTCATAGACTCTAGTGCTGAGTATCATCATACTGCGTGGATAGCCAGAAATCACTTCGAGACAAGCCACAGAAAAGTGCACATTCGCTGTGTCGATTCCAACTTTCTGTAGGGAATAATTTTCACTGCACGGGCCAGTGTCAGCCTACCTATGGGCTATACCAAGTTTGACCATTCTAGCTCAATTAGGAGAGTTATTGTGTCCCAAAAAGTGTGCCGGACAGACAGACAGATCCATTTTAATAGTCCCTTGCTTTCTTCGAAAGGTGGGGGACAAAAATATTGATTTAGTAGTTTGTTTTCTTTAGAATAATATATATGGCATATATCTTATGGTTCTACTATGGTTATCAACGTTACTTCTAAACAGTCATATTGAATGTATTACAATACATATCTATCAGTGTCAAAGCCTTTTGATTCAATTTATTATTGGGCCGCTTTAAAACCATACATTGTATCTTTATTTACTTTAATCTCTATTCATGATGATCTTAATCCCCTAACAACAAGTGCTATACTTTATGATAAGATCAATGCTATTCAATGTAATACTACATTAAATAGAGTTTATTATCCCTATCAATAGGTAAATAGACAATCCTTCTGGCTACAATACTTCAATAAATTACGTAACAGGACACCAAATACGGATCATCTTTCAATACAACTCATAAAACTGATCTTTTTAAAGTTTCTAAAATAATATATAGCAGTTATTAATTAAATAACACAGTAGTTATTGACAAGCATGCATGAGTCCTTTAAGTGCAAATAATTAAGGAGTAACTAATCCCTTTGACAAATCCTAAAATGGAACATTTTTAAATTGTAAGATAGCTAAACCTGTCTATTGCCGGGCATATTTCAGGCTTCAAATGTTTTATAAATTATTATTTAGACATTTATTCACATGACAAGCCAATAATCCACTCTAGAAACGATCGGATGGCTTAGAAATTGAATGGATTAGACAATGCCTGTTATTTCAAGTCAGTTTTGCAAGATGGCATAGACAAACATAAACAGGTTAGGGGATATCAGCAAGTTCACTTATCGGTAACTTATTAAGAATGCCGTAGATAGATTACACTGAATAATGAATCTGTTCAGGGAGTTGATATTTGGACTATTCGTCCATTAGTTTGCATTAATACACCTGGCTTGATATCCATAAAATTCAAATATCCCCCTCTTTGAAGAATTTGATAACTAAATGTCACAATAATTTCTATTTCAGGTTTTTTAAAAAAGCAACTATAAATAATTTTAGGTGATTTAATTATAATCATTTATAATTTGTTAATTCACAAATAATCCATTTATAAACAAAATCTATTTGGAATTATAAGCAACACGGTTAAAGATGCATTATGTAAGATTTAGATAAAGATCTGACCTTTCTTGCTACAACAGTTCAAAAACAGATAATGAAAAATTAATATATTGAAAATTTCAGTCAAATTACTTTATTCTGAACAAAGTTTTCTGTGTAACTATATAGCCTCGATTGTCAAGTATCATTGCTACGATAATAAACTAATAAACAAAGTCACGATTATCCATTTTTAATGAAATTATTAAATGGCAATCATGTTTTAATCGATTAAATATCATGGCCATCTGATGGACTAGAGGGTTGATCATGGTCTAGTCATGTGATAAATGTCTAATTAGTAATTAATGACACATCATTTGAAAAGAAAATAAAGGCAGATTCAGCTCTTACATAATGGCATGCATCTTGATAAAATATCACAAGTATGTTGTTATAATTAATAAACTAATTAAAGACACTCTATTCTTAGAAAAAGTCTGATATCTTCATCAAATTTGGAGATGTAACCCAAATCATTTATAAATGACTTTTAAGAAAGGAAGAGATAACAATGAAACTGAACAATTTCATAGTCTTAATAATATGGATAAAAACAATACTGGTTGTGGTATATTTACTTACAGGAGGTTTAGTAGTGGCTGAATAGTTTAACATGTGTGCTTTAGATCATAAGGTCCGTCATTAAGTCAAATGGCATGGTTTCGATTCCCCACTTGTACATGACAAGGGAGTAGTAGAGTCGCCTGTCCAGGTCCTCCGGTTTCCTCCCACTGCTTGCGAATTATTGAAACAAAAATCAAACCACATGATAATCCTGAAATGACATTTTTCTCTTTCTCTCTCATATTTACTTACTTGATTACAGCTCAGATTTAGTGACCATAATTGCGGACAGCACTCCAAATTATATATATCTTGAATATTATTTCCTTGCAGATTTATATACTGTAGCTTTTTGTATGATGCCAGTCTCTCTATACAATCTGTCCAAAACAAAATTTACAAAATTCTCTTTCATCTTTAGAAAGGTATCCCTTTACTTTCATGTTTACATGTACATGATTTTTATATATGTATTAACCAGCGGCTGCCAGGTAAGAAAAAAAAAACATTTTGCAAGAGATGGATAGAGAACAAGCTAAAATAAAAAAGGGATATTGTCAGGCAGTTTGGGTCAGATTTTCACGAAATTTGAACTCAACCTTCATTGATGTGTAATGGTCATATATTTAAACATTTTTTAAATTGGATAAAAATTGTTACCTCTAGAGGGACCACAAGCTAAAAACGCGATTTTTTGTACAATCAAGGACCATAATTCAAGAAGTTATGATCTGATATGCGCATTATCGACAGGAACTAAGATCTTTGGGTTATAAACATGTATTTCAAGTTTCATCAAAATTGTGACCTCTAGAGGCTCAACAACCTTGATATACTATATTATTACACTATTTGCGTATGCGGGCGGCCATTTTGTCCGACACTTTTGGTCCGATTTTCACGAAATTCGGACTCAACTGTCAGTACGGTGTAACAGTGATTTATCACCCAATAATACATTCTACAGTAGATATCGCTGGTGTGATAAATTTCATAATCTACTGCGATATCTCGTTGATATTTTTTTATATCAAAAAAGACTCGTAGAAATTCTATATCCTCTAGAGGTCCACAACTTCGATATACCAGATGTTTACACTATTTGCATGCGAAAGGCAGCCATTTTGTCTGTCAGTTTTGGTCCGATTTTCATGAAATTACGGTGTAACGGTGATATATTCGAACGTTTTTTGAAATCAGATAATGATTGTGACCTCTAGAGGGACCACAAGCTAAATACGCTATTTTTCATACAATCAGGGGCTATAATTCAGGAAGTTAGTAGTTATCATCCGATATGCGCAAATATTGACAGGAACCAAGATCGTTGGGTTATAAACATACATTTTAAGTTTCATCAGAATCAGATGAAAATTGTTCCTTCTTCGAGTGTCCACAAGCTAAAAACGCAATTTTACATACAATCAGGGGCTATAATTCAGGAAGTTACCGTCGGATATGTGCAAATATTTACAGAAACCAAGATCTTTGGGTTATAAACATACATTTTAAGTTTCATCAAAATCAGATGAAAATTGTGACCTCTAGAGTGTCCACAAACTAAAAACGTGATTTTTCATTCAATCTGGGGCCATAATCCTTGCAGTTTTGATCCGATAAATGCCAATATTGAAAGGAACCGAGATCATTCGAAGATAAACATTTATTTTAAGTTTGGTCAAAATCGGATAAGAATTGTGACCTGTAGAGTGTCCACAAACAAATTGTGGATGGACGGACAGGGGTGACGACAATATACGTCAACATGAAAATGTGAGCGAATAAAAAATAGTTAATAGTGAAGGGGATATTGAAATGCAAATTCCTATGCAGGATGTGATATGTTAAATAGTCAAGGACACTTGACATGCTTTGAGAGTATGTTCACAGATGAAGAACTTATCGCCCCAACAGAACCACTGAGCTTCACATGCGACACGCAAGGGTGCCATACACGTGGGAGGGGTTCATTGTCAAATTTGACACTTCAAGGAAGGGTTAATGAAAACTGACGCTTGCTGGTTTATCCTATCCATGTTTGCTTTCCTATCGGTTCTTGCGTAAGATTTACTGTTTAGCGTATCTTTGCTTTAGTGTGTTACGTTTAATTTGATAGGGGACGTCAACCGACAACACTGCAAGAATTGGCCGGGGCACTGCAAGGGGAGTGGGTCAGATTGCCCCAAATCGTGATTGGACGGTTGATTAGGAGCATGCCACGACAAATTGCTGAATGTCTGAGGATTGGTTGAGCAATTACTTATTATTAAGACAAAAATCAAAAACGTACATTTTCACTTTTAACAGGGTATCTCTTTGGGAGTGAAATGGGGCCGTCATGTAAGCCGCCCATATGAACTGTTTATGTTCATGTGTTGGCAATTGGCCTGCTATTAACATACACTGGTTACCTCTAATAAAAACAGCAGTACATTTCTGCAGTTTTGTATTGTTTCTGAATATCCCCTACTTTTTTTGAAGAGTATATTATTGGACATTTTATTGTAAAAATCCTAGTTTGTGTGTACAAACTATTATGCCTACATGGAGTAGTGACTGTAACAGAAACATATTTTAACATAATGAAAAATGACTTTCGTTTTCAAAACCTTACTGATGCACATACATGTAAATGAAGGCATACATAATGAAAATGTAGGTATACTACACAGTAGTCACAGATTAATCAGTAATGCCTGATGACCTTAATCAATTATGTGAAATTCTAGTACATATACACATTTGCTTTATGATCAAAATTAAACTATGTAAAAACTATATTACAATCTTACCAATATCAAGACTCGACAAGTCTAAATACTCCAATGATGGCAAAGGTCCAGTCGCCTGCTGGCGAATCAGCTGAAATGAAGAGCAATTTTATACAAAATTGTATTTCAAAAAATCTTTTTTACATAAAAACTAATCCATGACCACTCAGCTCAAAGACCACTCGGAGAAAAACCACTCAGACCAACTGATAGACCACTCATCAGACCAAATAAAAAGACTACTTGGCCCTTACAAAAAGACCACTCGGACCAAACAAAAAGGCAACTCGGTTGTTTTAATAAATCAATAATTGTTTGTTTTAAATGACTACTCGGACCAACAATAAAGTGTTGTTTTAATAAATTGATAATTGTGTTTGTTTTATTATGCATCTGTTTTCTTTGAAATAATAAAGTGTTATTATGTATTTACCAGTGGTATTTTTTCATCATGTGGAACATCAAAGAAAATCAGTTAACAAAACAACGATAACTGAGTAGTGATTAATTCATATGTATCTGTACTCACCTGTGTTACAAGCTAATCAAATTGACGAAGCACATCAAAGAAAAACAATTAAACTGTTAATGTAATAAAGATGAATATTTGCTAATATATACTTACTCGTAGCGCACATCTAGTAACAAAGACATTGTTAAGAAATGTATATACTCACCTATAAATTATTCGCCTCTTTGTATTGTGATTTAATAATAAATAAATAATATATTGACTGCATTTTATTTTTAAAATAAATAAGTCAAACCTTATAATATAATTTAATTGGTCCGAGTGGTCCTTTGGGTTGATCCGAGTAGCAAAGATAAATATTGGTCCGAGTGGTCTTACAATATAAATTAATTGGTCTGAGTGGTCTTTTGGTTTGGTTCGAGTAGTCTTTTGGGTTGGTCCGGGTGATCTTTCGTCTGATTACCATAAAAACGTATATTATTGTAATTCAGATCATCCATTTTGATAATGATAAACACTGATTAAACTACATTGTTCCACTTCAGTAGAGTGAATTCCATATTTTACTAGGGCTGCTATGATACGCCAGGCCAAGATATGATGAGTATCATGATTCATAGTCTACAATACGATTAATATAGCGATATAGGAAATAAATTTAAAAAATGCTGTTAAATTTTGACAGTCTTTCACTGTGAAAATTCGAAAGCCTACTTTTATGATTTACATAAAATGTGGTGTTTTCTCGGTCAGCTGTCCGGATTTCATTGCTGTCGTGCTTGCCGAATGGTTAGCACGCGCGCACTACGCTGTGTCATTGAGTCAACTGGCGGGGTTTCGAATCCCCGGTTGTACGTGACAAGGAGTAGGGTCGCCTGTCCAACCTCGTGTGTTTCTTCAGGTACTCCGGTTGCCTCCCACTGCTAAAGACCCCTACGCACAAACGAGTTATTGAAATAAAATTGAACCATGTGTTAGTCCCGAAATGACCTAGTTTGTGTCGAGTGGACTTTAAACCCCATTTCTTTCTCTCTCTGTCATACTTAACTGGAAATCCTAAAAACTCACATACTTTACTTGTGAATTATAGACTTGGTATGGGAGATTTAGATCTCAAAACTGCTTTTGTCGATCGTGCGACTTGAATTCGGTGAATTCATTATGAAAAACTTTCAGCTGGCTGCTTCGTATTGCCACAACAATTTCAGCCAATGAAAAGCTTTTTCGTTGTTAGGTCAGTCATAGATTACGGAACAGCAAAGGAAATAACATTACGAAAAGATTTTAATATCAAATATTAATATACATTGAAAATGTGACTGATCAATGTATGCAGTATGTACAAATCGCCATTCTTATACAGTAATATTATCACAAATCAAATATTATGGACGTATATTAAAGTAGATAAGGTACAAGTACTTCTTTGTTAACAGTAGATAAATGCATAAATAAATAAACCAGCGGCTGCCAGGCAGGATACGCTCACATTTTTCAAGAGATGGATAGAGAACAAGCTAAACAAAAAGTGATTTTTCGTACAATCAAGGGCCATAATTCAGGATGGTACAATCAGATATGTGTGATTATCGACAGGAACCAAGATCTTTAGGTTGTAAACATGCATTTCAAGTTACATTAAAATCAGATCAAAATTGTGACCTCTAGAGGGTCCACAACCTTGATATACCAGATGTTTACACTATTTGCGTAGAGGGGCGACCATTTTGTCTGGCAATTCGAACTCAACCAGCATTATGGTGTAACGGTGATATATTTGAACGTTTTTGTAAATCAGATAATAATTGTGACCTCTAGAGGGACCACAAGCTAAAAACAGGATTTTCCATACAATCAGGGGCCATAATTCAGGAAGTTAAGATCTGATATGTGCAAATATTGACAACAACCAAGATCTTTGGGAAATAAACATGCATTTCAAGTTACATCAAAATCGGATCAAAATTGTGAGCTCTAGAGGGTCCACAACCTTGATATACCAGATGTTTACACTATTTGCGCAGACGTGCAGCCATTTTGTCTGACATTTTCATGAAATTTGAACTCATCCAACAATACAGTGTAACAGTGACATATTCAAACGTTTTTTTTACATCAGATAATAATTGTGACCTCTTGAGGGACCACAAGCGATTTTTGCGTAAATCAGGGGCCATAATTCAGGAAATTACGATCCAATATGCGCAAATATCGAAAGGAACCAAGATCTTTGGGTTATAAACATGTATTTCAAGTTTCATCAAAATCGGATCAAAATTCTGGGCCCTTATTCACGAAAACTTAAACTAAGATAAAATCGAAATTTTAAGAAATACTGCAACTTCATTGGATATATGCAAATTGATTTTACTGGTCAGCCAATCGAATTCCAGTATTTCTTAAAATTTCGATTTTATCTTAGTTTAAGTTTTTGTGAATAAGGGCCCAGAGCTCTAGAGGGTTCACAACCATATTTTTTACACTGTTTTCGAAGGGAGGCCATTTTGTCCGGCAGTTTTTCTTCGGTTTTCACAAAATTCGAACACAAGTGTCATTAAGGTATAACGGTGATATTCAAACGTTTTTTTAAATCGGAATAAAATTGTGACCCCCATAGTGTCCACAAGCTAAAAAAACGATTTTTTCGTACAATCATAGGCCATAATTGAGAAAGTTACAATCCGATATGCACGAATATCGAAAGGAATCAAGATCTTTGGGTTATAAACATGCATTTCAAGTTTCATCAATATCGGATCAAAATTGTGACCTCTAGAGTGTCCACAAGCTAAAAACACGATTTTTAGTACAATCAGGAGCCATAATCCATGAAGTTATGGTCCGATACATGCCAATATCGAAAGGAACCGAGATCACAGGGAGATTAAGCTATATTTCAAGTTTCGTTGAAATCGGATAAAAATTGTGACCTGTAGAGTGTCCACAAACAAATTGTGGACAGACGGACGGACGGACAAACAGGGGCGACGACAATATACGTCCACATGAAAATGTGGGCATATAAAAAGTTCCATTACTAGAAGCTTGAAATTTAGCTCTAGTGAGTAATTTTTTATGGCTAGGGGGCTGACGTTTACTATTAATTAATTCTATGCCCTGAAATTGATTATTAAGATTATCATTAGAAAGGAGAACATTCTTAGTATCATAAATATGTTGAAAAAAATTATTATGTCGAGGATTATATGTCGAAATATAGGCAATACAAGTAGAGATATTTTTTTTCTTTTGGCATTCTTAATACTTCAGTTGTTAGACCCCTAGCTTTTTCAATAGCTATATTGATAACCCCAAGTGGGTAATCTTTTTTCAATAATCAAATTCTGAGATCTTCGTATAAAATTATAGTGCATAGTTTTCTGGCAAGAGAAAAGGGTATATTATTTTTAACATGACGAGGACGACATGCCTTGTAGAATAAATAATTTTTAGTATCTGTTTCTTTTGTAACGATTCGATTATTAAATCTCTTAACGAGAAAATCTAAAAAAGCAATTTACTTATAACTAGTTTTAATAGTGAATTTAATATTATTTTTTTTTCAAAACAATATTTTATTCAGAAATTGAAAGGGATTGAGGAACAGACATAGATGACCTCTCTCCTAAATACAAGAATTAATATGCATATGTAAAAGAAATAAGTGAGTAAACAACAAAACAATAAATTAATACTTAATCAACAACATTTTATATATACTTATTTACACATTGGCTACACAGTTGTTCATGTCCGTATTTTGATCGATATAGATGTTACACTGATCTTAAAACCTTCTGCTGCTGTCAAAAACATGTGGACCTTTTCAAAGATGGCTAACAAAATATAACTACTGCTTACACCGTATAACAAATTATGTGTATTGATAAAATTCAGTGGTAAAAGAATTTAATATTAATCTAGGTCATTTAAAAGTTTGTGGCCAAGATTAGTTTTCCAAGTGAGGAAGATGTCGTCTAAATATCTTTTAAATTTCTCTTCGATGTAGTTTCTATAGTTAATACCAAATTTGTTTTCAGTTATTGTATATAATAGTACAGCCTTTAATTTGTATAAAATTACGTTTTCCTAATTTGAAAGTATTATTCCTGAGAATAATATCGATAGCTTTTAAAATAAAGTTTTTGAAAAACGGGGATTTCAAAGTACAGGTAATTTATCTATCCAGTAACTGTCTGCCTCCAGGCACAAATTAATGATGATAATACATTTTATATCAAACAGGAAAAGGAATTGCCAATCAAACTATGTAATTTACCTTATAGCGTGTCCGGGACGCAAGGGAAAGTATATAGGAAAGACCCAAATGATGCTTAGGTTGAGAATGAACCTCCATCGACAGCACATACTTCAACCAAAATACAGGATGATCTCGCTCAGTGAGCAGCTTGAAGTACATGTAATCATGTATGTGGTGGAGGTAAATTTAGTGTTTTTCCTTTCTATTATATACACTTAATAGCAAAAACAACGACCTCTTGGAGGCAAAAGAAAGCTATTTTATTGAGAAGTACCACCCGAAACTTAATTCTAAATAAGAGAATAATTAAATTAAATAAAATAAAGACTGTGGGCTAAGAAATAACTACCCTTGCCTGTATAATAATTTCATAAGGTAACTATGACATTGTGACGTCATAGACTATTGTTAATTGAATTATTATTTAATAAATGCCTGAAGAGCCGCTCTCGCGGTGAAAACGTTAGCATAAAAATGTAGTTTTATTTTGACATCTTTAATTTTAATTATATATTAATATGTTGGGGTTTTTTCCTCATATTATTCAAGTGTGTAATTTTAATGCAACTTAATTTCCAGCACGACTTGCTTAACCAGACGAATATTTTAATCTTGACGAAATAGCTATAATAAGTTACTTCATGTGTCGAAAAAGCCCGTTAACACTCGCTGAAAGAAAAAAAAGTTATTTTGCTCATGGACTTATTTATGGATTTAAAGGAATATCAGTCTATTTTTGTGAAATTATTATTCGGATAACGAATCGCGATACGGCTATTGATTGTATCATGCATCATGGATTTTTAAAACATCACGGTTCATCCAGTCATCGATGAATCTTTGCAGCCCTATTTTTTACTCTAGGGTCATGTAGCTCTGCGGGTAAAAAAAATAACATCTGTTGTTAAAATTAGATACATTAACATAGTGTAAATTCAGTACAATACAATGTAGGTGAACGAGACAGCTAGGGTCATTTCGGGACTAAAAAACATACATGTATCTCTGGTACTATCTTATTTCAATATGTAATTCTCTAAGTTAGCAGTGGCACTGATGTATAAAGCGCACTAAGGATCCACCCTAACATAAACGATAAAATACAATACAATTTAGTTGATATAACTTAAAGCAAGAATTTCATATTTTCTAAGAAAGTCAAAACATAATTATTTCTATGTCTTTTGCTCAATAGGTTATCAACTCACTATTATACGAACATAGGTGTCATTCTCACACCTAAAACTCATTTACACAGGAAATGACAACACAATTACCTCCCTTGTTTTCCTATTGAAAACAATGGTCAGCCATTTCCTCAACGTGGAATTTGAAGTTGAAAATGATATTTTTGCCAATTTCTCAGCTGGCAATAGTGAATTATAGGATTAATATGATTATTCTTTAACAAGGTAGGACTGTTTATGGATACCATCTATTGTAAGGCTTTATTTTAATAAATTTTAAAAATATAACTTAAAAATTTGAAATTTCCACTTTAATATACAGAGACACAATCTTAGTTTTAGTCCTTACTGCTACAATATATATATAGAATCTTATTTAATGTTGTTTTTATTAGGGCGCTACGATAGATCAGTGATTGAGACATTGGCTCGCTAACCAAGAAGTCTAGTGTTCGATCCCTGTGGTTCCGAGAAAGTTCATCAGGATTGTTCGGTGTGGTTCCCCTTTGGCCTTGATGGTACAGGACAGAGGGCCCGGCAAGGGAGAGAGAGAGAAATGGAGTTTAACGTCCACTCAACATAAACTAGGTCATTTCGGGACTAACATTTTTTTAAAATTTTATTTTAATAATTCGCTTGCGCGTAGGGGTCATTAGCAGTGGGAGAAAACCGGAGGACCCGGAGAAAACCCACGAGGTTGGACAGGCGACCGTACTCCTTGTCACGTATAACCGGGGATTCGAAACCACGCCATTTGACTCAATGACAGACTTTATGATACAGCGTGCACACGCTAACCATTCAGCCATCCACCCCCCCCCGCCTGGCAAGGGAAAACGAAAAGTCTTTCTAATGGGATGAAAAAAAGAAGTCCCGTGTACACATTGGCTTGCCCCTAAAAGAATCCTTGACAGTTGGAATTTGATATAAGATTTCCCTATTGCACTTTCGCACCTCTACCAGTTCCCCTGGTCGTAGAAACTTGTAATTTTCCGGGGGAAGTTATGGGGGACTAGCAATGACCTCACTCGTGGAATACTTGCGTCGAGATACGCTCTCTTGAACCATTGAATAACCCGAGTGGTATTCAATGGCATTGAGTTCTATCTATTAGTATTAATCTTCGTGTATATTTATTTTTTGCCCTAAGCCACCATTTTCCATAAAAGTTAAACGACTATTTGTGTTGACTACTTTGATTGGGATTTATTTACGTGCGAATATAAGAAATTTATTAATTTTATTAAGTACTGCAGCACTAGGCAGGAACCGCAGTGTGTCGGAATCCGTATTAGTGTCTTGTTATTCGAGTCTAAACAGTCAAGCTTAACAAAATTGCGTCTATCGGATAAACGTTTCTATGCCAGAAGCTAAAAGGTGGATAAAGTGAAAAGTTTTTCACCGATTCGGCTGAAATTTGACGTGGGATCATCGCTAGCCCCCCTTAACACCCCCTGAAAATTCCAAGTATATACGACCACCGGGCCTGGTAGAGGTACGAAAGTGCAAAAGCGCCAATCAATGATATTCTCATGAATCAATATGTAATTGTAAGAAAGAAAAAAAATAGGGAGGATCTCTTGACAGTGACTCGTCTTTTGTACTAAAACAACCCATCACATCATCGTTGAGCACAGTTCAAATATTTTATTAAAATGTACAATTACCTGGCTTGTGATACGCATTTTATCCAAATTCTTTCATGTTTGAAAACTTTTTAGTTCATACCGCAGGTTACTCGGTTACTCCGAGTAAGTTTGGGCTAAACAACTACTTCCGTAAACAATGTGTTCCGTCGCTTAAAAAGATAGTGGTGTTTGCAAAAAAAATAGAATCCAATAGCAACCAAATAAAAAGTATATTGTGAAATGATCTCAAGGCACTGATTGAATAAGAAAGATTACCTTGGATGAGTGTTCATAAGTAACAGATGCAGAGTTATGCTACTCTAGCTAGAGTAGGAATACATCTTGACCTAGGATATATCTAACATAGTTCGTATCGTGTTTATGACTATGGACGACTAAGAGCGCAAAAAGTGGCGTAAAATTAAATATAATGGGTGTGTGAGTGAGTGGGGGTGGGGGTAACATTAACGTCCTACTTTCTGTGCCAACTGGCCTGTGCCCACGTGCCCAAAATACCCGCAACCAAGACACTTAACCATAAATACAAACCGCATTGTCGACAAAATATAAATGCTATTATATATAGAACTTTCAGAAATGATAAAGTTGTGTGTATTGAACACAATCGCCTACTTGCATCATCCACAATTGCATATGAAAGGATCTCGAACTATCAATACTTAGGATATTTTACCGACCCCGAGCTACTCAAGGGTGGATCCAGAGACCGTGAATAGGGGGAGGACCGGTCCACGTAGTTAGTATACTTGATTACTTGTAACGTTAAACCGTGTGTTTAACGTTACAATCGATACAGTCTGAGACTCCTTACGCAAGTTCAAATAGGTTCAAACGCACAATTGTCAACACATATCATTACAGTTTGTATTGGAATAAGTAATTCTATGACAAATAGTGAAGACTGGACCACTAAAATAGTTACCGAACAGTTTTTCTTCGTGGTTATGCGTTCTACATTTGCATAGCGATGTTTCTTGTAATGACGTATTAATCCGCATGACACCAGCCGGCAGTTGAAATTTCGCGTAGCAGTTGGGTTTCATCATATCATATAATTATGCGGTAAGGCTTCACCTTTATTTCAATAGGAATTGATTTATTATATGTTAAGCTAGGTGCACTACTGTTTTGGGTCAGTTTGTGTGTAAATTAAGGGAGCTATAGGCCAGTAACCTTTTTGTAGTGATTTCACTAAAAAACTTGCGCAAAGGAACTCTATAGGGACGAGCCACTACTGTGGCTGGAGTAAGGCGGAAGACATCAGTAGTGGAACCATTTCTACGGTCCACGGTAAGGTCTACGGCAATGGATGTGCTCTCTGGTGAGACGTCGGCGCACTGTATCGGTACTGATGGGTCTTCCGTGTGTTTCCACTGTCTGACGTGCTGTCTCATATGCCTGTGTGAAGGAATTATGCACGTGCTGTCGCACAACATGACGGTCTTGTCGCCGTGTGGTAAGCCTTGGTCTACCAGTTCGGGGGCGATCATCCGTGGTGTTGGTGGCCCGAAAGCGTCGCTCAAACCTGTAGATGGTCCGAACATTAGTTGGAAGTGATTGGCAACGACTTGGGCAGCCTGGTTCCTCTGAGCTGTCGTGAGTTGTGGTCACAAATATACAATAAAAACATTTGGCAAGTTTTATGCAATGCGTCTATTCAGAATAACGTACCAACCTGACATTTCTTTTGCTACTTGGTATGTATTGAATTCCAACTGTCAAGGAATCTTTTACGTGCACGCCAATGTGTACACGGGACCTCGGTTTTCCGTCCCATCCGAACGACTAGATAGCTGCCCTTGTCAGGTCCTCCTTCCTGTATCACTGATACGGGGGAACCATGCCAGAAAATCTGGATGAACTTTCTCGGCCAATGCAGGGATCGAACACCCGACACCTAGGCTAGCGAGCCAGCAGCTCCTTGCCCACTTAGCCACCGTGACCCCTTTTCTTCAAGACCGATCGAGAAGATTAATTTAGATGTATTATAGTTCAGTGTAAGTAAAAATATTTCAATTATTACGAAATAAAGATTGTTGAACGTAAATATATTGAACGTAAATTTGTCTTGCACCAGTACATAAAAATTCTCTCGGCGGCCCTGACTCCGGATGTCATAATTTGTAGATCTGATAGGGAACCCGCGGTGGCTCAGTGAAGAAGACGCTGGCTTGCTAACCAGGATGTCTCAAGTTCGCACCCTGTGTCGACCGAGAATGTTCCGCGGGACCGGGGTTCCGTGTACACATGAGCGTGTACGTAAAAGGAAATGAAAATGGAATGAAATGGGGTTTAACATGAAACACCATCGCCTGCTATACCATATCCATACCCATACCCATGTAATTTACTTATCAATACAATTAGTTCATGTATACAAATTTCGACACTACAGCTTACATATTTACATAAACAAATAAAATATAAAAATAGATAAAGAAATAAAATTAAATAAAACACTATAATCGCCTGCCATAATGTACTGACAATAAATCTAAAAAAAATGGAACATGCTGTCTCTCTAGACATAATCCCATCCCTGTAGAAATATTGTCGTTGCGACATTGTTTTCAAATTTATAGACAAGGAATAGAGAAAAAGTGATGGCATTATATTTCATTAATTAATATATTTGGCAAGTTATTAGATTCACATATATGTATTAAATCAAGTTAGCGAATGAGTGGCATATTGTTACATAAAAAGAGTTATAATTTGGTAAACATTAGCTGGTTCTGTGGGAATAAGAATATTATTACACGTGATAGGAAATTTACGATTGCATCATTTGTCTTGTTTAACCAATCTCTATACTTATTTACATCATATTTAACCAATTAGATAACTGAAGGTCAAAAACCCAAAGCTACAAAACTATCATATACTTGTGAGAATTCGTTAGGCAACAGACAGATTCTGGAAAGGTAAAAGGTGTAGCAGTTTCTAACAGCAGACTCGCCCAGCTAGTCTGGCTGGATGAGGTTTGAGAGAATGACTTTATTCTATTACATGTATGCATTGTACCATATGTAAGCAGCTAAGATGTGGCGACCGGTTTGGGATTACCCGCTCTCCACGTTTGACAGAAAGGCCCATGGTGCTACATATTACCAACTCAAAATGCCAGTCTATACATATTTTTAACCTAAAAAGAATCGATAATAAATTATTGTTAAAAGAAGTCAAAGAAATAAAGAAAATAATTACTGTAGTTCGTTTTTAGAGGATGGCTGTTGAATAAAATCCTAGTTATTGCAGGAACTGTAAGCAGATTATATAATATTGAAAGATACGTTATGTAAGATTTAGATAAAGAGCTGACCGTTCTTGATATAATAGTTTAAAAATAAATCATGCAAAATGAATATATTGAAAATTTCATTCAAATTACTTTATTCTGAGCGAAGTTATCAGTGTTTGTAGTTTTTACAAGATGTGTGCATTGATTGTTTATTATCGTAACCACGGTGCTGGCTATTCGAGACTTAGCCCCCTTCTCCATTTTTAAATTAAATCATTAATCTAATCTACTTAAAATCGGGGCCATCCAATGACCTCGAGATTTGATTACGGTCTTATCATGTCTAATTAATAATTTATATAACATTTAAGGCCTAAGACAGATCAGCAATAGGCAGATTTAGCCCTTGAATAACCTGGCGTCATCAAGTCAAGCGTGAATACCCGTCGACAAATTATCTTTAACAGCTACTATCTTTGTCACCGGTTGAATTATAAATTCAAATTTTTTATTGCATACATTAGCAACTTATAGCCTCTGATGGTTATTTGCCATTTTTAGACAATTTCTAATTTTTAACGGCTTAAAATCTACATTCAAATATATTCAAATTGGTCATTCAAAATCATGGGGGGATAGAGACCTATTCGTCCCCCCCCCCCTTGCGATTCTAAGGGGGGGGGGGACGCGTCCCCCCCCCCCAAATCCACGCCCATGGTTATAATATGTCAGGAAAGCACACGAATTTATCTTTATATCTGTTTTTAATAACTTATTAACGCGTTTCCTTTGTCTTTTAAATGATTCCGGTTCCAAACCAGGCGCCTTGGAAAAATTTTCTCGTCAAAATTTTACCGATTTTCGAATATTGTCACTATTGAACAAATTCTAATTATTCTACGGTGACGATGTCGCGGCGATGTAATTATCACCTAAATGAATAGACAGGGTCTCCAGTTTCCTCCCACTGCGAATTATTGAAATGACCTAGTTTGTGTGTCGAGTGGATGTTACCCATCTCTCTCTCTCTCTCATATCTCTTACCTCAAACAAATATTTGTTTTTGAAGCTAAAAATACAGTTTTTGTCAAAATGACTTTACTTCCGATGATAATGAAAACCTTGAATTCGTGGAATAAAATCGTAAATGGCATAAGGCATCACAGGGTGAAAATGTTATGAAAATCGATTAAAAATTGACACTTTTATTGACCAAAAACCTTTAAAATCGTCCATTTCTCCGCAACGGAACATGTTAGAAACCAATTTTTGATATCTATATGACCGTATCCGTTTATTTTATATGTTGATTTAAACTAAAAGTTAACATTTTCAATGCGTAGCAAGAAATTATCAATTAAAAAAAATGACAAAATGGTGTCACTTCCGGTGTCAATTATAAATTTGATTTAACGTACGTTTGCTTTATGCATCAAATGGTATCACTTTTAATGGAAATCCATTAATAATTAACTCTTTTACAGGCAAAATAACGTGAAAAGTGACTCAAAATTATCCATTTCTCGGCAACTACTCATATTACAAACTAATTTCGGCATAGATTGTCTTCATATAGATATATGCTACAAGTTTATGAACATTACATAGAAATATTTTAAAATATGAAAAGCCTGAATGGGTTGTAAATTGCTTAATTTTACACTCTTTTTCACCTTTAAATCGAAATGGCGCAAACACAAAATCAAAATTAAAAAAATCATTTTCGAAATTTTTACGCCTGTCATAGGGGCATTCTTCTTGATCTATCAGATTTGTAAAAGGAAAGAAAACTGCAGTGTCAGGGCCAATTCTTGCAGTGTTGTCCGTTGATGTTGACGTCGACGAACACGTCTCCCGATCAAATCAAACACAACACACTAAAGAAAAGATACGCTAAACAGTAAATCTTATGCAAGAACCGATAGGAAAGCAAACATGGATAGAAAACCAGCACGCGGCAGTTTTCACCAAGTCTTCCTTGAAGTGTCAAATTTGACATGCGTGTCGCATGTGCAGCTCAGTGGTTCTGTTGGGGCGATAAGTTCTTCATCTGTGAACATACTCTCAAAGCATGTCAAATGTCCATGACTATTTATCATATCGCAACCTGCATAGGTATTTGCATTTCAATATCCCCTACTTTTTTTTAAGAGTATAGTTACGAAGGAATATTTTAAAATATGAAAAGCCTAAATGGGTTGTAAATAGCCCATTTTTACACATTTTTTCACCTCTAAATCGAAAACCGAAATATAAAAAAAAAACGAGTCCGAGTTTTTTTGCGCCTGTAGTAGGGGCATTCATTTTGATCTCTCAGATTTGTAAAAATTAATATTTACATGCGAAAAGGCGTTCCGAACTTTGTTTTATACAAATCGAACAATAAATAATTAATCTAGAACCGAAAAACTGAATTAGCCAATGGCTGCTAGCGCAAAATACTGAGAGATTTTGTTTCCACATTTTTGCTCAAATCAGACGACCCTTTAACCCTGGGTAAAATGCCATCAATAAATATTCATTAATAAAAAAGTTTTTTGTCAAAATTTAAATTTTCAAATTTTGGCGCCTAATATCTCCAAAGAATCGTCTAAAATCAAAAATCTACAGAACCGTAGCTATCTGCCTTGTCTCTGGCTATGTCAAAATGTATCAAATGTTAAAATCCAACGATTATTGTTAATATTACGGCGATTTCGGACATTTCGCATTGTTGCAGAACGTTCGAAATAGCTTTAATATCTAAGTTACCCCAACTTTCCCAAGAAAACCGAAGACATAAAATCGATCCGACAAGTAGTTTCTGGGATATGCTCAAGTGGAAAAATAATAATAATAACTAGATCTTCTAAGCAGATATTAAAGTTTTCATATTCACAATCACTTCCTGTCACATGTCATGGGTCATATAAAGAATCTGAACAAGATAAAAAAATCATTAAAATCGGTCAAAAACTCGCGAAGTTAATGCGATTTTTCACTCGTAAACAACTTTTTCGGACGAAAAACGTCAAAGGCAAAATTTGAAAATGTGACATTTTCAAATACCATAAATTCGACCCTGATCCCGGCTATCCAGAAATGTATTCATTTTGTATTGTTTGATTTTCATGTCCAATATCGTCGATTTTTCACTTTTTCTCATATTCAGTTTAAAATGGTGACCATCACTTGACCTATATCAAAATTCTGATCCGATAGCTTTTTAGGCATTCCTTCAAGGATTCAGAAAATTTAACTTCCATGCCTGTAAGTAAAATACTGCAAAAGCCTTATAGATTTTTCACGTTTCAATGTGGTTCAATCGGCAGACTTCATATTTTGTGTACATATCAGTCCTTTCTTAGCTAGTGTATAAAAGAAATTTCAAGGCACTCTGAAATTTCATCGATTTTTTTTAAAACTTTGATCCTTAATTTTATCAAGGGGAGATAATTTAGAACATTTCTAATGACATCTTTCATATCGCATCGATAAGATCTACTTACATACTAAATTTCATGAAAATCGTACAACTATTATAGAAGTTGTCCAGTTGATCTCAACTTCCGGTTCGAAATCACAGCGACGAATTTTCGAAATTCGAAAAACCGAAATGGCAGATTTTAAGTAAATGTTTCAAGGTACTCAAAGTAAAAAGAATTAGTAAAATAGGTCAAATAGTCACAAAGTTACAGCAATGTAGGTCAAATGCACTCGTTCATAAAATTCGGTAATTTCGGATGAGTAAAACGTTTTGAAAATATATTAATTCCAAAACCACCACCCATTCTTGGGGGGGGGGGGCTAGGTAAAAGTTTCAGAAAGATCCTATGGTTAGATTCTGAGATATAAGATTTTCAGGAAAAGAAAAAGAAAAAAAGAAAAAAAAAAGAATAACTAGATCTGAAAAGCAGATATGAAAGCTTTCGTATTCACAGTCACTTCCTGTCACATGTCATGGCTTATATAAAGAATCTCAAAAAGAAAAAATAATCATTAAAATTGGTCAAAATCTCGCGAAGTTAATGCGATTTTTCACTCGTAAACAACTTATTCGGCATGTAAAATGTCTAAGGCAAAATTCGAAATGGTGACATTTTCAAATACCAAAAAAAATATCGCAAAAGCCTTATTGACTTTTCACGTTTCAAGATGGTGATCCTTAATTTCTCCAAGGGGAGATAAGTTAGAAAATTTCTAAAGGAATTTGTCAAGTCGCATTAGCAACATCTACTAACATACTAAATTTCATGAAAATCGTGCAACTATTAAAGAAGTTGATTTTTCACGTTTCAAGATGGTGGCACTTCCGGTTCGCTCGACAAACTCGATATTTTGTGTACGAATTAGTAATTTCTTAGCTAGTATAGAAAAAATCTGACCTATATTTCGACGATTTTTTTGAAAATTGTAATCCTTAATTTCTCCAAGGGGGGATAATTTAGAAATATCTACTTACATTCCAAATTTCATGAAAATTGTTCAAATATTAAAGAAGTTGTAAAGTTGGTCTCAACTTTCGGAACGAAATCACAGCGACAAATTTTCGAACTTTGAAAATCTGAAATTGCAGTTGAAAATGATTTTCGTCAAGGTACCCAAAGAAAAAAGAATTAATAAAATAGGTAAAAAAATCACAAAGTTACGACTATGCATTGTCAGTTTTTACCTTAATTTAATTTGATCCTCAATTTCTCCAAGGGGAGATAAGTTAGAAAATTTCTAAAGGAATTTGCCAAGTCGCATCAGTAACATCTACTAACATACTAAATTTCATGAAAATCGTGAGACTATTAAAGAAGTTGTCAAGTTGGTCCCAATTTCCAGTTCGAAATCACAGCGACGAATTTTCGAAATTCGAAAATCTGAAAATTGCAGATGAAAATAATTTTTTTTCAAGTTACTCTAAGAAAAAAAAATAGTAAAATAGGTCAAATAGTCACAAAGTTATAGGTATGTAGGTCAATTTCTTGATCGTTCGCACCCCATTTTTTTTTGGGGGGGGGGGGTAGGTCAAAGTTTCCAAAAGATCCCATGGTTAGATTCTGAGGTATAAGATTTGCAGAAAGTACAAAAAAAAAAAAAAAAAAAAAAAAAAAAAAATCTTAATATGAAATAAGAAAGCTTAATAATCTCAACAGAAACAATAAGTTTTCATATGAAATATGAACGTTTAATAATAATAAGAAGAATAATCCGAACAAGCTACGCAGTGTGAAACCCTAATAAGAATAATTTTAACAAAAACAATAGTGTGAAACCCTAACTAGAGGCCAGCGATCAGACTTTTCGCTTTCAATATTGTATCGATATTAAATAGTTTTATTTATGTATGCTTATATTTTCCTGTTGTAATAATAAAATCTGATTTATAATTTAAGACCACAGTAGTCAATAGCTAGTTATAAACCTTACACGGATAAAATATAACAATACCATTCACAGTGATTCGAATGTGACTGACTGTATTGTTGACCCCAAAAAAGTTTCAAACACGTAGTTATCTCCCTTGCACGAACAAAAGGTGACCACTTCGTTGAGCTCTCTGTTCTGGCTACTAATGAAAAAACCGAAGAATACCATTCACAATGCATGACTACAAATACAATGTCACTGTATTCTAAAAAGGTGCATCAGTTCAATGTCACTGTATTCTAAAAAGGTGTATCAGTGATTGGGGAGTGAGGCAGCTACAAACGAAGGTAGAAGAGGCGGCGATATTATTAGTCGTAATACAGGTATATATTAATGCGTAGCCTACTGACAACTTCTTGACTGATAGCCTAGTTAAGCTTCTTTAGTATCGAGTATCAAAAGGACTATTTCACACAGTGAGGGCAGCTAGACATTATTTGTGGCTATCTGGATTGATATGTTTGAAAAGTGTTGTTTACGCGGTTATTGGCTAATACTACAGCGGAAGTATTAAGTCACAATCCACCTTTGTTTATATCAGGCAGACGACAAACCTAACACATACGTTCGTAAAATAGTACAGTGCACAATTTAGATCACCAACAGTCAGTATCTGAAGTGTGTGGGTATATACCGTCAAAAAAACACCCCCAAAAATCTCATCTGGGAGAAGCTTATAATATATTTTTTTTAAAAGGCCGTTTGTCGCAAATTCCTCATACACATTGTTTATGTCGAAGTGATCAATAAATTAGTATCATAATAAGCGAATCCGTCTCTTAGCAACTTATTGTGTGACAGAATCTGGCATAGTTTTATGGAACTCAAGACTATTAGAACAAGGTCGAATAAGATGAAGTACCGAATATGGAAATAAGAAACGGATTATACAGGATGCGATCATTGTGCTGTTAACATTTATGGTGAGTTAAACAGTGTTTTATTATTTATGGTAGGGACATATTGTTAAGAAGTGCCGTACACAATTTTGGAGGTTTTCTGTGCACCCATCAATAGTTTCACAATACCAGAATGAGCAATATTCAGGCCCGGCAGAGATGGGGGGGGGGGGGCGCTATTAGGTGCTATACTGTCCCTCAATTGGGTTGAGAGACCCCCAGTTGCGGGCAAAGGCGTACGGGCTCGATGAATGTAAGAGGGGCAGAACCTGAATTCCCCCCCCCCCCCCAATTGATTGCCGGTTACAGATGGTGGTGCCGGTCGTCTGCGAGAGGCGAAGGAGCAGAGCTTTATACCATGTAGGACCCCCCCCCCCCCCACAAAAAGATAATTTGAAAAATCGGACGGTCGCAGACACATTTTCCTGGCGCGAATCGTGATAGTGAGAACCTAGCATTAAGACGGTTGTATTAACATCTTCTATTTCTATGTAACGCCTCGCTGGTTTGCGTAAATAAAATTAATTGTCAGACCGTTTATGTCCCTATGTTTAAAAATAAAATAGATATTTGAGTAACGTCCTTGTTGAACAAGTATACCAATAATATAATGTAAAGAAGATGATGGGTAAATGTGTATAACATCAACGATAAATAAATTCATTATTTATACATTTGGAGCAGGAAGTAAGTTTTAAATTTTTTAATAACCAGAAACCTTTTATGAAGGGTGTTTTACGTTTCGCCGGTGTCCTTTTATCAAGATAAATCTAGAAATATCAGATATATCTATACATAAAATGATCCCGTGATGCATAGGCGTACGAGCATTCCATGGATGTTTGAAAATTAATCTGCAGCAAACGCGTTTTCCTGCTAGACTATCCCATGAATACATATACTTCAATGTGGTCCAATATAGCCTACCTTAGGTGACTTACCTAAATCCCAAATCCCAAACAACCAATCAATCGTCGCAGGGTATGGGGGCCTCGCACTCCCCGAGAAAATTTTGAAAATTTAACCGCCGCAAATGCGTTTTTCTGTGTTTTTTTTAGCCCGCGAATTAAGCAACATCAAAGTTTTCAACCGAAATCCCACTCTATGCCGACCCGAATTCCAACCATCCAATCAGACTGTTGCAGCTGCATTCACAAAACATAATCGATGCCCGAAAAATGTCGCACAAAATAGAGTGACTCTAGGCAATCTATAGTCAATCCAGTACAAATTCGTGGTATTCAATTAAAAGAAAAGTAAAATTAGTGTGTTATTAGATTTCGGACACTTTATTTTGCCAACTAGATAAAATATTTTTTTTTTTTTGTTTTCACTTTACCCGTTTGCCCGAAAGTTAGAGGGCATCTCCTTCAGGAAGGTCCACAAACTTCATTCATATTTCACATTTGGCTTAAACGTTAGGGGGCCAATGCGCACCAAATTTGAACTCATCCAAGAGCTAGTGATACTCGTTTTAAGTTCATAATCGGATAAAACATCTGATCTCTAGATAATAATAATAATAATTAATTTATATAGCGCCAACAAATTCAACTTAGCGAATTATGTCCAGATGAGAGTCAAAATAAACACCAAGATTTTTTACAGAATCTGTTGGTGTAATAGAGATATTGCCAATGTGATAGCTTTCTGTTTTAGATTTTAGTAGTTGCTGCCCGCTGCCGACATTCATTATTTCTGTTTTGTCATCGTTGAGTTTTAATAAATTTGAGTCCACCCGTTTACTAATATCTGATAAACAGGCCTCAAGTTTGCATATCTCAGGTGGTTCAGAAGAAGGCTCAAACGCTATATAAATTTGAGTGTCGTCGGCGTACAGATAGTAGTTAAGACCGTGTTTACGAATGACATTTCCTAAAGATGTTGTGTATGTAATGAATAATAAAGGACAGAGAGCGGAACCCTGTGGCACGCCATACCTTTGAGTTTGATGGGAAACTTTTGATAACAACTGTCTTTATACGGTTTTCAAGGTATGGCTAGTCCACTTACACCAAAGTTATGTCGGCTTTGAATTGCTCTACATCAATGTTTCTAGTTTTTCAGAATGATATAGTGCGTTTTATTGGTCCAGGTTTATAAAGCGCCAGTTTAGCGAAAACACTAATGATCGGATATCAAGTCATTTTTAACATGAATGGAAGCTAGTAAATTATCATTTATTCTCGTAATAATAATCTACTCTTCCAAAAAAAGTAGGGGATATTCAGAAATAATACAAAACTGCGGAAATGCACTGCCGTTTTTATTAGAGGTAACCAGTGTATGTTAATAACAGGCCAATTGCCTACACATGAACATAAATAGTTCACATGGGCGGCTTATCTGACTGCCCCATTTCACTCGCAAACAGTAAATCTTATTCAAGAACCGATAGGAAAGCAAATATGGATAGATAAACCAGCACGCGGCAGTTTTCATCAACCCTTCCTTGAAGTGTCAAATTTGACAGTGGACCCCTCCCACGTGTATGGCGCTATTGCGTGTCGCGTGTGCAGCTCAGTGGTTCTGTTGGGGCGATAAGTTCTTCATCTGTGAACATACTCTCAAAGCATGTCAAGTGTCCATGACTATTTATCATATCACAACCTGCATAGGTATTTGCATTTCAATATCCCCTAGAATTTTTGAAGAGTAAAAGTTTGGCTGTAACGTGTTCTTTTATGATTTAAAAGTTTCTATGCTATAAATCACTATGACACAACACAAGCAACACAATAAAAAGACTAAAAAACACAGAGCACATAAAACACAGCTGCCTCAAAGGCGCTTATAACAACCTTGATATTACATGCTTTTATACTATTTGCGTAAAGTAAAAACTGTGAGATCTTTCGGTTATAAACATACATTTCAGTTTCATCAAAATCGTATAAAAATTGTGACCTCTAGAGTGTCCACAACCTTGGAATTATTATGCATATATTTTTCAAGTTTAGCATCACAGGAAGCCACCACCGAATGGGCTTGCATGTTAAGAGATTTAGAAACATTTCTGAGCCAGAAAGCGGTTCTAGATTCGCCTTAAGTCCTAGGATGGTAGCCCCCCCCCCCCCATATCAAGAATTGCTTCCGCCGGCCCTGATATTACTTTATGTTTCAGAAAGATATTGATTACAGACAGTTATAGTAGTCATGCACCAATAATTTTAACAGAATACTGATCAAGCAAGGGTCAGAATTATATTCATTTACAAATATAGCCGTTTTTTGTCGGGGGGAAAATACAATAATTTTTTTTTTATAAAAACAACATGTTTTATACACGTAAGAGATAAAGAGATGTTTGCAACTTTATGTTACGTCGAACTGAATTGTCCATCCCTTTAGAGATTCGCCGAAGCGATTTCAATTAAATTGCCTAAATCTGAATGTGGAAAGCCCTACATGGATGTTTTTACTCCAGGACTCGTATCCACTGTAATGCTGTAGCAGTGGGATTAAGTCGGTTAAATATTTAAAAAATCTTCCTTTCTGGACAAAATATGTTTATGGGTATAAATTTAGGCTATTTTTATTTGGCCCAGTTCACTTGCTGCATATTGCCTACTAAAGATAGATGCGTGACACAATATATGTACACATAGAAACGGTCGTTTGCCATACCCTATAATGGTTCACAAATAAGGGTACTATTATAGTACTGATTTTCGTAGAAATCGCAGGTAGGATACAGTACACAATAAAATGCCCATATAACTGGTGTAGGGGTGACCTTGTTTTCTTAAATTCAGAAAAGTAGGCAGTTAAACTGCATTTCATTTCATTCCATGTTGTCTAACGCATGGAGTTTAAATCTTAAGGTCTGTCATCGATTAAATTGTCGTGGGGTTAAATCCCATGTTTGTGCATACGTGACAAGTATTAGGGTTGGCTGCACTGCCTCGTGGTTTTATTCTGGTTTATCTCACTGCTCAAATTCAGTTGTTGAAATAAAGATATATTTGGGTAAAAAAAAAGACCACGTTTGTCTTGAGTGGACATTAAACCCGATCATTCGTTCGGATGGGACAAAAAACCAAGGTCACGTGTACATATTGGCGTGCACGTAAAAGAACCCTTGACAGTTGGAATTCGAAATAAGAGTAGGCCATAGCACCGCTGTTCGGGCAAAATTTCCTTCATAGCACACAGCATGGCGTATGTCCAGTCTTCATTAGCCCTGTAGAAGCAGAACAGTAGGACTTTAAACCCCATTTCATTTCTCTGCATTTGTAATATTAGTACCGATGTACATCTTTCTTGTCACCATTGTGCTTCAGACCATTAGATATTTTCTTGAGAATATAGCGATATTTAAATAATTGATACATAACAGATAAATTCAGTTAGTTTCTGAGACAATAGACAATAATTATCGACCTGTAGCACAGTGATGATTGGGGAGAGAATTTAACTGATTGTCGTCACAATGTGGAGTGTTTGGAGAACTCCAGTACTTCACGCCTGTGTGTGCTTTGTCAAGATTTGTAGCACTAAGGTAAAGAGACAAATTGTCACCTCTTTTCTAACGGTATAAATCCCATTTTTTCACCCTCATGCGTGTGTTTGCATTTGATGTTTTTGGCCGACAGTAAAATATATACGGCCAAAACAAATGCTAGCTTTTAGTTCTATTAACGGGTCAGTCTGTAAAATATTCAAACAATTTCAATCGGGATCCTTCGTTTATATTAAAGAAGAAGTCCTATAGTACTGCACCATAAGAAAATTGTTTATTGGTTCTCTGATATATTCAACGGTGTTCATTCTTTCAGATTTTCTATCCGAATTCTGTCTTCCGTTTAAACACCTTTTCAACCATCGACTTCCCTGCCAAAGAGTGCCAAACCGGCTGCCAAATAATCACGTCGGTTTCAACTCGAACTATACCGAGTGATATTGGTACCGACAAAACGAATCTACCGAGAGAAACCGGGTATGAAAGGAACAAATTTTAAAGAAACCACACACAGGGATCGAACACCCGACCTCCAGGCTGGCGTCTTACCCACTTAGCCACC